TTTATGGAATTTCCCCAATTTTGACGAGAACTCATAGTACGAGTACATGAAAATACACACATACTATAAAGCGAAGCTTAAAAATGGATAGGTGTTGTTGCAAATAGTTGTTGGATATGTTAATGACATGATGGATTACTTGACGTCTAAACGCCTAAAATAAGGAATCTACAGCTGATTTCATGGGTATTTGTTGAAGTTCATACACAAAAAGTATTGGAATTTCTTCCCCAAAACTCCCAAAGGGCATTGCGACCAATATTCAATATAAAACATCCAGCCAAAGAACACAGGAAATGTCCACAATTATTAGTGTATAATTTATTATTAAATATGTTATAAAATTTGTTTATCGTATAAAATATACTCTTACTCTCGTTTTACCCCCATCTATGTATGTATATATACATATATTTAGGTATATAAATATGTATGTGTATGCGTGTATATAGAAAAATTACAATCCACGATGGTATATATGGTATTGTTGTTTCCGTATTCGCTTTTCACTATTAGACAATTACAATTTTTAACTGCAACTCTTTATTTTATTACAATCTGTCGCTTGATTTTGGTAGATTTTCCTTATCTGCTTATAATGTATACATATATATATATATATGTATATATATGTACCTAGTACACATTTATATTTATGTATGCATGCTATGGGTGAGAATGTATGAGAAAATGTTTCTCTATCGCGAAGCAAAATCATATTTAAAAGGTTTAAGGAGGGATTTTTGGTAATCGTTTTCTCGTTTGCTCTAGATTTAGTTTATTCGGTTTAGTCTATGTTTAAGTAACTATGTAAGTATTTAATGCATATGTATGTATGTATGTGGTTAGTATGTTCATGCTTAGCTATCGCATCGATTTTGGTGTAGATCTTCTGTGAAAAGAAGATTTTCCGTCTTGATCCTGATCTTGATCCTATCTACTATCTAGTACCCTTCCTAACATATATACTCGCATCTATATGTTTATTTAGTATTTCGTATGCGAAACCAGTATCTGGCTTATCTTTAATTTCTTGTTCGATTCTGTTCGTTCCTGTGTGCATTTCCGTTTTCTTCTGTTCCGTTTTGTTCTGTTTTTTATTTGAATGATTAATGTTTAGAATAAAGTTAAACTGTGACATTGTCCCATTTCGTCTTGTCTGGTCACCGTTCACGTTGTCGTCTTGTCTAGTCTCGTCTGATCTGGCTTAAAGTTTAAATTTGTACTCGTTTTGTACTCAATTGCTCCATAATTATAACATATGTTAGTATTTATGTGTGTATGTATGTATATTCGAATTTTGGAGGTGTCCAAAAAATATCTTTTAGTAAAGGTAAATCAATTTGTATTGCCAAATTAGAAATGTTTTCGATTTTAAATACAATAATGTTGATTTTTTTTTTTTTTTTTCATGTTTGAAGTTTGTTACAAACTTAATTGCTAAATGATCTTGACAAAATATATGTATGTATGCACGCATGTACGATATACGATATTTATGTATATGTATGTATTGTATTTAGTATAAGTATGTATAGATCTTTCTATAGTTATGAAATCATTTCTCTGCGCTAACCGAGAATTGCATTGTCATTAAAAAATTTGACTCAAAATTGTATTTTGATATAAGAGTTCATTTCTTGTTGCTTTAGCATCGATTTCTCAATCGATTTGTAATAAAAAGTTTCTTTATAAATATGTTTTCGTTTTGAATTCGTCTGCTTCTTATTCTTCTTTTGTGCACCTCATTACTTTTGTTTTTTGTTTTTTTGTTGTTTTTGGAAATCGTTCAGTTCAGCTCAGCGGTGTTTTGCTTGGCCGCACATCTCGAAGGATCTTTAGTCATTGAGTCAATTGTTTTGAGTTTCGCTGTTCTTAATTGCTAAATATGTACGTAATACCAAAAAAATTGAATACCTGATTTAAGTTTTGGATTCGTTTTTAGTATAGTATACATGTACTATACTTTAGTTAGTAGCTACGTGTATATGAGCAATTTCGTTTTGCTTAAGGTGTTGTTGTTGGTTGGGCAACTTGTTTTTCTGTTTGTTTTTTTTTTTTTGGAATATGGCGTTTATTTGAAAAAAATACCTGATTGCAAGTTTAATGTAGTATTTTTGGTATGGTATGGTATGTATTTATGTTTTAAAAATTTTAATTAACTATTTATGCGTAGGCTCTTGTTTTGTGTATGTATTTGTGTGTGTGTTAGTGTATAGTGTCTTTATGTATGTATGTATTATTTGTTACGCTCTTTCGTTTTGATTCTTAAGCCTTTGGCAAATTGTTCAGTATTCTCATGACTTTTAGTATTCCCATCGTGTTCTGTTTAACATACTTTAGTACTGTACTCTATAGATCTATAGTATATATGTATAGTATATGTTTAAATGCTTTTTATTTTAAATTATGGCATTCTGTATTTTCTTACATCTCAATAATTGGATTCCGTACTCGGTTCGTTTGTTTTTTTTTCTTGTTTAGTGCAATTCTTTTTTTTTACACAATTTCTAAACTGTGGCTTTTAGAAAACGGCGCTCATTTGTAATGATATAAGTATTTGTTCTTTAGTATTTGTTTTAGTAAACCTCACACAAATAGTATAAAATATGGCATTCTCAAACGTCTCGCTAGACGCTATACTATATGCATGGTATGTATATATGATATATATACTATATACATATATCTATGTACATATGTAGGTGTGGTCTGGCGTGAGTTGTTGTTTGTGGTGTGAGTGGTTTGAATGATTCGATCTGGATCACAAGAAATGAACGGCGCGTCAAGGTATGTACGATTGAATAAAATGAGGTGAGGTTGTGTCATGTAATGTTATGGCAATTTCGTGTGGGGCTCGAGGTTCGAGGCTCGAGGATCGAGAGGGCTGCCTAAGCTAAGGTGTAAAATAATTACGATTTCTATTCTATATAGCTCTATATAATAGGTTTCCCTTTGTTCTGTCGTGTATATATGTATTGTATATGTATAAATATTGTATAAGTATATGTTTTTGTTGCCTGTGCTCTCGTAGAGCAAGTGTGGCATTTTTGCATCATTTTTATATTTTAAGTGTATTTTTAGGGATTTTTTAAAATATTTTTGTTAAGGGGTTTCTCTTGCTTGTTTTTTTTTTGCGCATTTTATGCAATGTTGCTTTATACGTGGAAGGAGTGTTAGCTATATATCTCTCCCTTGCACACATTCTGGTACTATCTCTTTCACTCTCTCTCTCTCGCTCTCTGTCTCTCTCTTTCGCTCTGGTTTGATCAGGTTCTGAATCCGGGTTGAAACACAAATACATATAATAGAATATAACATAAAAATAAACTAAGTAACTAAGTTGGCTAATACATTTTAAGCGCCTTTCTAATCACGCATTGCAACTAATGCCAGGTGCGGTGCCGGGTATAGATCCAGGCCCACCCAGGATCGGTTCTAGTCGGTTCTATGTGTGTACTATATATTTGCTATTAAAATCATCTCACCTCTCTTCGACACAAAATTCAGCTAATCCATGCATTTACCTTCTGTTCTGGCTGCCCTTTTCTTAAGCTTTCATTAAGTATCATTTTACTTGTTTTCTTGTTATGTTTTGTTTGCGAGGAACATGTCACCTAAATGTGTATTCAATACGCCCATATATTGCTCTGGATTTTTCATATGCCTGCTCTACGTCACGCTAAATCTACTAAATGCTAATGAACACATTGAGTCAAAAATTATGTTAATTTTTTTCGTTTTTGTTTCCTTTGTTTGTTTTCGCGACCAACCCCTCCCCTCTTGTTTTATAATCATTCCTTTAGCTAACCCCTCTTCTATCAGCCCGCTCTGCTGCTGCTTCTGCTGCTGCTGTGAGTACCCTGTGGGGGGAATCATTACAATCCGAAATCCCTGCGATGAATATAGGATGAAATGAATGTAGGTGAATGTCAGTTAAACTCGGTTTAGCTATGCCTATAATGATTCATGATGCGACCGTGACTGGATGTGGATCTCTCTATATATAATATATATATATATATTATATATATACTATATGTATATGTATATGTTGTATGTAAGTATGAGTGTTATGCTAAGTTAAGTTACTTTACGTTATCAATGTCATTGCAATTTGTCTGTGTGTTTTTGTGATTTTCATTTCACTTGTTTTTGGCCTCACCATATATGGTTCTTCAGTTGGCTCCGAAATTGCGGTTTAGTTAATCAGTCTTTGTTAAAAGTTCAACCAAAAGTCAGCGGGTTTCCTTAATATTTGTTCTTGTTTTTCTTTTCTTTCCTTTCCTTTACTTTCGTTTCGATTTCTTTTGTTTTGTTTTGCTTTGTTTCCTTTTACAAAGTTTCGTGTACTCACTTGCTCAGTCTCAATTATAAGAAATAATTAGTAAAATAATCAAAAAAATATTTTAAAAACCTATGTATGTATGTATAAATGAAAAAAATATCTCTAAACGGAACTAAACGAATTAAGATAATAATACAAACATTAATACCATGCCAAACAATTCGTCTGAAAATTATTTTGTAGTAACTCTTGTAGAAACAAAAATCTTATTTAGTAGTTCTTTCAGCTAAGCAACCCCCCATAAAACGCACTTCCCCGCTAATGGAAGAGTTTTCCATTCCACTCCATTCCTTTGCTCCTCCGGCTAGAAAACTGCTTTTCAGTCTAACTAACAGGTAGTAATATTTTCATCTAGTAATCCTTATTGTTGTGTCCTGCTCTGCTCTGCTTTCGTCTTTTACTAACCCCGCGGATCCTTCACCAATTAATGTTGTATATGTATATCTCCTATGTCCCCTAACCAACTGCTTTTGTTTTTGCTGCTGCTGCTGCTGTTGCTGTTGGTTTTCGCTTTAGACCTAATTGGTTGTGTTGGGTTGGGCTTTTTGTATATTCGCTAGATACATATTCGCATACAGATATATACAGATGTATAGATATCTGCATCTGTATCTATATCGGTACGGTATACATATGTGTAATTCGTATTGTATTGTAAATTACCAAATCGTAACCATAACTCTTAAGCATTATCGAGGTAATCGTTGTAGCACTTATGCTAAAAATTTTTTCTAATTTTCCATGCTCTCAATTCAGATTTTCTCTTTTTGTTTTTTAGTGTTTCGTTCTTTGTTTTGTTTTTGTTTTTTTCTTTTTGGATTGGATGTCTATTACGCTAACGTTTAGCTCTTGTAAATGGTCTAAAAAAAAGATTGGTATTCGTATTCCCCTCCCATTCCAGTTGACGGCTATAAGCTTATTTAGAATACGTGCACAAACCGCTTGTAAGGGTTAGACCCTTCTTTGGAGTCTGGCGACAGTTCTATAAGGAATACGATGCGACCGTCTGGCATCATGGCCACATCGCAGGTTCGATCCTTCTCGTCCAGCGTCGGTGGCATTAGCGGATTGATGGAGGGTCGCACTTCGATCTGCAAACAGGATATACATAAGTTATAATCCGTCGTTCAATCGTGTAATTCAAAAGAATGAAAGATGATTGTATTGGATAGCCACTTACATCCCACATAAAGTCAAGATTTTGATTGAAGACCAGGATGCGTTGATTCTTGGAATCGGCCACTATAATGCGGCCCTCGTCGTCACAGCACAGGCCCGAGGGCCTATTGAACTCATGGAAGCCCGAGCCCTCATGTCCCTTCACGGACAGAATCTGTAGAATAACGTATACAAGTCATAAATATTCATTTCTATATGCGCTTGCTCAAGGGTACTCACGTCGTTAATGTCAGGATCGATTAGATAGAGGCAATGGTTGTCAAAGTCGGAGACAATGATGTTGCCCGTGGGCGTATAGCAGACACCGCGGGGCGAGGCGATGCCCTTCGTCTGGCCATGGTTGTCGAACACAATCTGGCGTATGAAACGTCCCTCGGAATCGAACTGCTGGATGCGATGGTTGCGCGAATCGGTGACCACAATCTGGCGACGCGAGTTTACTGCCACATCCCACGGATACTGGAACTGGCCGTACTCCTTGCCATAGCTGCCGAACTTGAGCAGGAAGACGCCGCTGGCCGTGAAGATCTGCACGCGATGGTTGTCTTTGTCCACCACAATGATGCGATTGTCCACGTCCACACAGATGCCGGCTGGCAGATCGAACTCCCCGTTGCCCACGCCCTTGCGACCGAACTTAAACTTGAGCGAGCCGTCTGGATTGAAGACCTGCACACGGTTGTTGCGCCGATCCGAGACCAGAACATGGCCCATCTTGTCTACGCACAGGCCCCACGGTCGGCTCACCTGCCCATCCTCGTGGCCTTCGGTGGCAAACGACAGCGACAGCGAATTGGAGTTGCGCACCTTCACCAGATCCATACAGCCAGGAATCGCCTGCGTCGTCCGAGGGGCGCTGAAGTGAAGGCCTGGGGAGCTTCGCAGTCCGTTCAATTCCCAGTCCAGGGCTGCGCTCGACATGCCGCAGGCGCTGCCGCCACGGGGCTGCATTATGGGCGACGGTATGCGGAAGCTATTGTCCCGCAGCAATGGCCGACGCACGTTCGAGGATGCTACGCTCAGGGGATTGTTGGCAATGCTGCCGATGCCAAAGGCCAAGTCCATTCCATTGCCAGGACCTACACCGACACCGACACCGCCACCGACGCCGCCACCGACACCGACACCTACACCGACACCACCACCGACACCGATTGGATTGACACCTACACTAACACCAGCTCCGACTCCTCCGATTCCCACGGAGGCGGCAGTGACGGCATTCACATTGGAGACGCTGGGTACGATGCCGCTGGTGCTTGTGACGATGGGCAGGTTCTTATCGTCGACAAGTATGACGCCTCCCTGGTTTCGGATATCCTGCAGAAGACTGTAGTCGGGTGGCGCAAAGGCAAAGACCTCCTGCTTGGGCTGCAGGTCCTTGTAGATGCCGGCGAACTGCTCCATCTGGCGCTGTCCGTTGGTGAGCTTCATCGCGATCTCTATCTGGTCCATGCTCAATGCGTTGTCCGCCACTTTACTGAGCATATCGGAGGTCTCGGAAAGGCCGGCCAGAGCGGACTTAAGTCCCGCCATCTGGTCGTGGAGAATGGCCAGGCGGCGCAATCGCAGCTTCTCCACAAAGTCGAGCAGAAAGCGCTCGCGGTCCTCGATGGCAATGATGAACTGACGGAAGGCCTTCCGTATGTTGTCGCTCAGTTCGCTGCAGTTGCGTTCGATGAGACGGATGAATGCCAGGGCCTTGTCAATGCTGCTCTTGATGCAGCGCGTCCCCACTTGGCTGCTTTCGATGGCGCCCTCCAGCTTCTCCTTGGAGCCGACCATAAAACTCTGAATGGATGCGTAGCTGTGCTCCTTGTGCTCGTGCAGAGTGCAGCACTGGCACACCAGCTTGCGGCAGTAGTCGCACACGTAGCGCAGCATCTCGTTGTGAATGTCGCAGATGAAGTTGGAGCTGGGCGGCGTGTGGGCGTGGGTCGAGCTGCCGCCTGTGGGCGAGGCCCCGATGGGCGTCGGCAGCGACACGATCGAGTGGTTCGAGGAGAGCGGACTGTTGCGGTGCTCCCTCAGGCAGTCGTTGCACATGAACTCGTTGCACTCGAGGCAGCGTATGGAGGCGCTCACCTCGCACCAGCCGCAGCTGATGCTCGAGTTGTTGGAAGACTCTGGAGACATCTTTGGGTTGCTGCGCGGCCCGCTTCCAATGGGTCCGATGCTGAAGTCGCCATGTGTGTCCAGTCCGCCAAGAAAGTTATTGATAAAGAAGTCCGTGCGTGGTGGGGAGCTGCACAAAAGCAAAATGATTGTTAGCACTGTAACTACTGTACTGTTCTGTACTGTCACTTACCTCTGTCCCACATTGGGCAGCAGTCCGACATTGAGGTCCCAGGCGGGGAAGGACTCCAGTATGCCTGCCAGGAGGCGCTCGGAGGAGTTGCTGGCGTTGCTGCTTACACTGCCGCTGCCATTGACAGTCGAGGAGGCAACTCCGTTGGCGCTGGCCGTATTGCTGCTAGCCATTTGTTGCGGAACCGAATTGTTTGACAAGAGTTCCATCATAAGATTGTTTGAGATCACTTTTCTAGCACTAGCGTAGTTGTAGGTGCAGTTGCAGGCGTGGCCCTTTGCTGTCGATTTGTGACACTTTTACGCTGAAAATATCGTCGCGAAATAAAGAAATTTTAATTGAATTTCCTAGACGTTTGTATGTGACAGAAATAGTTGTGTTGCTATTTGTTTTTCGGTTTCTAACTGCGTTTGGAACGCGCGAGAGACGTTGTCAGGAGACGGGAGGAGGCAACGAACTAATTTCGCCACAGCCGTTGACGTGCATTAAGTAGCCCGAAAAAAGGCAGGGCAAGACAGCCTTGAGGATCGAGCCTTGAGTTGCAGCTGCATCTGGGCCTGCGGCTTAGGTAGCCCGGAAAAACTCAGCCTTTTCGTCTTCGATTTTCCTGTCCTGTCCGTCCATATTGTGCCTACTTACAACGCGCTGATCCTTGATCCCTTTCCCTCTATGCCGTCCCAAATTCGTAAAACGAGACCCGAGCAGATGTGTGGCGCGATCTGCAGCAGCACAAGCAGCAGGTCAGATTTGTTTTTGCTTGCCGTGCATCCTTAAGATACATATGTATGTATATGTATGTACATTCGAGTTGGCCCTATTATGAGATATCCCGCTGTCGGCAAAACTCTAGGAATTGGAATTTAGAATTCGCCATGCGTATCCCTATTTATGAGCCCTATTGTCTTCAAGCAAACCCAAAATGGCGCGCAATCCATCGATTTGCGTCTAGTCCTGGCTGTACTCCCGTAATCCCAAGTTCCTCATAGTCCCACTCCACCCCCACTCCTACTCATTTTGTGCAAGCTTGGTAACCCAAATAAAGGAGACCAGACCCCACCATCCCCCAAATAAACCGGAAAACGCAAAAACGGGAGAGTGTGGAAAGGAATTGAACTCAACCCACCCTCATATACTGTGCAGTAATCTCAAATCTCATTGCGTAGTTCTAGCATTTTCCCGTTTTTCCGACCCCACCACCATCACCATTTCTACCCCCTCCCACTCACCCTCCTGTTCATGCTCCTTCAACGCGCTAGCTAGCGGCTTTTTGTGGATGGAAAACCCAAAAGGAAAACGCAATAAAACGACGAACGAACGACTGGTTGCCATCTTCAAGACGGGGCTATCCACGTCGTACGCCCAATCAACCGACCCGACCCGACCGACTTTCATCCCCTCTCATGGTAACAGCCGGACGAGGAGGAGGGGCAGAGCAGCATTGGAAACGGTTACATTTACACTCGAAGAAAATAGGCCGAAAAGCAAAGATCTTGTTTTGTTTTCTTGTGGATATTTGGTAATTTGAGTTAATTTATAGCATAACTTCAAGGGTTGGACGAGGGGCTAAGCAAATCCAGTTTGGGTGGCTTTTGCTGGGTTGCTATCAACGACAGAAGGATAAAGTAGACTCTAGTTGGTCTGGTGCTTCCGATACATGCAACGCCCCGGAATGGGATGCATTTCAAGGATATTTTTGTGCCGTGTAGACGAAGAGAAACTACCCTTGTCACCCTTGAACATTTTCCATTGAAAACGGGTCTGTCGCAGTCGCAGAGCCTCAGAAAGTGGAAAAAAACATGACCAAGAAGTTAAAGTCCTTTCACAAACAGACACACCACTACAGGGACACTTTCATATCCGTGTGTGTGTGTTTGTGTGTTTGTTTGTTTGTGTGTGTGCGGATACGACGCAAAAACGTGATGGGATGGGGATGAGGGTTGTATTTATACAAGAAGTCTCTCTATATCTCTCTACTACATACATATGTAGGTGGTTCGTTTGAGTTCCTGCGGCACACACACAGAAAACAGAAAAACGAAAACTGAAAATCCATCGAGATGTAAGAAATCTTGAGAATCTCGATATTTAGATTTAAACGAAGTAAAATCAATATTTTCATTCAATTCAAGGCAATAGTTTATACATATCATTCTGTTGACAATAGTTCATATCACCCTCCCACTCTCTGCACCATCTGCAGCACTCTCCTCTTCTCCGTCATTCGTACACACCTTTTTCAGCAGCCTCATGCAAGCCGCTGTGGAACGGAACTGCACACCTTCAATGGGTCTCCGTCTCCGGCCCGACACAACCGACACGACAAAACCGAATTTGACTCGTCGCTGATTCCCAGATTGTTTGTCAATTAGTTTTGATTCGATTCGGGAAAGAATATTGATTCTTATTCGCGATTTTTCAGTGGTATTCTTTGCGATTTTGTGTTATGCGAGATTCTGTCGTTTTTCGACCGAGTCACCCAGAGATCTTATGCGTAATTCGCTTGCCCGTGCACATTCATTCGCTCCGACATTCATGTATTCCTTTTTCCGACTAAAAGATACATTCGACTAAAAACACAACAAATACTGTGTCAGCGCTTGACTCGCTCTCTCTTTCTCTCTCCCTCTCTTCGTGTGCGTGCTGCTCTTTCTGTTCTGTTGCTTTTGCTTATTCTGATTCAGATTCAGATTCTGCTTCTGTCTCTGCTGCTCTTCCTCTAGCTAAACAAAAAATAAAATAAAACAAACCCCAAATGTATCTCGCAGATAGTTTTTGATTTTGATGTGCGCGCGCAATTCCTCTCTCACGCTCTTTTTTGCTTTTAACATAGCCAGCACGCACACCAGTGTTGCGAGTTCAGCTTTTTTTCGTCGAATCTAGCGCGCAGCGGGAATTCATATTTTTCGTTTTTTTTTTTTTTTTTTTATTTGACGCACTATTTGGATTTTCCCACCTCCACATTAAACTAATTAAATTGTTCTAGCCAATATCCATAGTAGATACCTTCCCTGTAACTTAACTCACTTTAGGCACTCATAATAAATAAATAAATACATATTTAATCATCCCATCTGATCAAAATTCTGCAAATCTACTTCTGATTTTTAGATTTTAATTAATTAATTCAACGAATTTCATATAGCAGTATATTATTATAATAGTACTATCATTTTGTTAACTAGTTTTTTTCTAATTTCTGTAGCCAATCTAGCTTTGTTTTAATCAAAAAAGTATTGTCGACACTGACGCACACAACTCGGGTCTTCTGCCTCTCTCACACTCTCTCTCTCTCTCGTTGGTTTATGCTCATGTGCACATTTTTATCTTCTATTCATTTTCACTTATGCCGCAAAGAACTGCAACCAAATGCGCCCCACATCCAAGAGGGTAGTGCCTGAAGTTAATCACTAGCCAACAGGGAACGAATAGAGGATCTATTTTATGAAACAGTTACATCAACTTACTAATAACTTCGCGCTAGGGACGACCCTTAAAATGCCGATTGGATCATGGCGTCTGTTTTTATACAGGGTACTCGTGGGAGCAGAGGGGTATATATTATTTGTGGAGATGCATGCACCGCACAGCAGGGAGAAATTAAATCCAAATTTTAGCACTCATGCATCATTTAGTCTCTATTTTTCTACACCATTTCCAAAGTCACTTGGGAAGATGCGATTGTACACTCACAATATTGCTTCACTTTCTCAGATCCAACACAGAAAACAGGATATCGATGCTATCGATATCGTTGAAAAACGTGTATCGTGCTCAAGCCGACAATTATTTAAGTACACTCTTCCCGAATTTAATTGCTGTTCCTAAATTTCAGTTAGGTCGACTACGCTTTGAAATACCCTCGTGTAGCCGTATACAAGACATATCAAATAAAAATGTTTCTTTTCTTATTTCAAAATTTGCGCGTCCATTGTTCGTTCTATTACTTTGGCGTGCGTGTTTTTCACTTGAAGTTTTAACCGCTCGTTGCGCGTGGTTTTGTTTAGTTTTTCGAATACTTCTGACCCACTTAGCGTGGCGAGGGACTAGGACTCCTCGAAATCTACAACCTTCACGCTCAAACTGGATGCAAACTCTGTCGCCGACGCAGCACTGACGCTGCTGCCCTTCTGGCGTGCTCATTATTGTTTTTGTTATATGCTTCTTTTCGGTGGACATAGCCGAAATGTGGTCCCGTTTGTGCATCTTGCCCTAGAAGCGATCGTTTTTACCTAAAATCAATTAAAAAATATTTGCATAAAGCTAAACAAGGTTATACATGTTCCCTTTGGACAAAGTGAATTTGCTGTTTTTCGAACAAATCCAGCTTCTTTCATATATTCGATATAAGAAAAATGTTAGAGTTAGGGCATTACAAAGTCGTGACCGCCGCCGAAGGGAGCTCATAGAGAGCGAGAGAGTAAACCAAATTGAGAGAATTCTCTTCACATTAACGGCGCATGTGTGTGGCGGGAAAATACTGATGGAGACAGACACCACCGGCAGAGGCAGAGGGCAGACAAGAGAGACCCAAACACCCTTAAGGAACTCGTTTTGCACTGACAAAATTTTGTAGCCCCCGTGTTTCCTTCCTTGGCTGCAGCACTATTATCGTATTAAGCCCGATGTTTCAGAGAACTGCGGGCGGCTGATGCAGGTCGCTACCTGCGCAGGTGCGCCCGGCCAGGGCAGGAGGGACAGGTAAAACATGAGGTTATCCTCCGACACAAAGACAAAGAAGCAGGACGATCTATCGCTATGTTGAATGTCTATTTTCTGTTCGCCTGTAAAAGTACATATGTATGTATGATACGGGTCTATGAATCTTAGTACACAAGTGTACATTTGATGTATCTGCGTGAAAGTTCTTAAAACGAGGGCAGGAGTACTGATTACATGCTAAGTATGAATGCAGATCCACAGTGTTATTCAGTCGCGTGCTTATAATACTGTAAGCTAAGCTTAAAGTCTACAGAGCCAGGCTAATAGATCCGAAGCCGGCCGCCTAAGATTAGCCAAACTCCAACTCTTCAATGAGGACATTCTGGAGCTTCTGGCGCACACGTAGCTTCCGCCGCTCATCCAGCTTCTGCAGGAATGGCATCAGGCTGAGCAGAAACATACGATCGGCATCGTCTTGTAGCTCTGCCAGTGAGGACTCGGTGTTGGTGGCTGCATCCATGCTGATGTACTTAAAGGGCAAATTGGATGTCGGTGACTGTGATAGCGACGGCTTCACATCGGGCTCCGTCTTCTGGCTATTGTTGGAGGTGTCATTAGTTGTACACTTGACATTGGAGCTGGACAACTCCAGCTCCTCCTCATCGTCGTCCAGCACTTCGATGGTGAAGAGACTTGGGTCCGGCGTGTTTATAGTCTCGCTGCGCTTTGTGCGTTCCTCCTCGTTCTCCGAGGCAGCATCCTCGTCAAAGTCGTCGTCATCCTCCTCCTCGGGGGGGCTGGGCTCCAGTTTGATCCGCTTCCTGTCCGGAGGCTCAGCCGGAACGCAGTCTCTGTCCTCGAAAAAGGAACTGATGTCGGAGAAGCTTGGCTGGTGCAGCTCCGAGTCGTAGCTATCGCTCAGCTCACAAATTGGCTCCGTGGCCACGGCGGGTCCGTCATATTTCTCGTCCAGTATATTGTTGTTCTCCGTCCAGTGTCCTGGCGGGTACTTCTTACAGCTGCTGCGTGTCTGTCGCATGATGTTCTCGTGGACGGCGTGCTCCATAAACCGCATGTCATTATAAAAGCGCCAGGTCGACGGCGTTTCATTGGACAGATTGTTTCGGATGTATACCTTCCGAAAGTTGTCCCTCAGATGGCCCCACTTGATCCGGCATATGTCCGCTAAAGAAAAACGAGAGAGCGGGGGTAGTTTTAATGCCACTGAATGGAATCCAAGGGGGGTAAGGGCAGGGAACGACGGCGATCGTGATTAAACAGAGTTGGCATGTCTGTGTGGGCAGCACCAAACATCAAGCCACATACGAACATAATGTACATATGTATAAGTATGTAAGCGTGTGTATGTACATACATGTATACATACATACAGCCATATAGGAATCTGGGCATTGGCATTGCGATACCTCTCTCCGTCTCTTCGCTCACCTGGCAAATTCACATCCTGGCCAACCTCAAACCAAATTGGCGTAATGTCGCTGCGCTTTTGGCCACTCACGTTGTTTCGCAACCAGAGCATGGGCCTGCGTGAGACAGCCGCAATGAGACGCTTCACCGTCTCAATTGGCAGCTTGGCTGTGTTCGTGAAGGCGAAGGAGGAGGAGAACGCGGGCGGCGAGGCCGAAGATGATGACGCATTGTTGTAAGCTACCTCCATAGTGCCGCCGCAACACAACATACACCATACAACAACGAGTCCGAATAAAGCGACGCACGCAGCTCAAGCGCTGAAACGGCACTGAAAACTGAAAAATACGGGTACGGTCCAACCAGTTTACGTGCCTTTTGGCTCTCAGGCGATGGCAATGCGAGGCAATGGCAATGGCGAAGGCGAGTCCAAAGAAAACCGAGAAGAGAGCGCAGGCACAACGGGCGCACAGCAACAGGCTTTGCCGCAAACTGGCATCAGCAATATTGTCCGGATGTAAAGCTTCCGCTGGCAGCTCGCGGCGGCTAGCTGGCAACGCCGTTGTCGGCTCGTATTTGTGCGCTTTACGGTTGTTAACTCTGCGCTGTCGTATGCATTGCTGTGGGGCCGTATCGAATCCAATGTGCTCTGCTCCGTCCACTCCCATCCAGCCAAAGCCAATCACCTCCAAGTGAACTGTCTGCAGCAAAACTAATACAACAATGCAAATTGATACAATCGGACACTGCTGAATCCTGCAAAGGGGGTGACACTCTGATTAGGCTCAACGTGGCGCAGCACGCCCAGATCCAAAGTCCTTTTCGGGCTGTCGTATATGCTTACACAGCGGAGTGTAGCGTACTTGTTGCGCTTTGTTTATTTTTATCAAAACTGGATTTTACTACGGTCGGCTGGACTGCATGGAAATGGAGATGGAGTGAACGTAAAATATTCACGCTACGGAGCGCTGTCGGAAAAAGAGAGAATACGCACACACAAGAATGTACATCCATGAAGCCCCATCTTCGGTTTTCACGATCGTGAGCCTGGGCCCTGGGACGAGTAGTATCTCCAATTGGTGCTGCCGTTGTCTGTCTGTCTGTCCGTCCGTTCTCTCCTCGCTCCCCGCTCTTGTGCCTGTGTGTACGTACGTTTTGGGGTTCGGCTCTTTTTTTCGTGCTAAGCTGCTAGCGAAAATGCAAGTGAAGCAAACATGGCAATTGGCGACTGGGTTTGTTTATCAGATGTTGCTTGTTCGTTCTCGTTCTCTGGCTTTGTGGTTATGTTTCAGGCTGACATTTGATCCTCGAAGCATTTTATTTCTGAAAGAGAGCACCTCCAACGTCTGACCACTGGAAGCAATTTAATACCGTAATTGACCATTTCCACGAACAGTTTGCGATCCAAACTATCGACGTACACCTACGCGTACAATTCACAGACATTTAGATTACATTTATTGACACATTCAACGAAACTTAAGGATTGAGCGAAAATACAAATATTGTATACATACGAGTACATATGTACGTATATAATAAGCCATAAGTACTCGACTCCGGAATCTATTAGGACTTGTAACAAATAGACATTCATATGCGCTTAACATTATATTAATAGTTATGAGAAATATCGTTTTAAGAATCTGGAATAATATATGTATATATTGTATCCTACACGTACTGGATGTACATAAACGTACGGTAATGGATTACTTTTTGCTTAGTACTACGCCTTTCTCTGCCCTGCCTGTTCCAGACGAAAGCGCCTGCGCTCATGTCGGAGCCTGTTCCTATGGTAGCTGCCGATTTTTCCTAGAACTTTCCACGCATAAGTCTATATATGTACATATGTCACTTAGATGGTAACCTGGTTTTCTTCGTTCTCATTATCTTCTTCGTCTTCCTGGGTCATGGGTGCGGGCGTTCCACGTTTGCTACTTGCAGTACCAGCAGCACCGCTCGCCGGCTGGCCACCAGTCATAATGGAGTAGCTCTTCGACGATGGCTTTCGGGGGCAAGTGGTAGTGCTATCTTTATCCATTGCGTGCTCCCCATTGCTGTGCCCGTTGCTGCTGTGTGGGGAGCAGCTGCCGTTGCTGTTCCCGTTCCCGCTTCCATTGCCATTGCCGTTTCCGTTGCCAGTACCCGCTTCGTTAAGGAATGCATCCATGTGATCGATGGTATCATTCAGGGCAAAGCTCTGGTCGCGGCGCTCGCTCTTCTTCCACAGGTAATAAAACTGGACCAGTTCGCGCATGGTTCTTGTGCGCACCTGAAAGACCCCAACCATCCCACTAATTAGTCGCTAGGAGACGTTGAGCAGTCTTTTACCTGATTCTGGCGTATCTGATAAAAGTCCTTGCCGTACTTATGTATGCCCTCCTCAAACTTGAGGCACTCCTCCTCCGACCAGCTGCTCATGGTGTCGCTCAGGGGCAGCACATTCAATCGTTTACGCCGCAGGGCCTCATTGAAGTCATAGCCACACTGGACCAGTAAATGCAGGGCCTGCTCGTTGTCCTTTACCACGGACAGAGACTCGCCGTCGCTGGCAACATTTGGCGCTGGCAGAACTCTTGGCGGAGCTAACGGGGCGGGTAAAGCTACGGGCTGCTCGTCAGTTGCCACAACTTCCACTCCCTCTTCTAACGGTGGCAAGGCTCGGGTCTCTTGGATCTTTGCCAGATATTCCTCCACTTCCCGTTCTGAGACTTGACTCGGCTCCCATATTAACAGATCTTCATTCTCGTACGGCAATATATCTCCATACTGTGAGAGACCATCGGGAATATCAGCTTGGTAGTTCACTCCAACCATGATAATCTTCCTCGCGTCATCAGATTCGTTATCCGACTCTTCGTCGTCGTAAGCTTCAACTTCTTCGAAGAGCTCCTGAAGCGGCGTGACTGTAATTAATATTACATAATGAAATCTTCAATCTAGCAACTAGACCGCAGCCGAATCTCGATACTTACATCTTTCGAGTTCTTCCAGGGGTCCGATTAGGGGCGAACTTGCTCCGAAGGACTCATCTGGATACAAATCCAGTAAATGAGAGCGGTGCTGTTTTTTTGCGACATCGGGCGGTAAAATAGCCTGCGGTTCATCTGTCTCCATGGGACTCTTATTTCGCTGAGAGCTAGACGATGTGTTCTCTTCCGAAGGGTCAACACCTGGGTCCTGCGGCTGCTCAAGGAAATCATCGACTTTGTCCTGCTGTGCTGCAGCGGCGCAGGATGTGGATGCGTGGGCAGTTTCTGTGTCTAGCTCCTGGTACTGCCGCTTGGTGGCTCGTCGCCGCCTTGAGCCGCCGCTCGATCGCTTCGAGCTGCTGGCAGCGGGCGAGGGTGCCATACTGTATTTGGCCAGCAGCTCCTCAATGGGCATTTCACTCTCCTCCCTGAGCGTGGCAATCTCGTCATCCGGATTGTGTGCCTCCAAATTGGCCAGCGCCTCTTCCTCGTTCAATGTGGCCTCATCGTCAAAGTCATTCACCATCATGTCAATGGTGGGCTCGAACGTTGTGTCCGCCAGCGAGGACGTCGGCGACATTGGAGCCTGTACGCTGGTGCTTGTGTTATCAGAGCTGGTACCTGGCGATTTGCGTCGTTCCCGCTTTGTGGGCGTTAGTGTAAGTTCGCGTCCCGCCATTGTGAGATCGCTATTTAGCAAGCTCCCAGAGTCCGCCGATGCCTCGGAGGCACTATGTGACGAATGTTCTGACGATTTGCCACACTCCATTCTTCCTGTATGGGGCTTTTACCTTTCTGTTGAATTGGCTACCTCTGCTCTGCTGCTTGTTTGGCATTGCATTGGCAGCCTCTGGTCACACTGTGATAGTCCATTTACACTGCCGCGCATTTGCTATCGATATCGATATTGACGCAATTCTAGTCTGAAAGAGGAAACGACACGTTTTCCAGCACGCACAGATAGTGCAAACGGGGCATATAGTTGGGATTTTTTCCCACAGTTCGGTATTTTTTTGGCCAAAGAAACGTTAAATTCTTGTAATATTTATTTGTATTTTCAAATGATTCTGTAATGATGCTGGGAATGAATGAGTGATTGGCATTAGCCGAAATTAAATTAACAAATGCGAATTGTATTTTTTCCCATTACAACAATGGCGCCTTCATCCTGCACTTCCTTCAGGGCATCCTCAAACTGTTCGCGCGTGATTAACTGAAAGGAAAAATATTATCATAGCAGAAACAATAAGCGGTTTGCCATTGCTTACAATTTGGGAGCCCTCTTTGATCTCCTTGAATAGTTTTTGGTAGGGAACGGTAGGCACTTTGCCCTTCTTCTTCAAGTTTTCCTTTATGGTTGCCACCAGATCTGCGCGCTTCTTGCGCGCCGCCGTAGAGAGACCAGTGGTCAATATGCCCACGTCGATTTTTCCAGAGAGAGGATCTGTTGCAGATTGCTTTAAGGCCTCGCGATGGAGTCGCCAGGCCTCCTCGACGTCCAACAACTCAACCTCGTTGCTGAGCCGCACCTTGGCGTGGGCTTCGGACAAACGTATTAGGCTCTCCAATTGACGGGGATAGGCCGAGATTTGGCCACGTCCAGCGCCAACCTTGCGCATATCTACGTAGGCCTGGATCAGGCGCTGCTGGGCCTCGTCCGACAGTGTGGGAGACAAATGTTCGCGGGCATAGGCAATGTAATCGCGCAGCACACTCATATCCTGAGAGTTTCGACAAAAACAGCTCAAAATTTGCAGAAAAATACAACCAAAAAATGGTACTTACAAACATGGTATCCTCTTCCTCATGCCTGGTCACATAGTAGAGCGAGACCAAATGACTGGCCAAACGCTTGTCGAATATCTCATCCTGTGGGTCCAGCACCAAGAAAATCAAATCGAACCGCGAGAGTAGGGTGTGTGGCAACTGTACGTTGTCGATGATGTTCTTGCGCTTGTTCCACTGCGACTCGGCGGGATTGGCAGCTGCAAGTATGGAGGTGCGTGCATTCAGCTGGCAGATGATTCCTGCCTTGGCAATGCTCAGCGTCTGCTGCTCCATTACCTCGTGGAGAACGCTGCGGGTCGAATCGTTCATTTTGTCGAACTCATCAATGCAACAGACACCGTTGTCGGCCAGTACCAGAGCGCCCCTGCAACAACATTCGTAATCCATTAGAAAATATTTCCAAACCCACAAAGAATAAATTATATTTACGTCTGCAGGACCAGCTGGCGTGTCTCTGGATCCTTGGTCACATAGGCGGTTAAGCCGACGGCCGACGAACCCCGTCCGGAGGTATACTGCGACCGCGGCACTAGGTTGTAGACGTATTGAAGCATTTGAGACTTTGATGTGCCTGGATCACCGCAAAGCAGCAAGTGGATTTCCGATCTAAAGTTCTGGCGTCCCAGGGTCGAGTGTTTCTTCTTGGTTCCACCAAACAGCTGCAGGAGGACTCCCTTCTTGATGTCGTCATTCTCATAAATGGAAGGCGCGATGGCCCTGGCCAGGCGATCGTAGATATCCGGTTTCTTGGCCAACAGCTGCAGCAGCTCAATGCGCTCAGGAGGGAAAATATGATCTTTCCTGGAAGTTTAGGAAGAAATAGTTAAATAGTTTAAAAATCATTTGGAAGATCATACGTACCCCTCTTCCTCCTCGTACAGACGCTTGTTGTCTACTTTACGGAAATGCACAACATCGACGTGGGTCTTGTACACGCTTTTCACTTGCTGGCCACTGCCTTTAAGGGGCGTGGCCCGATAGATGCCTGTTACTGTGACACGATCGCCGGGCTGAACCTTGTCGACGAGATCGTTGTGGGCGTAGAGAAGCACGTTGTGGGGTGTCTGGCCGGCGGCCATGTCGTCGGGCGATTCCTGCAGCTTGATGAGCTGCTTGTCCGTGAACTCTGATCGGTTATGGATGAGACGGAAGCAGTGATTGGTGTTGCAGTTGGTGCACAACGTTGGTTGCGAAATGCGACCTCGATCCACCTCGACGGTGGTGCTGAAGGAGCAGATGTTGCAGCTGAAGAAGGCTTCGCGCATTTCCGGTATGATGTTTGAGGAGCGGATCACCATGCCGCAAATACTGATCAGTTGATCCATGTCCTCGGGATTGAGGGAGCGCATATTGCGCGTCTTGTCGGCGTTGAAGGGACGCACCTGTATCTGGTGCTCCAGCAAAGCGGCCGGATATCGTTCGAAGAACATCTCATTGATGGCCATGTCGAAGCCGGGAATCACCTCCTGAGGATAGCAGATTAACTGGCGGTACAAGTCCTGATCAAAGGTCTTCAGATGGGCACTGTTCAGATTCAGATACGGCTCCTCCAATGTGTGAATCTCCTCGAGCTTTTGCAGATACAGAGGCTGATTGACATCTATATTCTCAGAGATTTCATCCTGCTCAGCGGTCGGATCAATAAAGCGCATAATGAACGACTTGAACTTGGACTTGCACTGGCTAACAACTACATTGGTGCCCCAGACCACTAGCTGGGGAGCTTGCGAAGACTCAGAAACAGGATCTGTAGTCTCAGAGCCCTTTTCGGGAATTGGTTCCAGCTGTAATAGAGAAGGATTCGTAGAGTAGAGTTGGAAAGTAGGAGATCTTTACTCACACCAGAGCCGCCACCAATGGTCACTTGACGAATTCGCTTGTCTGTCCGAATATCAGGACGAGCACGCAGCGGAGTACCGCGAATGCCCGAACGGGGCGTACGAATGGAGCCCATGGAGCTGGGCGTGCCATAGTTGAGAGGTGAACTCAGATCGATCTCACTCATGTTGAGTCCGAGACCCCGCGCCGGACTCGTAGCAGGCAAACTTATATTTCCTGGCGATGTGGGTGGCAAACTAATATTGTCCGATGGCCTGGCCGCACGGCCAGGACCCATTCGCATGGGCGTCTCCACATCCTGCGTTGCGATGCCTGCAATCGCCGAGAACAATCATTTATATATTTGTCGGCTGGACTGGACTGGTTTCTTTACCTCTGGTTGGTGTACGAGCTCCCGCTCCTTGCTTTGGGGTACCAGATCCGACACTGGGCGATCGAGCGGGACTTGACATTTCAGATTTAATCGCTTTGCTTTTTCTGTTATTTAAAAACCTCAACTGGAGCTTCTAATATTATTTTTTGTACAATGCCTCGCTGGTTCTTCTCGAGTAAAGCGCGGGAAAAATTGAGAGATGCAGCTGTGCTTAGTGTTGGAAATTACATTGTGGTACGTATGGTATACTCCTGAAATGTTTATCATCTCACGTCAAATCTCAAGGGAATTGCACAGTTTATGGTCTTCTTATAGAGACCAATAATAGGTATTGTGATCGAGATGTATGTGTACACGGAATGAATATAATAGGTCTAATGAAAAAGTCATTATAATTTATTCAAATCAGCTAGCAAAACCGAATTTTAACATTAATTAGGAAAAATAGGGTATAAAAATGTCCATACCATTAGCTAAATCCGATTGACAGCTTTTATTTTTTGTTGATCAATCCAAAAAAAAAGGAGTTTAAAATTATCTAATCTTGTAATAAATCAGATAAAATTATGTGTTCAGTGTTGTTAGTAATATTAGACCGAATATCAATATCTATGAAAATGATTTCCAAGCATGGACAGGGAACGATTAACCCATTGTCGACCAGGGAGTACTAAAATATAGAATCAAATAACCGTTGAAGTGATGAAACTTGAAGAATTTTAGCGGAGTTAAAGTTTAAAATATGGGGGTATTATTTAAAGTAAAGGTAATGAATTTTCTAACAGTATTATTTACCGCGGGCTAACTCAAGTTGTTCACCTGTTTAAATAGGCAGTTAATTGGGTTAAGTAATTATATCGATAAGTCCACTGACAACAACACATTCAAAAGTAGACGGGACGGGTGGCAAATATATATTTGTTTTTGTTATTTATTTTGGTTATCGTTTAATTACCAATGTAGTTCTTTTAAAAAGTACTACGCTAAATTTTAAAATTAGCTTTTGGCTGCAAAATTAAAATACCTAAAAGAAAAGGAAAACAGAAAAATGGCCATCTGAACATCGTGTACAAATAGTATAAGTATTTGCTTGAACTGGAATCCAATTGAAATCACTAGGAACAAACATCATCCATATCCACCGCATCGCCAGCTTCATTCTGATAAAGCTAACGGGATTTTATGCACGAGCACAGTGCTGTGGATTAGTGATAGTGATTAGTGCAGAGGAGAACGTAACGGAACCATGTCAAGCGAGGAGATGCTATATGCAAAGGTATTCCGCACATTATATTGATGCCCTACAAGTGCATTGTTGGCAAATTGCGGCGGTGTCGGTGTCGGTATCGCTTTAGGACGCCAATAGTGCCAAGAATGGGGGGCTAATAAAAATGCATACATAACGTGAATTCTGCTCTGCTACTGTTTGCGTGTGTGTGTGCTCTCGTGTGTTTGCGCCATTTTCGTTTTTCACATTTCTTCATTCTACAAGCAGTGTGTTCTTGCTCTATTAGCCCTTTCCATGGCAGGTGATGACAGGTATTGATGTCATCCAGTCAATGACTGCAGCGAATAGAAATATTTGGGAATGAATCACGGGTCTTATCAGACTCTCTCTGATAAGCCTCGATAATTGCACACAAACATACACAGGTGTACATATGTAGGTGATACAGGAGGATAGCTGATAATGAAGAACATGTTCCATGCAATGTTTACTGACGTTGTCTACATTCTCTTTTCGCAGGGGGCCAAGATCTGGGTGACCCATGCGGAACAGGTGTGGGAGAGTGCCACCTTGGAGGAGAGCTACCGCAAGGGAGCAAGCTTCCTGAAGATCTGCACGGAATCGGGCAGCCTCAAGGAGTTCAAGCTAAAGCCCGATGGAAGCAACCTGCCCCCGCTGCGAAATCCGGCCATTCTGGTTGGGCAAAATGATCTCACAACCCTCTCGTACCTGCATGAGCCCGGGGTGTTGTACAATCTGCGCGTTCGCTTCTGCGAGCGCCAGATTATCTACACCTACTGTGGCATCATACTGGTGGCTATCAATCCGTACGCGGAGATGCCCCTGTATGGGCCCAGTATAATCCGAGCCTATCGCGGTCAATCCATGGGGGATTTGGAGCCGCACATCTTTGCCCTGGCCGAGGAAGCCTACACGAAGCTAGAGCGGGAGAACTGCAACCTGAGTATCATTGTCAGCGGCGAGTCGGGGGCAGGCAAGACGGTCTCCGCCAAGTACGCCATGCGCTACTTCGCCGCCGTCGGCGGCTCCGAGTCCGAAACGCAGGTGGAGCGCAAGGTGCTGGCATCTTCGCCGATCATGGAGGCTTTTGGCAATGCGAAGACTACGCGAAACGACAACAGTTCGCGCTTTGGCAAGTTCACCAAGCTGCTCTTCAAGAACCAGATGGGTGTTATGTATCTGCAGGGAGCCACCGTGCACACCTATCTCCTAGAGAAGTCGCGGGTGGTCTATCAGGCACAGGGGGAGCGCAACTATCACATCTTCTATCAGCTGTGTGCGGCTCGGGCTAAGTACCCTGAATTGTTGCTGGGTAAGCGGAGCGATCTGATCTCCTCTGACAAACTTATCTGATTGAATCCTCTTCCCACAGACCACCAGGACAAGTTTCAGTTCCTGAACATGGGTGGCGCCCCGGACATCGAACGGGTCTCGGATGCCGATCAGTTTAACGAGACTGCACAGGCAATGACGGTACTAGGGTTCTCATTTCAGCAGATAGCGGAGATTGTGAAAATACTGGCTGGCATTCTGCATCTGGGCAACATTGAGGTGACCAAGAAGTACACCGAGGGCGGCGATGATGAAGACACCGATTCCTGTCAAATATCCGTAAGCACCACTCAAGAGCACTTAACGAAAGTCATTGAAATTGAATTTTCCTCTTGTGCAGCACAACGATATTCACCTGCAAATCACTGGGGACCTGCTGCGGGTGAAAACAGAAGATCTGCGTCGCTGGCTTGTAATGCGTAAGATAGAGTCGGTCAATGAACATGTGCTGATACCGAACAGCGTTGAGGCCGGGCAGGCGGCGCGCGATGCGCTGGCCAAGCACATATACGCCAAACTGTTTCAGTATATCGGCGGTGTGCTGAACAAGAGCCTCAACAACGGTAGCAAGCAGTGCAGCTTCATTGGCGTGCTCGATATCTACGGCTTTGAAACGTTTGAGGTGAACTCGTTTGAACAGTTTTGCATAAACTATGCAAACGAGAAGCTCCAGCAGCAGTTCAACCAGCACGTCTTTAAGCTAGAACAGGAGGAGTACCTCAAGGAGGGTATTACCTGGACCATGATCGACTTCTATGACAATCAGCCGTGCATCGATTTAATTGAATCCCGTCTGGGTGTACTCGATCTTCTCGACGAGGAATGTAGGGTAAGATTTAGCTTACATCCCCTTGCAGGATCCACGTTTAGTTCCTTAATGGTTTTCTTAATAAATGTACAATCCATGAATGAATCTTATCTCCTACAGATGCCCAAGGGCTCCGACGAGAGTTGGGCCGGCAAACTCATTGGAAAGTGCAGCAAATTTCCGCACTTTGAGAAGCCCCGCTTTGGCACCACAAGTGAGTTTTCTGTGTCTCTATCTACGCAATCCTAATTCCTAATCACACTCTCAATTCGTTGAAGGCTTCTTCATCAAACACTTCTCGGATATCGTGGAGTATGATGTGAATGGATTCCTGGAAAAGAACCGCGACACTGTCTCCAAGGAACTCACCTCCGTCTTGGCCCTGTCCGACATGTCGCTGGTGAAGCAGGTCATGGCCCTGGAGGACATTGACACTCTTGGTGTGGATGCCAACACAACATCCACATTGGGCGGTCGCGTCGTTATAAGCGCCGGCCGAAAACAGGTTTGTGATGAACATCAGCATATCATTTGATGAAAAGCTTATGTAAACGTCCATAGTGAATATCCATCTTTGATTATTGCTAATTCGTATTTTCCATTCGCTTGTCGTTCACTCCACCAACAACGGCCCTGGAACGTCCAACAGGAGCTCAATGAGACCCGTCGAAGAGTTAGTTGCCACAAAAGTATTTGTATTTATGATCCCAGCAAATGACTAACCCAAAACACATTGATTAACCAGGGTTTGCTTTTAACAACCCCCGCCCCCTCCGCCACCCCCAGCTTGTTTAGTATAGTTTTTAGAATTAATTTAATTGGCGATCACACGGATGATGGTACTGTTAATCTGGTTGTTATACCTTTTATTTCTTTGTTAGTCAGCCTTTCCCTAGACCGTACTCTGTGTGTGTTCTTCTCCCTGCAATTAAACCCATATTGATACTGCTTTCTCCGTTATTAGGTGGTGCCATCCAAGCAGCATAAGAAAACCGTTGGCGCCCAGTTCCAGGAGAGTCTGACATCGCTTATAACTACGTTGCATGCCACCACGCCCCATTACGTGCGTTGCATCAAGGTGAGTTATCCAAAGGAGTTTTTAGATGCCAATAGTCATACGCTTTCTCTGTGGTACTTTAGCCCAACGACGAGAAGATTGCCTTCAAGTGGGAGACCGCCAAGATTATACAACAGCTTAGGGCCTGCGGCGTGCTGGAAACGGTGCGCATCTCGGCCGCCGGCTTCCCCTCGCGCTGGCTCTATCCGGACTTCTATATGCGCTACCAGCTGCTGGCGCATCGCTCGAAGATTGACAAGAACGACTTGAAGCAGTCGTGCCGCAACATTGTGTACAAGTGGATCGAGGACGAGGACAAGAGTCGGTTTGGCAACACACAGATATTCTTTCGTGCCGGCCAGGTAGCTTTCCTCGAACAGGTGCGGGCCAATCTGCGCAAGAAGTACATCACGATTGTACAGTCCGTGGTGCGCCGTTTCATCCATCGACGACGATACCTGAAGTTGCAGATGGTGATCAGCGGTATACAGCGGTATTCGCGTGGCTTCATGGCCCGCGAGCGCGTCCAGAATATGCGTGAAGTTCGCGCTGCCCTTATACTATCAAAATACGCCAAGGGATGGCTGTGTCGGCGTCGCTATCTACGTCTGCGGCACTCTATTGCAGGGATACAGACTTACGCTCGCGGCATGCTGGCCCGCAGCAAGTTTTATGCCCTGCGAGATCACTATCGGGCCGTGCAGATCCAACGCTTCGTACGTGGCGTGCTGGCGCGACGCGCCTATCATCACAAGCGGCGCAATATCATCATTTGCCAGGCGGCGGTGCGGCGCTTCTTGGCGCGGCGCAAGTTCAAGCGCATGAAGGCCGAGGCCAAGACCATATCGCACATGGAGAACAAGTACATGGGCCTCGAGAACAAGATTATTTCCATGCAGCAGCGCATCGATGAGCTAAACCGAGACAACAGCAATCTGAAACACAAAACCAGCGAGATCAGCGTCCTAAAGTTAGTATTAGTCGGTGAGCAAATTCGGTGATGTATTCTCCTCTTAACACATGTTTCTTTTTCAGAATGAAGCTGGAGATGAAGAAGAACCTGGAGGGCGAGTTCAAGAACGTGAAGGCTGCCTGCATGGACAAGGATATGCTGATAGCGGCCCTCAACAAGCAGCTGGAGGCGGAGCGGGACGAGAAAATGCAACTGCTGGAGGAGAACGGACACTCGCAGGAGGAATGGCTGAGCCAGAAACAGTCGTACTGCCTAGAAAACGAGGAGCTGCGCAAGCAAGTGGACCAAATGATCGAGATGGCCAAGAACGTAGAGGCTACACAGCACGACCAGAACGTGCGTATGCTGGCCGAGATCGACAACAACGAACTGAACGAAGCCTATCAGCGTGCCATCAAAGACAAGGAGGTGATAGAGAACGAGAACTACCAGCTGAAGGAGGAGCTGAGTCGACTTCAGCAAAACGGCGTCTACAGCCTGCGCGGGAGGAGCGGGAGCAACGCCTCCAGTCAGAACGAGGAAGACGTTGGCTATGGCTCGGCCAAGAACACGCTTGACATTAATCGGACGTCAGATTTGCAGAGCAAGAGCAGTACGAGCGAGGCCCTCTTTCCTGATATATAAGATGGATCTTATGGACTCTAATTTCTTTGCAGATACCTCTGCGGACTGCACCAGCCTGGTGATGAAGCTGCGCTCCATCTTGGAGGCAGAGAAGTTGAAGCACAAGGTCCTGCAGGAGCAATACATAAAGCTGGCAAGTCGCAACAAGCCTACGGAGGACTCGTTCCGGTAAGTGTGAAAGACACCTTTCTCCTCAAATGACTGCTCAAAAATGTAGCCACAAGATTGATCGCTGGATCGATGTTACCATGCTACAACGACAACTACATTTATGTATTATTGCATGCCACACACTGCTTACCACACCACACACCATAGCGTCTCCGAGCTTGAGGTAGAGAACGAGAAATTGCGCAGCGACCACGAGCAGCTGCGAACGAGCATTAAACACGGTGTTGAGATCAACGAGCTCAATGGTAACAGCCTTCGCATGCCGGGCGCTCCACGCGGCTACCGTACTTATTCGGGCGTCCCCCTGTTCCCCCCTCTTTACCATTGCAGCCCAGTATGCCGCCCTACAGGAAGAGGTTCGTAGACGACGCGACGAGTGCATCCAGCTGAAGGCTGTCCTGCTGCAGCAGAACCAGACACTGCGATCCTTTGAGCCGGAGAGCATGCATCTGCGGGGCAACGATGTTAATGAGCTTCTAGAAGCTTTCCAGTCCCAGAAACTTGTCAATCGGTGAGTGCTGACAAAAGAATCAATCGAAACACGTTCTCCATTCTCGCATTTCCATTCGCAGACAACTCGAGGACGAGTTGAAGGCCATTACGGAAGAGCACAACAGTAAGCTTGTGGAGATGACGCAGGAGATCGATCGTCTGCACAACGAACAGGATGAGCTGCAGAAGGTAATCTTCGAGAGCATCGATGCGTCCGAGGACGCCAATGTTGAAACACTCAAGCAAAACGACCGATTCCTACGCCGAGAACTGCAGAAGGCTGTCGCCCAATTCCTGCTGGTCCAAGAGGAGCTGAAGCTGGCGAACGCCAAGCTCCAGGCCTACCGCCAGAACGGTGGACAGCTAGAGCACAAGTTGGAGGAGGAAATGATCCGCAGCAAAGGTAGCGGCTCGGGCTCGGCTGACCAGAAGCGCCTCAGCAATGACTTGGGGGCTAATGTAACCAAACAAAAGTCTCAAAATCCGCAAGGCCTCATGAAGTTCCATAGCATCGACCTGGACAAGATACTGCAGCGTCTCCTTAGCACCATGACGCCGCGAACAGTAGTCGGACTTTTGCCTGGATTTCCAGCGTATCTCATATTTATGTGCATTCGGTGAGCTCTAAAAATCTATATATGTATATATAAGGTTAGGTTAGCCCGGACGGCCACTCACAGGCCAATATCGGATGGGGGGTAAAAACTGTCGCGGGTACCGTACTCTATCCTCTGCTTGGCCCCTATATATATTATATATGTAATATATTCTCCTTTTCCTTTCAAGATATACTGATCTAACCAATGCCGACGACGATGTGCGCGAGTTGCTAAGCAAATTCGTGATTCAAATCAAGAAAATGCATCGCACACCGCATCCCATTGAGAACCGTGTCATTTGGCTGGTTAACTCTATTACGTAAGCCATAATCTCAGCTTCCATCCTGCTGGTTGGCATCGTAATATCAACATGCTTCTCTCCCTATTCCCACAGGCTGCTTAATCTCCTCAAGCAATACGGAGACGTAGAAGAGTACGTGAAGCTAAATACGGAGAAGCAGAACCAGCAGCAGCTGAAGAACTTCAATCTCTTTGAATACCGTCGCGTGATTCTGGATCTGATCGTGAATCTGTACCAGGCCCTAATAATGCAGATTCAGGGACTGTTGGATTCCAAAATAGTTCCCGCCATTCTGAAGAACGATGAGATTCAGCGGGGCCGGCAGCCACACGGCATGCGCGGTCGCACGACTTCGATCGGAGCGGGACCCTCGCCGGAACACGGCGGCGGGCCAGCTTGGAAGCAGTTGATCGGCCAGCTGGAGCACTTCTACAAGCAATTCCAGCACTTTGGCCTGGACAATTGCTATGCAGAGCAGATATTCCACCAGCTGCTTTACTTCGTGTGTGCCGTGGCCCTCAATTGTCTTATGTTGCGCGGCGACATCTGCATGTGGGAGACGGGCATGGTAATACGCTACAATATTGGCTGCATTGAGGACTGGGTGCGCAGCAAGAAAATGGTGGGACTCCTCGACGATTGTCATTTATATATCGAATTCTTCCACTAACGCTTGGTTCTTCCAGTCCAACGACGTTCTGACAGCCCTGTCGCCGCTGAACCAGGTATCCCAGCTGCTGCAGTCGCGCAAGAGCGAACAGGATGTTCAGACTATCTGTGATCTGTGCACGTCGCTGAGTACAGCGCAGGTCCTGAAAGTCATGAAGTCCTACAAGCTGGATGACTATGAAAATAAGATTACCAACGTGTTCTTGGAAAAACTCACCAAGGAGCTGAATGCCCGACAAACGGTAGGAAAATAACTTCATGTTATGCTGCTGCGTATACGCAATGTTTTGGTTCTCTCTTTCAGCAAAAGGGCAACAGCGATGAGTTCACCATGGACCAGAAATTCATTCAGCCTTTCAAGGTGATCTTCAGGTACAGCGATATCAAGCTGGAGGATATCGAGCTGCCGTCGCATCTCAATCTGGATGAGTTTCTCGAGAAAATATAAATGTGTGGGTCCCGCCTTTTCACAGATCTGACTGCAATGCCATTTAGACCGACAGAGAAGCGCTTTCTTTTAGTGTATTATATAATATACATATTTATATTATAGAAAATAATAATGTTCTTAGCAAATCAATTAGAATATGAAATGTTGAGAAATGTTTGCCGAAACGAAATCCATTTAGTTCCTGTTTAGCTTAAAATGTCAAACACAACACTTGATTCCAGTTTACTTTAAGCTCGTGATCCAAGTCCATTCCATGTTCCCCCTGGCATCCACCGAAGATTGCAAGGTTTAGGTTATTATTATACGAATTGAAGTGAAAATGATGAGCGGTTCTGAACCGATCGTAATGTGAAATGCAATAAGTGCCGGGAGTACGACTCCCTCCAACCATAAAGAAGAGCATTATTGGCCTTAGCCTTATACCTTAAAAAAAATTGTAGTGAATTTACTCGAGGCCGACTATTGCCTTAAACTGTTTGTGTGGCTTATAGAGATCACAGACGTTAGGATAAGACTCATGATGAACACCGAAACGTTGCTTTACTCTATTTATTTATGTGTAGTCTCATTTCTTGTGTAGTTTATAACTTTGTGTTTCTCAAATGGCGCCATGGCTGATCTGATTGATCCGCAACTGGAGAAGATTGGCCAATTAAAAATACGTTGGCATTTCTTTGAACTATTTATAATAAGTATTTTCCCTACTTATACACATACATATGTATATCAACTTAACAGATGCGCGTGTACAATTAAATACAATATATAAAAGTGTACATAAAAATAGAGGCAGCCGCTTTAGCTGGTTACTACCGCCTTCGACAACTTGTTCTTGGGGAGATCAAGGGATGGCAGTCGCTGAGTTATCATGCCCGTGGCCACAGTAGCTCCATTCTCCCTAATGGTAAACGCCTGGCCCGATGTCATGACCATTTTTCGCAGCAATGTAACCCGAACCTGACCGTGCTCACCCGGCATTAGCATGGCCTCGCTGGGCACTGTAAGATTGGTTATTAGTTGGGAGCATAGTTTAATAATATTAAATCTCCTCCTCACCCATGTCAATGCGCGCTGGGACATTCCACGTCATGCTGAACAGCTGCTGGATGTACTTCGAGAGCATCGGCTTAAAGCGGCCACCCTCGGCACGCGATAGCAAATACATAGAGCCCTCAAAGTGGTTCGAAACATCCTCTGAGCCCGATGCACAGAGAAGCATGCCTCGCTCCACGGCGGAAATTTTAATGCCCCGCAGAAGGGCACCGACATTTTCGCCGGCCAGCGCCTGGGGGACGCTCTTGCGGAAGATCTGTATGTCACTGACGCTCGTTTTGAGGTTCTGATTGAAGCCCAACAGATCTGCATCGGCATTGCGCAGAATGGTGCCCCTCTTGATGGTTCCCACAACCACCGTGCCACGTCCTGGAACAGTAAATGCATTATCAATTGGCAGGATGAATGGAGCCTTCACGTCGCGTTGTGGTGTTGGTATATAGGAGTCACAATGCTGCAACAGCTTCTCAATGGCCGGTACTCCAAATTCCGATTGATCCTCGCGGAGTGCTAAAAGGGCCGAACCACAAATGACTGGGCTGTTGACGCCATCAAAGCCAAAATCACTCAGCATCTCGCGCATCTCGATCTCCACCAACTCCAATACCTCCTGATCTACTAGATCGGCTTTGTTGATAAACACCACAATGCGCTGTATGCCCACTTGCTTCGCCAGCAGCAAATGTTCGCGAGTTTGGGGCATTTGTCCGTCCGTCGCCGCCACAACAAGTATAGCACCATCCATTTGGGAAGCTCCTGAGATCATGTTCTACATCCAGTAGAGAAGGACAGTTAGCTGCTAGTTAATTCTTTGAGTTGGGAAAGTTCACCTTTATGTAATCTGCATGCCCGGGACAATCGGTGTGGGCGTAGGTACGCTCCGTGGTGGCGTAGCCGATGTGGCACGCGTTTATGGTTATGCCCCGTGCCTTTTCCTCTGGCGCCCGGTCGATTTGGTCGTACGAGCAGTATTCAGCCAGTCCCTTATTGGACTGGATTTTTGTAATGGCAGCAGTAAGCGTCGTTTTGCCATGGTCTACATGACCAATAGTTCCCACATTACAGTGCGGTCTTTCACGTAATTTAGTCGCCGGGTTCTGACTGCCACTGGTGGCCAATTGACGGGTGCTCCTCCAGCTCCAGCTACAGCTGATTCCCTTGACAACATATTTCTGGGAGACCGTCTGCCGAAAAACAGCATCACATTGAAGCCACAACTTCGGAAGAAATCCTCTCATTTCTCAGTCAAGACAAACGGAACGGGAATAAATATGCACGTAACGTGTTTGCTCAATCAAAACAGGAACAGCTGTTCATACAGTGTTACACAATGCCCAGCATAATAAAGAGCAGGGGACCGTTTGAATAAATTCTAGCAAATTGCAATTTCAAAATGTTTTTTATTTGTCTGAAATGTCGTGAGATTGTGGGAATGTATGTTTAAGTAGGGAGTCGTTGGTAGTCTCAGCTCCTTTCAAAGTGTTTTTAATAATCTTATGGGTTCGCCTCATGTGAACACCCAAGCTAACCCGCTCAGAGAAACGGGTGCTGCAGAGTGTACACTGAAGTGTTTTCTCCCGGTGTATGTGCCGATGCTTGACCAGGGCGTTGGCGTTCGTAAAGGCTTTCTGGCAGACATCACATACCTTGTCGCGTATATTTAAGTGCGCCTTAACATGATCCTTGAGATCGCGCTTGGTAAAAAAGTCTTTGGGGCACATTGTGCACTTGAATGCACGAATTTTGGTGTGCACGGCGGTTACATGCGTGCTCAGTTGAATCTTTTGTCTAAAAGATTTTCCGCAGAATTCGCAGATATACGGCTTGTCCACATGTTTCTCATCATGAGAGCGTTTGTGAGTGGCTAGTTGGCTGGCAAAGGCGAAGCTTCGACTGCAGATATGGCAGGTGAATGTTTTGCTCATGTGAACACGCTGATTATGCTGTTGCAGATGGCACCGTCTCTCGAAATTCAGCTCACACAAGGGGCATTTAAACCAGCCACCATCGCCTAGTTTGTGATCTTTGAACTGATGTGCCTGCAACGCATGATCAGTGCTGAAACTTTTTTCGCAAATATGGCATTGTAACTTCTGGCGGAACGTTTTCGTCGGCATAAAGTTCTGGCACCTCTCAATGTAGTCTTTCTCAGCCGTCGATAGGCCGACAGTCTGAACTTCAGTCAGAGTCTTCATCTTTCGAGAATACCACTGGCGTAGGCTTAGAATGCTGTCGTAGACATCGTAGTGGGTGATAACTCCCAGTGGAACTTCTGAGGAGAGCACATCTGTAATTTCTATATAAGCATTTTTACGCTCACTCAGACTCGAGAAGTTCTTGTGGGCCGGATCGTACAGGTGCGGAAATTTGGAATACAGTTTAATAAAAAGACTTGTCAACAGATTTTCTTCCGTAAACAAGAGCTGCAAGAAGGCAAGTTATTATTAAATTATCGCATATTCTTTTAAATAAAGCTAACCTTGATCTTGCCATCGCCGCCATCGTCATCGCTGTCACCTTCCTCTACAATACCTCGCTCCGCCAAGAAGTTGTATTTTGCGTGATAGTACAGTGGGACCTTGGTCAGTTTTTGTATCTTTTTTTGCCGCGTTATTGCTGCATATTGAGAGTGCAGACTGGCTATAGACTTCTTCAGTCTATAGATCGTCAGATGAATGTTGGCAGACGCTTTCAACTTCTCCATCAGGGACTCGTATGCATCGGTACGTTTTTCTTTGTTTTTATAGGACGCATCTGAAGGATCCCAAAGGCACGGATGATCTCTATAGAGCTCGATGAATTGAGTAATGCGTGGACTGCGTCGGTAGAAAGTTGGATTAAACTAAAAATAATCCAGACGACGGTTTGGATCAAAGTATTCACCTACAAAGGAGTCATGTATGTGCTTACTTTTACTACTGGCGAGAAGTCTGTTGTTGTATGTGCTCGTGCTCCTTCCAGTTCGCATGCAACCGGCATTGATGGGGAGTCTTCATCATCGCCTTCGTCTTCATCGGATGATATGGGAAGATCCACAATCATCCCCTCGGCTAAACAATCTTCATCATCCTTCACAGGCCCACGCTGCTTTGTCTCTGTTGGGGAGTTGTCACTGCTCTCACAAGCATCGAACTCGCTATCACTCGCTTGATCCTCTTCTCTATGCCGCTTAATGTGCAGGACGAACTCCTTCCACCTCTCAATATCCATTTCCACGTCACAGTCATTGCACAGCCCACAACTCAAAACGAAATGTTCGTATTTGCTCCGTGCTAGAATGTTTCCACAAATCACCATTATTAAATCACATTAAACAAAACAGTAAACACGAAAAAAGTTCTACCGATGTAAAACAGCTGCTGTTCCAGCAGTGCTGGGAAACGAGAAAAGTTTGATGTGTTGTATTTGAGTGGTGTACACAAAATTTAAATAAATTAATAAATAAATGAATTAAGAGGCCAACATAATATATCATAATTTATTTCAAGAAAACAAGAAAACCCATTTGGCAGCTTTATACAACTCCTTAAACTTATTAAATACAAGTCTGTTTTGTAGAGACTAACAATATTAGGTGCCTAATCTAATTTACTTCTATGATTAAATCTACGATGCCTAGACAGAGAAGAATGGTCATAAAAGGAAGCGTCGCATTTGTCGCATTTCTTATCACGGATATTTAAATGCCCCTTGAGGTGATTCGTCAGTTCAAATTTCTTACGGAAATTTTTTTCGCACATATTACACTTAAACGGCCGTATATTCAAATGGAAACCATTTATGTGGTGATCCAGCAGTAGCTTGAGCCGGAACCCCTTCCCACACATATCACACACATATGGGCGCTCGCCGGTATGAACTTTCGTGTGCACTTTTAGATCACACTCAACGGAGAAAAACTTATCGCAAAATTTGCATTGAAATTTACGTTCACAGTGTGCTCGCAAAATGTGCTTCTCCATGTCGTGTTGTCTTTCGAAGCGTCTTGGGCACTGGGAACAGAGGAATGGCGGTTCACCCTGGTTATGTTGCTTGAACATGTGCGTCAGGAGGTTGTAGTCCCCGTGGAATCGCTTGCCGCAGTGTTCACAGTACCATACGTGGCCGTCTGATTTGACGGGTAGAAAGCTGCACATTTGCAGGTATTGAAGTTCTTGTGGAGTGACGGCTTTAATTAGTTCCTTCGCCTTAATACGCCTCATGGCTTCGTATACCCATTTCCGCAGTTTTTGGATCGCAATATAAACATCCGTATCGTTGGCCAGAACCACTGGCCTAAATTCGACGGCCATCCTTTTGTACGCACTTGTACGTTGCTCCACCGACTCAAAACCAGGATCCGAGGTATTGTAGAGAACTGGATAGTTTGCGTATGTATCTATAAAAGAGCTGGTTACCTCGTTCTCTACTTTGAAGTTGAGCTGAAACGGAATTGAAGTCTTAATTAACGTTCTACATATACCGACCGTACTCACCTTAATTGTATCCAGTTGGATATCTTCCTCGTCGTCGGTTAGCGTTGTACAGGGAGTGGAACGGAGGAATTCACATTTGGCAAAGTATCGGGCCGCCAGTCCAATGAGCTTATCCTCGCCAGCCATTTGGGCTGCAAGAGTGTATTGACTATGCAACTGATGGATGGTTTTTATTAACTCTTCTTCGGTGAAGAGCACATTGGCCTTTTCGTCCAATCGCAGTATCATCAGATGGTATGCCTCCGATCGTGCCTCCTCATTTTCGTAGTACTCGTCCGAGGGATTCCAAAGGCAGGGATGCTCCTTGTAGGCTTCAATGAGGTGTAACACGCGAGGATTGCGTCGAATAAATGTAACCTTTAACTGGAAGAATATACAAATTAGTGCTAGGTCAGAGAAAGGTACATGGCAGCGTACTTTAAAAACTTGTCCGGGTCGCGTCATTCTGGGGCGACGGCCAAGTCTTAGTGTTTTTGGGCCCTCTGCTTCTTCTTGTTCATCATACGAGAAATTGTCCAGGTCATCAAACATATCATCCTTTTGAGAACCAATGCTCGAAAAACCGTCGTAGACAATTTCATCTAATGGGGCCTGCGCCATTTCAGACGATTCCATTTCCTCATACGTGAATTCTGTATTGTTATTGTCATATTCAATATCCTGGACGTATTGCATGTTCTGCGAATGTTTGAAGAAATTAAAGTGATTTTAATCTTATTATGAGTGATTTACTTACGTTCACATCCGCCTCATCGTTGGGCCATTCCTCGTCTTCGAGTATGCAATATGGCAACGCACTCTGGTCATCTACTTCTTCAATCGGTTCCGCATCGTCTAAGATCTGAGGGACTTCATATGCGATTGTGGAGTCCATCCTTGAGTCTTGCTCGTTCCAATTTTTGTCAATGTTTTCATCATCATCAAAGTGGTGGGCATTTCTCACATGAATTGTGAACTGCTCCCAATCTTTTAGGTCGCTTTCAATTGTGCAATAAATGCATTTCAACCGAAACTGCTGGTAATTGTTGCTAACCAAAACGCTGCCGCATACCTCCATTATGCAGGCTTGCAAATGCTCTGAAGAAATGAATATTCAGTGCACTGCGTTTGTAATATTTACGAAGCCACTTTGGTGCAATTATTATCATTTCACCTAGTGCTGCAAAACGCGTAAATGCTACCCGCAGATATCGTCATCGATATCGTTATCGCCTATCGCATGGATTGAAAAAAGAATTGGACTGTTTTCGAATATTTATTTACTACATTTTTAACTCTTTTTAGCTGATTCCAGTCTCCACGATGTCGGTTGCCTTTTGTAAATTGTTTCGAACGATATTATGGGTGCGCTTCATGTGAGAATTCAGTCCCACAAACTGCGAAAAGCGTGCATCGCACAGTTTGCACACAAATTTCTTTACCTCGGAGTGTATTTGGCGGTGGCGGATTAGCGAGTGGCAGCTCGTAAATCCTTTGCCGCAAATTGTGCAAATTTTGTCGCGGATATTCAAATGGCTCTTGATATGATCCGACAAGTCGACTTTTTTCACAAAATCCTTGGGACACATTGTGCACTTGAAGGCTCTTACTTTCGTGTGAATTGCAGTGACATGGAGATTCATCTGCGACTTCAGTCGAAATGCCTTGCCACACAGCTCGCAGACGAAGGGCTTCTGGCCAGTATGCGTACGGATATGCAATTGCAAATCCGACTTGACGGCAAAACTCCTTTCGCAATGGCCGCATTGGTGCGTCTTGCCAATGTGAACCCGTTGCTTGTGGTTGGCTAGTTCACCCCGTCCAACGAAGCTCCGATCGCATAGAGTGCACTTAAAGGGCAGCTCGCCAATATTATGAGCCTTGAAGATGTGCGACTGGAGCACGTGATCGGATGAGGTGACTATATGGCAAATTTCACAAACCAACCTCTGCTTGAACATTTTCGGAGGCAGGAACCGACAGACCTTCAAATAAAACTGCTCTGCCTCATTGCCAGCGTTGATACCATGTTTCGAGCTCTTGTAGTACCATTGTCGTATGTTTTGGATGGCCCGAAAGATATCATCGCTGTTGATATCCACATTCGGCACCGAGATTTCGACAGCCAAACTCTCATAGGCCTGCTTGCGGGAATTCATGCTGGAGAACTCGCTGTGGGTGTGATCGTAGAGTTGCGGAAAGTTCCCGTATAGCTCTATTAGCTCTGTAGTAAGCTTATTTTTCTTGGTGAAGTCCAGCTGTAAAAATAAATGCGATTAGCAGTCGTGTTTTTCGTGTTTTTAGTTCAAATCTTGCCCGTATTTTTTCGTTTTTGTACAGGTCCTTCTGATCCCCGCAGTCTTGTAAAAAACTACAGAGTGTGTAATGGGTGAACGCCACTGATTGGGACTTCTGGGTGCCGCAGAGCATTCGCTTGTGAACGGTGTTGTATTGCAGATGAATCTTTCTTATGGAAGCTTTTAGCGAGATTTCATTTAAAAACATCGCTGCCTTCGCCTCCAAATCACATATCATCTTTCGATAGGCTTCCTTGCATGCATTGGGGTCCTTATAGTGGCTATTTTCCGGGTTCCAAAGGCAGGGATGTTCCTTGTAGAGCTTAATTAACGTTAGCGTTCGAGGATCCCGGCGAAAGAACGATGGGTGAAACTGAATTATCAAGGTGGGAATTAGTTTGGCTTGGTTTAGTTAGGCATTGTCTACAGCAGTACTGTACCTTGTATATGGGAGTAGCCAGCGCAGTCTTTTCATCCTCTTTTTCTGCAGATCTATTTGAATCAGCTTTCAAGTCCGTTTCCACATACTCGGTTTGACTTGTCTCTGAATCCGACTCGTATAGCGAGGAGACTGTCTGCGAAGTGACAGCCTCGATTTCCAACTGTATTTTTGTGCCATCTTGAACTTCATTATCTTGAGGTAGCACGTCTTTTAGATTGTCCAGATGCTTCAGATGCTCTTTTTCGTCATCCTTTTCACCTTCTTCGTCGGTTGCGTCGTCATCCTGGTAATCTTCATCCAGAAATTCTGCTTTAATGCTGGAGTTGGCGTCCAAGTCCATGCCCCTATGTTCGGCATCCAATTCCAAAGCGCTGTGCATATTGCGATAGTGCATCACAAATTCCTGCCATTTTTCCACCTCAACGTCTATGGGGCAATACGAGCATCGCATCAGAAACGTTTTGTAGTCTCGGCTCACATAGATAAACCCACAAGTTTCCATTTTGGTGAAGCAAGAAAATACTCAATTGTTTACATCCCGATCAGCTGCTGCGAATCGAGCTCCATCGATAGTTTTGAATGCTTTGAAAAAAAAAATCAGTACTATCGTGATAGTATCGCGCTCAAATAATTAATATTAAAAAAGGCTATTTTTCAATATATAGTTCATAGCGTTATTTATTCTTATTGTTGCACAATAAAATCGTTGTAATAGTTCTCGAAGATCTCTCGCTGCTCACCGGCCAGGTACTCCAGCTTGCCCCTCATCTCTTGCTGCTGCTGATCGCTGCGCTTGCATTTGCTCAATGCCCATAGATCCCACAAATAAGTCATCTGGCTGAGATACTCCATTGAGGTGCCACCACTGTGAGCGGCAGTGCCCTCCAGTTGTGTCCCGATAATTCGCATTAGATTCTCATAGTCAACGTCGTCCAAAACGCAGCCCTCTGTACAGGAATAGATGATTGCCATAATCTTTGAATGTCTCTTTCAGCTATCTTACCGTCCATCTCAGCAAAGCATGCTTCGATGATCATTTCCGCTAGTTTCCCTTTCAGGATGTGGTGTTCCAACAACCACTTGTCCAGACCATCGAAAGCCTTGTAGAGTGCTCGCCTTGCTTTGACCTCACCACAGCAGTCGATGAGACACAGAAAATCGTTGTACCACGAAAAGGCTTGTGTCTCTTTGCACACAGGGCAGCAAACGGAAGCCACCGTTGCATCCGGAGGATGCATCCACCAGTTGAGGTTTGTCTGGTGGGGAAGTGGCTTTGGCACAAATTCTTGAAGGCAGTTCGGATTTTCACAGCGATACCGATGGAACTTCAACTGTCCAAAATATGCATACGATTATTTAATTGTTGAGTCAAAGAAGAAAACTGCATAATATTTACGTAGTCCTGGTCCGGATTCGTTCGAGTACACTTCTCACAACTGCAGTCAAATTTGTAAACTTGCTGCAACGGCTGCGACCTCTGGCGGATCATGCTCCTTTTGTAGTCCATCGTGTAGCAGTTGAAAATCTCTTCGCCCGCTTCTAATTCCACTGCCGACTGGCAGACCGCCGTGCAACCGTCGAATTTCGTGCGTATGGAGGGGGCACAGGCATGATTGCAAAGACTCAGATAGGGCAGATTGATAGCTGTGAGGGGCTCCGTTTGGCTCAGATTATGCATTTGACCCAGCTTGAGGTGGCGCGGTTTCAACCACATTTCCGGCTGCAGTAGGCCAAACTCGCTGGCCTCCAGGTCCACTGGCAGGAGAGCGTCACCGACATGGCCGTTAACCAGGAGCTGCCCGGCACTACGGAGAATCAAAGCGGCTAAAATCAAGTGCCAGTCCTCAATGGGGGCAGTCATGGCCTGGAACTGATCGAAGAAGTTGGTGTAATCCTTTAAATAGAGCTGCAGCAGGTTGGCGCAGAGCATGTGGTAAACCAGCTCCGCCTGAGGCGCCTTGTCCAGGTGGCTTATCATGCGGAGACTCTGCAGATACTGCGGTGTCGGCTCATTTTCATTGTCGGCTCCCTTTGCCAGCGTCGTGATAGTCGCCCACATCTCGGACGAGTCGGGGCATTCTTGCAGCTTTGGCAGCATCGACGGCATATAGCTTAGGACCATGCGCAGCGCCAAGTGCGAAACGCCTACCATCTTGAGCAGATCTTTGCGGTAAGCGGCACATTCAAATTTGTGGATGGGTTTGTGGCGCTCGCGACATTGTCTGGAGCAGTAGACAACTCGCTGCCGACACTGCGGACAGGGAATGGGAGCGCACAACAGGCTGGCTGCGCATTGCTGGCAAATCAGTCTTTGCTCAAGAGGCACAAAGCAGGTGGCCTGCTCCCTGAATATGATTTTGCCTTGCGGTATGGCTTCTTTGGCAATCATGTAGCGCCCACGGCTGCCAGACTCTGTGACGCTGAAATAATGATTAATAATTGATTAGAACGGACCACACCACAGGAATGTGTATTCAATTACATTTCATGAATGGGACCGGTCTTCTCTTGATCATTGACTGATTTATCATTCGACGACTGGCTTTGTAGCAACTCCAAGCTCCTTTTCAGATCCTCCAGCTGCTGGCGAAAGCTTTCGTTCAATTCCAACTTCTCCAAACATAGTATGTGCTTCGCCAGTTGCTCGATTCGTTTCAGTTTCCAAGCACAGTGAGCTTGCCGGAAGATTACCTTGTGCTGAAGTTTTACCGGGTAGCCGCAGTCCAGGGCATTTGCACAGTCGTCGTATGCCTCTTGGTAGTAGCCGTATTCCTGTAGTGCCATTCCGCGGTTAGCAAATGCCAAACAGAGTTCACTTTCAGCGTCTTCCGCTGCTAATACGGCCTTTGTGTAGAGGCGACATGCCCCGAGGACCCGTTCCGCGTCCTCATCTGAACCAAGATCCTTCGAAGAGGATCTAAATAGGAGGTTCCCCTGCTCGCGCCACTGCCGTGATCTTTCGGCACACGATTCCCTAACATGTGGCTGTTCCAAGTCGTCAAGCAGCTTGAGCGTCAACTCCTGGAAATGCTGTCTCTTTTCCCCCGGCAGAGAGTGGAGTGCTTTGATGGCCTCATATTCATTCTGATATGCCCCAACCGGAGCGATTAGCTCGTCCTGTTGTGTGAAAACCTTCGCCAAACGGTCCATCAAATAAGTTGTTTGCCAAAATATTCAACAGAGACGAAGCTGGTTTTATTTAGTGCACAAAGTTATCGGAATAACCGCGGCAAAAGTGTGTCGATACCCTTAGGTCGAAATATATTGGTGCGAACATTTTAAATTGAATTTTCCTCTTAGCAAAATTGTTTAGTAGACTCTCTTTTAATGGCATTACGGTCTTTAAAAAAAAAGATCCACAAACTGGAGGCCCACGTCCATAAATACGGAGAGCACACGAGCATAAAGATCTTGAGTGGATTCCTTGTGCGCATGCCAGCGGCGATTGAAGATCACATATGATGTCCTGCAAATCAGATCGCAGTCGGGCCGACATATAGGGTTTCGATCAGGTCACGTTGCACAACTTGCCGAAGACCTGGGAGACAGTACAGCAAATTCGTTTGGTACATTTTCTGTGCCTGAACGGACACAAATATATATTGTATCGTTAGTATCGTCTCTCGGCTGCTATCGATACGCTTTGTTTATCTTCTGAAACTGACAGGCGGGCGGCACTTTCGGAGTTTACAGTCAGGAGCCGGGCAATTTCCAATGCAAAAAGCGAAATGGAGCACCACAAGAGTCGGATGGGGTACACGCTCTGCATGCTAACTCTGTTCATGTGCGGAGCCGTTCTCTTCCTTATTGGATTTTTTCCAGCCTCTTATTCGGCGTCGGAGGAAGAAAAGAGCATACCCAATGACCGGCCAACAACACTCCATGGCATAAAGTAGGTGAACAAATCGGTGTCGGCACGCGACCAGATAACAACCTGATAACGTGTTCTCTTTTCAGGCTGGAACCGCCGCCACCGAGCTACGACTCCTTTATACTATTCCTTGTGGATGCTTTGCGCGAAGACTTTCCTAGTGCCACGTCCATGCCAGTAGCGTTTGCCAGGGCCTGCGAAAAGTTGACGCTTCACGTGGACATACCGACGGTGACGATGCCACGACTGAAAAGCATTACCACCGGCACCCTCTCCAACTTTATCGACATAGCACTCAATGTGGGCCACACAGAGCAATTGGAGGACTCACTGCTTCATCGGCTTAAACAACGGAACCGCGTCGTGTCCTTTGCCGGTGACCACACCTGGGTAAACCTGTTCCCCAGTGAGTTTACACGGCGTGCGGAGAACAACGACTCCTTTTTCGTCAACGACTTCTACGAGGTGCGTAATTGCCACCCAACAAATTATCGGATCAAATAATAATTTGATTTGGCGCAGGGCGACAGAAACGTGACTAAAGTGCTGGAGTCAGAGCTGGAGATGAATGACTGGTCCTTACTGATACTGCACTATCTAGGCTTGGACCACATTGGCCATGTCGAGGGCAATGAGAGTCCAAAGGTGCAACACAAACTGAAGGAAATGGACGAGTCGGTTCAAAAGATACTGGATCATAGGGTGAGAGAAATTTGAAAAATCAGGTATTTCTGCTAAGTCTAAATATTTTGAAATGAACACAACCGCAGAACTTTCCAAACTACATGGTCCTGTTGACAGGCGACCACGGCATGGCTGATGGCGGTGGACATGGAGGCAACACGCCAGCGGAAACTCTGGTGCCGCTGTATTTGTATTCGAAGAACTGCTCCAAGCCCAGGTACAGGCCCGCTTACATTAAACCTGGGTGCTTCTGTTAATCGAGTTTCAACTTTGTTCAGTTCTGGCAGTAAGCGATATAACCAAATCGACTTAGCACCCACCTTGGCGGTTCTACTGTCTGTTGAGATACCTTCCCTGTCCATTGGCTGCCTGATACCGGAGATGCTGCAGTCATTATCATTGGAGCACGAGATGTACGCCTACTTTTACAACGCCCATCACCTGTTGAACAAGGCCAGAGTAAAGTTCGGCCATGAAAAAGTGCGCCGCAGCGGTGTGTATGCTACAATATCCACCTTATTTATATTAACTGAGCAAGCTATATAATATTTTTAGATTACTACACCTGGTATCAAAACGCGACTCTGCTGCACAGGCAGCTGCTGTTGCCGCTTCGGGATGGGGACGGCAGCGGGACCAGCCAGGTGCTCTATCAGAATGCCAAGTTGAATTACATTCGTTTGGCTCGCGAGATTTCCGGGCTCCTCTCAGAGTCGCTGGTAAAGTTTGACTACGGATTCATTGTATTGGGACTGTCGCTTACCACCGCCGTAAGTTCATGCAATGCATTCAATGTACAGCATCCGTTTTCAATAATTTTTCAGACATCCCTTCATATCGTGCTTAGCGTCCTGTTCTTGGACATAACGGATCAGTTAAAATTGGACAGCCTCAAGGCGGGGCAATTGCTGGTCTGTACGGCTATGGCTGCTGTGCTCAATGTGGCCAGCCATATATTCGATATAATCTTCACAAGCTCAATGCTTTATAGCATCCTAATCGTCGTGCCCCTGGCCTTGTCCATTTATATAACATTCGATGTAGCGCAGGCTCTTCTGAAGATAGTCCTGCCACCTGTATACACTCGTCGCCTGAGGCTCTCCATTCCATTGCCGCTACCCCTGCTCGTATGCTTTGCCATTCGCACCTTTACGCTGGGATCCTCGTCATTCATAGAGTTCGAGTACAAGACCTGGTACTATTTGGGCAACACTCTCATCCTGTTCACCGCACTTAGGACGTTGCGACGACGCATCACCAAGGCCAATGTGGAGCTGGACGGGCGGCACTTGCACAAGATTGCCTATGCATGTCTTTGGCAACAGCGCAAGATTTTTGTGGTGCTTATTCTGCTCACGCTCATGCGTTACCTGCACAGGTTTCATGCCATCCGCAGCACCCTTATGTTGTTCTCGCTGATGTTGCTTTGGGCACGCCTGCGCAAGTTTAGCCAACTGCCGCAGAGCATTGCAAGTGGAGCAGCATTCCTTGTGGTATACTGCTATCGCGGTCTCAACGGCCAGGTGCAGTTCTTCGAGCTGCCCCCGTACCTGACGTATGCTTGAATCGATCTGTAAGCCGAAAAAACTATACTAATCGCTTAATGTTTTACAGATCTCGCATCATGGTCCCCACTCTGGTGATATTTTGGTGCTGCCTTGCACTGGTCTTGGTGCTGGGCTATCGGGCGGCGCTTCCACAAACTCGTTTAGATAAAAGATTCGATGAGATGCCGCCAAAAAGCGTTCTACTGCAGTTGCTGCAAGCTAATCTGACTAGCTCCCTACTGCTGGCGGCTTTGTTGCAGAAGGTACAGAACATTATACTCCTGCCTACGCTGCTCATAGCTCTGGATGAGACGTACAAGCTATGCGATGCCTTTGGCACCAGTGCCAGAAAGTTCTCGGTGCGACTTGTTCATGTGTACAAGATCATCATGACCATATTTGTGGCCAGAATGTTCTATTTCTACCAGGGAAACTCGAACAGCCTCTCGACAATTGACCTGACGCCGGGCTACATAGGTCAGACGAGCTACAATCCGGCCATTGTCGCGCTGTTCGTCACCCTCAATACGTACAGCGCGGAAATACATTCCTTCCTCTACCTTATTGTACACACGCTCCGTTCTGATCTGCGCAGTGTGGGCATTATGCAGCTGCAACCACCCTACTCGATTGCCGCGGACTCGCTGGTAGCTCCGCTCTATGCCAGCCTAGTCATGCTGCCGACAGCCTTCTACCTCTGTCTAATGGTTGGCTTCCGCTACCACCTCTTTATTTATTCCGTCTTCTCACCGAAAGTGCTTTACGACTGTTACACGGTGCTGGTGTTCTATTTTGTTTTTTTAATAACGAGTTTGTACTTTAAATTGTTTAAACAGGACGCTTAAATATTAATTATATTACTTTTAAAACGCTTAACGTAAGAAAACATGTGGATGGATAGTGAGCTATGAAATTGTCTATTAAGTAATATGAATGATAATCAGTTGGCAGCCGCAATCTCTCCCACACGGAGGGCATAGTGGATATCGTCAGCGCTGACGTTCAGCAGAATTTTCTGAAAGAGATCGTTGCGCGAGTGCTCGCTTATGATGAGGCGCTCGGCCCCCAGCTTGGCGCAGAGCCGCAAGGCTCGTCCTGGCGGTGGCAGGGAGACTCCCATGAACGCCGCAATTGTCTCCACCTGGGTGTACACACCCATGAAGGTGGATTCCTCGACACCAGTGCGTGTGACCTCAGCAGCCACAGCTTGCAAGAAGATCTGTTCCAGTCGCGAACAGTTCTTTATGGCCTGTACCTTTGCGCTCGCTATCATCTCGCCAAGCGCCTGCTGCACGTGCAGCATTGTCACACACTTATCACGAGCAGTGTCAGCTATTTCCGTGGCCCGACGGCAAATATCCAGCGCACGACGAGCATCACCCGACACAGCGGCCACCTTGCGCGCCACCAGTTGGACAGCCTCCCCCTTAAACGCCTCCGACCCGCCCAGGCGGGCGGTGACGATTTCCTGCAGCTGCTTGTGAGTATATGGCTGGAACGTGAGGCGAGTGAGGCCCAGACGGGATGTTACTTTGCCTGGAAAATTGTCAAGACTTTAGTGGAACTGCTTGATGGATTTGGAGGATTGATAGCTTACCCATTAGCAGACGTTCAGGGAGATCCATTGTGTTGGCTATTGTGACCACAACCAGTCTGGCAGCTGATTTGGTCGGCCAATCGAGCAGATTGTAGACCACATCCTGGCGCCTGTTGCACAATATGTCCAGTTCATCTACTAGCAGAACTGTGGTCACGCGCCTCGGTGCTGGCGTGGTGAAACGCTTCTCCAGCAGCGTGTGAGCATGCTCCCAAGACACGGTCTTGCCAGTGAGCTGTTTGTATATCTGGACGTAGGCCTGGCGCGGCTCGGTCAGGCGCATTCCGTTAATCTCCAGAAAATCAAAGTCGGCTAGCTTGTCCTGGCTGACTAGGCGTTGAAGTGTGCGAATGACTCCTGTGACAGTGGCAGTCTTACCAGTGCCAGGGACGCCAGATACATACATACAGCCACCGCACTGGTCCTGAATCTTGCCCTCCAGAAAACTGTAGATGTTCTCGAACTCCTTTTCGCGACACGGCAGGCTCTTGGGCACAACGGAGACGTGTAGCTGCTCACGTGCCAGTTGCAACTGGGACTTGCGAGATTCATCCACGGGCTTGCCCGATCGCTGCTGCATGCTAGGACTGAGCTCGCCGGCGCGTATTTTCTTCAGCTTTTGTGAAGGAGTTATCGGTGCAGCTGAAGCTGAAGTTGCAGCGGTGCCACGAATCGGGGTCACTGTTGACTTGGCAGTGGCGCTTGTGCGTCGAGCTCGAGTGGGCGTTTTCTGAACAGATCTTGGCGAGTAGTCTGCGTCCGCGTCCTCAATGGACTTCGTTTTGCGCCCTCTTTTAGGTGTCGATATTATTTCATTGTCTTTGAACACACGCTGCTCCACAATGTTGGATAGTTGGATGCTTCTTCTGGGTGTGCCCTCAGCTATAGTAGAGAAGATTAGAGTGGGTCGCCTAATAGGGCACAACCTATCGACTTACCCAGTCGACTAGTGGCCGACTTAAGGATGCTCTTCCGTCGCGTCGAGGGAGTCTCCTGGGCACCGGTATTGATGTCCAGCGGCTCCCTCGCTTTCTTAGTGGGAGTGTGATAAATGTCCCCATTGTTGACACCAAGTCGCTTGCGTCCCTGTGTGGTAGGTGTGTCTTTGGGATCGTCAACGGCTAGGGGATCGTGATCTATCGAAGCAAGGCGCACAGACTTTCTTCGCTCTGAGATGCGCAGTTTAATTTTCATATCATTTGAGGGTGTCTTTGGGTCCGGCGTCTGCTGCACTATTGAATAATTCAGACAGTCCGAGTCCGCTGTGCTGTCTGCGCCTCTGTCCAAACTCAGATTCAGGTTACGGCGTGCAGCCGACGCCCTGGACTTGGGCGTGTCCACTTTGGCGTTCTTTTCTGTCAGCGGGGAAGCCGTCAGATAGTTGGCATTAACCTCTGCCTCAGCTCTGGAAGAGCTCTTTTTCTTCTCCGAAAGCCGCACCACGCTGCGACCCCCTACTATCTTGATGGGCGACACTTTGTTCTCGCAGTTGAAGTAGTTGACATCCACAAACTCCAGCGAACTGGCCGCGGCCATGGAAGCCCGCCTTCGTTTCTCCGTGGTAGGTGCCTCACCAGCAACAGCCAACATCTTAGCTTTTCGCGCTGAGGCTGAACCTGATTTGGGTTCATTACGGTTTGATAGCGATTTCCGTGATCGGGATGATGATTTGTCATCGGGCTCGTCCAGCTGTATCTCCAGGGGTATCAGGCGATAAAGCTTCTTCACCTTGATGAACTTGTATCGGCTTACAAACATGGGGTAGTCAGAAGATTTCAGTTTAACTGAAGCGCGTTGCACTATCTGCTCGGCAGAGAGTTGTGATGTGCTTTCCAGTACCAGACACTTTCGGTAAATGGCTCCCAAGGCCACGTCGTTGTCGTAGGGACGATGCTCTTCGATCACTTCCAGGTTGAAGTCAACGGCAATATCGTCTGCATCAAACTCCTTATGCGGAATGGCGCTTGGACGAGAGTACCACTGGACGATGGCTCGGCAGGGCTCTTTGTGGGTCATTTCTCGAAGCTCGTACAGATAAAGGATCTTGGCGACATCGCAACCATCCACCGTATCTGGTTCTGCCGCATCTGCATTGGACACCAATATGTATTCTCCCACTGTTAGTGTCAATGGCCCGTAAATGCACTTTTCATAGAAGTACACGTTTTTGTGCTCAAGATTTTTCACAAACTTGCTGGGGTCGTGGCTACCGATCCACTTCACCTGCTGGCAACAACTAATCACATTTTCTTTGTTAACCATAGCGTTGTTGATTTATTGAGAGTCGAGCTGTTTTAGTGCCGAAATTCTGATTCGTCAGCTATTTTAAATAGGTTGAGTTTTCTGTTCCACAATCTCTTCTTTGCGTTGCTTCTTTTTGGCGCAATTTATTTTCGTTTGCTTTCCAACACTGTTCGTCGCGTTTGTTATTATTTAGTTTATTACGAAACTCACCACGGACCACACCTCAATAAAACGTTAAAATTTAAATCCAAGACATTCGATTTTTAGTTTATGAAGTTAAACCCAGGAACAAAATTGTTGGCAATGCGTGCCTTCCATCCTTCTATTTGGTCAACTCAACCCCAATTTATAACTAACTCAGTTGTGGTCGTGCTCTCTTCATAACTTCTGTCTTTGGAATGATATGAATCTGTAGTGTTGGACGGCGTTGACTTTTTGCTGTTGATAACCTGTGGGTAGATGGTTAACATGTAAATGATGATGAAGTCGTTGAAGAGGATGAGAGATGCCAGCAGGTAGTCTCGGAGACGCATCTCCGCAAAGCGTCCGCCATTGATTGTCTGGGCATGGTACATCACGAACTGAGAAGGATAAGGATAAAAGAAGCCATATAGGAGTATATCCATGGGACGAAACCTAGACCTACCATCAGCACAATGAGCCCAATACAAACCATATAAGCGTAGAACGAATACGACATATTCATAATTTTATGCATCATACTCATGAAGACGGTGATAGAAAGGATGAGGAAAGCTACCACAAACAGAATGACTACATTCAGAGTAAGGTCTTGCTATGAAAGATTATGAGGTCGAGATCGGGGCTTAGAGATGTATGTACATAGCTATATTTACCGGTAAAATGGATCCGATTAATATGAACAGATATGTCAAGAGCGCACAGATGAGGAACCATGCGATCAAGTTTTTCCAATCAGTTTGCGCCGACAGCGCGAATAGTCCGATGATCAGAAACTCCACCTAAACGGATATAAACATGAGAAAACTCAACCGACTGTCTTACCATATCGAATCACAACTACTTACAATGAGTAAGCTGAGCAGCCAATTTAGGCAGAGCACGAATCGCAGCCTCTTGATGAATATAAACATCGTGAACAAAAGCATAGCAGAAATAAAGAATATCAAACTTATCCAATAATACTTGTTGACGTTATCTCGGAAGTCCTTTCTAAAGATTAGAATGCAAAGATTCAACGGCACCACTGCACCAAGTCTCAACTAAACTTACAGCAAGCAGACAGCCAACCACTGGGTTAGGGCCAGCACCAGCCAGGCCAAGGTGATGCCGTAAACGGTGCAGGAGAATTTTCTGCGTGACTTCCGATATGCCCGAAGTCTTCGGCGGCGCTCTTGCATGATCCAGAATATAGTCGCTTATCCGTTTATATAATATTAAACTTTTTTATACGCTTACAATATATCTACAAATCGGAGTGGTCAATGAGCGCCTTCTATGATGTGTTGTCGGATAAGGAGGGCTATATACACAGTCTCTAATACAAAGTGGAACTGTCGTGGCATGGCTGTCAGAATATCACGGTAAAACCTTAATTCACGCTAAACTATAAGAATTTGACACGATACTATATACTATAGTATATATACTACATACTCTTGGAGAACAAAAGTACCTGGCGTCCGGTGCAGTGAAAGTAAAGAACTAGCTCCGAACAGTAGCATGATGATTACTGAGTCATCGTTGGGCTATAGATGGCTGCCAGAGAATCTTTTGCATTGGTAATTGGTGTGCTTTTATTTATGAATAAGAGTAGAGTATAATGTTGTTTTGGGTACGTACGTAATGAGTATAAACATCAAGCAATTGAATTAAACGTCTTGCATCGCATGCGTAACAATTTTATGTATAATACGTATAACATTTATTCTGTAATCCGCTTCTGCTTTGTGTCCTGTACTAAATCATTAAAGAAGCATAATATTCGACTACTGATTCTCATTGGGTTGTTTGGGGTTAAGTTAGTGTTGGATGACCTGTACTCATATACGCAAAAGTACGAGTATCTCGGGTGTGGTTTGGTTTGGTTTGCTTAAAAATAAAATAAATCACAATCTATATGTACATACAATAATACTCAAAATTCTTAGAACTCTAAATCAAATCAATGAAACGAAATGAGGATAAGCATCACTGCGTATGGCTACAGTCCTAAATAATGTTACAAAACAAGAGCCAACAACAAATTAAGCACAATTTAATCCGCTTCGAGAGTGTTGCAGGTTGCTTGCAGTGTTTTGTGGTTGTGTGTCACTTGAATACAACTAACAAATATCGATATTGAATGAATTAATGTTTTGATAGCAGAGAATATGCTGCTTGGCCTCCGACCCAACGTCTATTCTATGTCGTGGAAGCGAAGAATGGCGCGTCCTGGTATTTCGGAGTTACACAGCTTCTGGATAACCTCGGCGGCCTGCTCGCAGGGGAACACGGAGTGTGGCGGCGGCTCAATCTTCTTTGTGGCAACCAGCTCCACCAGTTCCGCCAGCTGTTCGGCGGTACCATTTGAAATTGGTGTAATCTCCTGCTGGTACTCGTTCGACAGCCTTGAAAACTTTGGTAGCAACTTCTCGGCCACCTCGTCGCTGATCAAGACCACACCACCCTTAGACAGGCAGTGCATGGACCGATGGAGACTTCTGGAAGTTGTACCAAAGTCAATCACCACATCGACAGCCCCACCGCATACATCCTTGGTGCGCTCAATAAGCTGTGGCTCATACAAGCATTCATTCCACTGAACAACACTGACACTGCAGGGGGAAAGACACGAACACAGAATTTTCATGTAAGTATTCAGTCTGGAGCAGCACAATTCAATTTCACTTACTTCTTAATTTCTGTGGCCAAACGGAAGCCCTCGTCTCGAAGACTAGCCACTGTGATGTCCACATTATCGGCGCCAGCCAAGGCAAAATGATAGGAAGCAATACGCACTGCCCACAGTGCAAGACCGCCAGTTCCGACAATTAGGATTTTGCACTTCTTCTTTGGATCAGAGCTTGCGCGCTGAGCGAGGATCTGTGTGACCACGGCTTGGGCCTTGAAGACGGCGTTCATGGCCAATAGGGCGCCCGTGGGCAGCATAGCCGCCACCTCCATTGGCAGGCTGTCGGGTATGGGCACGATGTGCTTCAAATCGGGTACCACCAGGAGCTCGGCATAACCGGCCGGGGTCTCATCGAACGGATAGACAATAACGCGCTGTCCGATCCGCAGTCCACAGTTGTTGGTTTCTGTGACCTCTGAGCCAAGGGCCTCAATTACGCCTGCTACCTCGAAGCCCGGAAAGAACGAGCCCTCTCGAATGCCCTGGTGAGCGGGCGACATCGAATTCACCGACGGACAGTAATCGCTCAACTCTGAGGACACTGACGACATGCTGGTTATAGAATTGGAGCGATCCCGTCGGCGGTAGCATGCGCCTGCGCACACAATCCTGATCCGAGCACCCAGTGCTGGCGTGTCCTCGATGGGCACAAAAAAGTTGAAGACGCAGTTTTTAGCCCCCGGCCCGGGCGACTCAATTGACACTTGGCGACACAATTTGTTCATGTTGTGAGGTGTATGATGAAGATCTGTATCGGTCGGCGGCAGAGCAGACGTCAGGGACAATGAGTTTAACGACAGCGAGGTATCTGTTGTTCCGCTGCAAATGAACAAAGGATAAATGTTTTTGATGTCACAAGGCAGGATAAGTACCCCCAAAGTATCCCCCATAAATATTGTCGAGTTCTTGGCAACTACGCATAATTTGACTCTCTTTTCTAAAAGTTGTCGGAAAAGGCAAGTTCGCGTCTCTAAATCATATAGCCACCATAGCAAAGATCGTTCAAAAAAACAATTTAACCTCTTAAATATGTAATAATAAAAACTGAGTCAACAAAAAAATACATATGTCGTCACTATTTCTTATAGTAGCTGCATTAGAACAAATCTTTCGAAAAACAACTCCCATACAAATACACGAACGCTCGAAATTCAAGGGCACTCAAAGCTTTGACCCCCGAAGATAGCCTGAATAGATTTAAAATTTCGAATGCATTAAGTCTATTTCCATACCGGCGACAAAGTCGATACATTTTAACAGATTTTACAAATTTAGGAAATGGATGAAAATCTTGATCTGATTGGTCGGATTGGGTCTAAATCGCATACTCATCAGAACTTGATATGCTATAGCAAATTTTTTCTCTCCGTCCGCTTTTCCTTCTGTACAAATACAACAAAAACGATAATTCTAGATTTCAATGCCAACAACATTTCAGCGTTTCCCATGTAAATAATATTCAAGTATGTAATTTGTTTTTTTCGTGAACTAACAATGTAGGGGGTGCGCCAGCTAAGGCGTATCTGAAAGGCCAAGTGGGCAGGCATTCGTAGATAAATATGCTTTATTTATTCAGCATTCGGAAGAGTGGTTGCTGTTTGATATGGATCCCTTCACCTCAATGACTTGAAAATACTTTAATTATCAGATAACGCCTCTCATTAGATTTGCTTAATATATGACCAGCGCTGGAAAAATAATTGCTCATAAAAAAGATCAAATTTGTTCGCTTCTTTTTACCACGAGTATCATATACATATGTTATTTATAGTATGTACTGGCTCGTCTAGCTTGCCAATTAGTGGATATTGCAGTCCAGCGCGATAAGAATGACTGGATGGATAATCGACCATCGACCATCACGAAATCGTACCGAGATAGGCTAAATTTCAATATATTTCAGCCCTGTCACTTTCATTGAGCCATAATTTATACATATGTATGTATGTACGTTTAGTTTACCTTCTTGTACTGAGCAAAGTGTGGGGTTGACTACAAATATCGACCGGCATTTCGTAGTCCTCTCTTTCCTACTGTGCGTTTACAGTTGCTCCTATGGCTATCTCAATGTAGCACAATTTTGTAAATTAGTACTGCTAACACTTTCTTTTAACACTTTTACTAATATTTTTAGACGGATCTTTCTCTTTGCTGCACTTTGTTTCAGATTTTCGCGTCTTGACCAGCGCACTTCCAAAGAACAACTCAGTCGTAAATGCGCCGGAGCGGCAGCTAAAAGCAAAACAGGCCGGCCAGAGTATATTAAACAGAAGGTATGGTAAGACGAATTAAGGGACTCTTCGTGCACTTGATATTCTATTTTTTTTTTTAATTGCTTAAGGGGGAAGAAAGAAAATCCGTTTATTCATACATATGTACTCCAGTTGGTGAGATAGAAAACTATGCCATTGTGAAGTGCCTACTTGATGAGTGCAGAGTTGCTGCATACCTGCGTGGAGTCTGCAATCTATGGCAGCTCAACAGTGGGCTGCCATACCTTCTGATTAATGTACCCTTCGAACAACAACAGCATATTTTGAGCACGCACGGACTGCCTGATATATAAAGGCCATGAATATCTTGTTCTTCCTCTCTCTGCTTTAGATTTCCTTCTCCCCAACCCTTCTCTGCTGGAATATAAAATCTGTAGAAATGCATATAATATGAAATATTTCGTGAAATGAGAAAATTTCATATTTATTTATAGCGTAGTCGTTGCACCAGCAAATACCCCTTTCCCCGAGTGTACACACAATTCGATGTACCCCAACTGGCGAGTATCTCTGAGATGGAGAATGTTGTTTATCTGAATTTACACTCTTGAAATATATATTTATATAATTATATACATACATCCATATAGCAGAGTAGCGAAAGGGGCATAATAAAACAAACAAAAAAATACTAATCAAGAAAAACAAATGCACTTGGCCAACGCGTGCGACAGATTTATGTCCAAAACAAAGTCCGAGAACTGGTCAAAACGAACCTCTTGCCAAAATTTAGTCGACTGTGTTGCCGGGTGGCGGCCAAAGAAGTTTTTTTTAGATCTTTCTACGACAACATATTAAAAGTCCATGTGGGGGCGGGGGCGATGAGGATGCCCCATTAGTCACGTCGGAGTCTTTACTACAGCTCATCCCGTTCTGATTTGATTGCAATCTACACCTACTGCACTAGAAAAATCCAAGCACTTACAATATGTAATTGAAATGCGTCGAATGCGTTACCAGGCAAAAACCAGAATAAACAAACAGCAATCTTGCATAAGTGTGTTATATACAGTGAACAAAAAAATTCTATATACGACCTTGTCGCTTATTACTATGCAGTTTATCAGCGGTATCTCATAAATATTTATGTATGTATGTACGTATGCACATACATATTTGAGGATTTACTTTTTTGTGAAATGTGTTTCACTTATTCCAAGTCACCAAACATCTTTGTTGACCTAGGTTATGACTGATAGAGATTTGAAAATAACCCAAAGAGATTTCTGTAGCAACGTTAAAAATACATATTACGGTTTAAATTTCGTTAAAAGAAATTTCTGTGTCGCCTCTTTATGTACATAACTGAAACATAACGACACTTCATTCAAGCAGTTCAACAATGTTCATTTAGAAATACAATGCTACTGTACATATGTATATGTATGTATACTTTTTTAAACCACAGTATGTATCTGTCACTCTCTGTTTGTATTTAGATTGTTTTTGTTTGTAAAGCGCGAGAGAGTGGTGAGGTGGATGTTTGAATGAGAGTGTAAGAGGGCAAGAACAACAGAGCCAAAGCCAAGCCAAAAGCACGTGCTAGTTGCGTGATAATCACGCACCGCACGTATGCCTGGACAACGTCTCGTACTCTCTTTCGCTCTCTCTCTCTCTCTCTCTCTCTATCTCACTCTCTCTCTCTGCATTGGTGTTCTGTCTGCCTCCCCACTGTAATGGACTGGAAAAAATGCGGCAGTCGAATGCGGAGATGAATGAACAGCTTCTTTGTGCGTACTTTGTTTTTCTTTGTGAGCCATATACACCTAGGTATGTGCGTACATATGTATATACATACATAAATACAAAAATGCAGTTATGTATGTAAATTATTATTTTCCTGAAAACGTGCATCCAACATCAACCATCTACCCCCTAATTACAGCCACATACAGCCGTAACAGAGTTGGTTGTATCTATGTATTTCGGATGCAACATCTGTTCGGAGGAAAAGGCAAAAGTACCATTTAAAACAAAACGAATTTATACAATGATTACGAGCAATAAATGTACACAAATACATATGTACATATCTTTAATTAAAAGCTCGGACTCGGCTCCAATTAAAGCAACAAGAAGAACTTTGGACATGCCGAAGAGATCATGATCCTCTCTCCTCATCTCGATCAGCTCCACACAAGCTTACTGTTTACTGAATTATTTATTTATTTGTTATTGGACAACATTCCAGTTAATTGTATTTAATGGGCTGAATCAATCAAACTTAATGATTGATCGGGAATGCAAATTTGTCGCGTCGTCGCGCCGAAAAAATGTGGGCCGCGGCCTGCAACAGATGTAAAAAATTATGCAGCAATGAGGCATAACATTTTATTGCACTCTTTGACAGTCGACCGCGATGAACTGGCTATTTTTAGTCCCTTTGTGTGCGAAAGCGATCAACGGCGATCGCAATCAGGAACAGAGCCGTCCGACTTTGTTTTTCCTTGTGTTTCCATCAACCCCGAGTGGCATATACTCTAATTTACTATCCTTGATTGTGTTTTAATAAGCTAAATATGAATTATAAATTGTGCGATATTCTTAATGCTTAGTAACCGGTGATATTTCTGGGGTATATTAATTTGGCTTGCGACTGAATGATCTTCTGATCTCGTAAAAGAGTATCCCCCACATTGTAATTGTGTAGCTTTAAGTAAGTGTTAACAATGTAACAAATTTTCATGGGAATCTATGTTGAAGGTTTTTTATAATATTCGAGCGTGGAAGCGTTTTTCCAGCACAGAGTTGGCCCAAATCTTTAAGTGCTGATAAGAAAGTGCTCTTTTAATGATAGTATAGTTGAACGCGTGCTATTGTGCTTGTAAAAACAAAAAACAAACTTTTTTATTTACAAGACACTTGACTTTATTTTTGTTGCTCCCTTCAAATGTTGTTTACGCTTTGATTCGATCTCACGCATGAGTCCTGCCCATGATAGAAATTATAATGTTTATTGCGGTAGGTAAAACAGGATACTAGGTCGATACACATTGATACATAAATCTATATATCAAAATATGTATGTACATATTTACATACATAATCCTATTATCCGGCAAAAAACGCCCTGATTGGGACTCAAACTACGCAGCAGAAATCCTCAGAGGGTGAAAAATCGAAGCCGGAAATTTGAGTAAGGTGGAGCAAGAGAGTCTCAGCGCCACCATGTTTTTGCAAGGAAGCAAATTGCGTAATATGGATTAATTCACTACTTACCTTGTAAAAAAGTTAAAAGCTTCGGTACTCCTCAATTATTTATATAAAATGCTTCTATTGTTGGATATCAAAATATGTTCAGTGTCTGTTAAATTTAATTGTAATTATAAAAACGCCTCTGCAGCGTTGCAATTTTTAGTAACTTTTGCCACTCTTGTTTTGCTTGCCAATCCTTGGCTACTGTTTCGTTTGTGATACTGGAGCTGCAGGATAGGTTTGACTTTGAAGTCTCCTTTGCTAAATATAAGCGAACCAGGGCGTACGCTTAAATGTAATAATTGAGATTGCGCAGAGCAAGGTAAGATTTTGGCAGTTCAAAGTTAACCGTTATAGCTTGGTACAGTGGAACTAGTTCGTTGCTAGATGTGTTCACCTTTTTAGCTTAAACATTATTTTAAATAATTTTTTGAATTTTCGCTATCTGAAATCGCAATTTAGTGCATCATTTATTCCAATGGATTGCATTTAAATCTATGTCGGTCATTCACTTTCAAACAATTTCTATTTGGCGCGCACCACTCGTATCCAGTCGATAGTATCGATAGCCGAACTTGAATCGGGTAAAGCAACAATGAGACTTATTCTATGCACACATACCCTAGGAGAAATTAGTGTTATAGAATTGTGAATATGTTTGTCATCCCAGGCAAAAACAATTTAGTTTCAATATATTTTAATATAATTCAATATTATTTAATATTATTTTCATTATTTCAACGATATTTTAAAGCTATTGTCTTCTTGTAGGGACCAAGAATAGGTATCAGGATCGAGATCATATACTCATCACTCATTATATACATGAATATGCCAAAAAAATGTCAATTTGAGAAAAGGTCTTTATTAGTTACGTTTTATCATCATATCAATATTTATACTTTCATATAAAATTAACAAAATAGGGTATACAAAGGCCTCTACTACGGCTTACACGCAATATAGCGAATCTTTTTTTGTTGAACTTTTCCGTTTAAACTTTTTTTTACAATAAATACAATAAAAGCAAGGATTAAAAACTATCCAATCTTGTTGAAAATTTATTCATCAATGGGATAAAACTATGTGGGCATTGCTGAGAGATTTAGTTAGTCAGCATTATTCAATGGAATATCAAAATTGAGCAATTTCCTTTTTCGTTTGTTTTGATTGACCTATTTCGCTACTTGTTTTTTGTTTGCCCATTTTCGCTAAAGCCTTTTTTACGCAAAATGCAATAAAATCAAGTTTTCAGAATAAGCCAGTTAGGTATAAAATAGATTGACAAATCGGATAAAATTGTGATGGCATGGCTAAATGTTCTATATAGCTAGTAATATTCAACGGAATATTAAAAACGAGGAATATGTAAAATAGAACTTGAATTTGTCAGTATATTTACGGTATATTTTTCAAATGAGATGGTATATTTACTGTATGATGATCGAATGATTAACAATAGTGATGTAAATTTTAATGAAAATATCGATGTCGACGTATGACCGATGTTTCAAAACTTCCGTTTCTCCTATTGTATTCATATTTAAACAAATGTATACCATCTATAGTAAATTTGATTCATTTTAAGTCTGTTGCTGCTTACAGAAGACAAATACGCAATGATATGAAATTAAACTACCGATTTTTTGCAATCACTTAATGCATCACTTAACATCGGTAGCAGAAAAAACATCGGAAAACATCAGTAAACATCGGCAGAAAAACATCGATGTTTTTTTACATCACTAGCTCGAATGATTAACAATTAAACGCAACGCAACGCGTATTAGCAATCAAATCAACAAGTGAAGTGATCAACATTCAACATGTCTGGCGATGGGAAGAAAAGTTTTACGCGGGCCGAGGTTGCTAAGCACAACACCAACAAGGATACCTGGCTGCTCATCCACAACAGTGTGTACGATGTCACGGCGTTTTTGAACGAGGTGAGAAATCGACTGGGGTGACAACAACAAGATTGGTACACGTCGAATCTAGGACGCCCTTATCTGAGGCTTTGTCTACAATGCTGGAGTACCTGGAAAGGCAGACACTGGCAGGCAGTGGCAGACACACATGTGCTCATGAAAAATGCACCCTGCGTGTGAACAAAAACAGGCTGAATTAGATTTGTACTTTGACCCGTGAACATTGATTGACCTGTGGCTGATGTCGACGATTATATTTCGAGTTTCACAGAAATTTCTAGTAGACATCGGCACGTTGCTTTTTCTCTGCTTCATCACATCTATCCGAGCCCCCTTTTAGCTGTCGAAACTGCTGTTGCCTTCCGCTTTGTCTGTTTAAATCGCTCGACGCTTCGAGTTGCGAAACTATCCGCTCACAATATTCATAACTATGTACGTAGATACATAGATACATACAATACATGTACATATGTATTGTACGCGCACATGGGTATATGTAGCGAGGGGTCAAATGTTAAGCAAAACCTGGGTCCGCATTTGCATCTCATTTGGGTGGGTAGACAATTCCTACGCAATACCATTGTTTTTGGGTGTAATATCATATCATTTGCTTTACTCCATCACCCCGATGAAGCAGGTCTAAGAAACCGCCCCGCCCCCACTGATATCATTGAGATTGCTTCGTGCACTCTTGATAAGCTGGCTAGAACCTCAAACTAACGATGACGCTGCATTTTGTGGCTTGAAAATAGTAATAGTGTGGATGACAATGCTTCGCACTTCAGTTTATATTCTAATTCCAATGTCTGCCGCAGCCGCTCCCAGGAAACGAAACAACCACTAGGTCATGTTTTAAACATTCGCCCGATCACCGTGATCTTCGCTGTTTGTGTTCCCTTTTTTCGTTACTTGTGGATGTATTCTTTCAGGGTCAGTCATTAGCATATTTGGCCAGCATATCAATACCGGCAACAATGATGTATGCGAATATTTATTTTCCTTTCTTTTCCGTTCCTTTTGCAGCATCCCGGCGGCGAGGAAGTGCTAATCGAGCAAGCTGGCAAAGATGCCACAGAGAATTTTGAGGATGTGGGACACAGCAACGATGCCCGTGAAATGATGACAAAGTACAAAATCGGAGAGCTGGTGGAGAGCGAACGTACCAACGTAGCGCAGAAGTCTGAGCCCACCTGGAGCACGGACACGCAGAACGAGGAGAGCTCGATGAAGACGTGGCTGCTGCCCCTGGTCCTCTGCCTGGTGGCCACCCTCTTCTACAAGTACTTCTTCGGCAGTGCCAAGCAGCAGTAGAAGACATTAGGAGCCAGAAGAGACTACGCCTGCTTCAGCGGAACGGCCGTGCGTTCCTCCCACTTACCACTTAGTTAGGTATACACGCAGTCTACAAATCACACTCGGTCTGGACCCGGACGCTTGTAGAGGATTAGTTAATGGAATGGGATCCGATGATTGCATGGACAGGAGCAGAAGCAGGGCGTAGTGATTTTTTATAGTACATTTCTGCTAAGTTTTAAAGATAATTCTGCTGGATGTTTTTTAGCATTTGACCTTCTTTTGTACTCTTACTCTTTGTAATTCCTTCAGGCGGTGGGCTTGGCTTGAGCTCTGTTATTAATGATATTCTAGCTTTGCGACACAAAACGAAAACCAAATAAAAAAATAAAACATCTAATATGTGTGTGTACGTTGAACAGATTTAGAAAAAAAGAAATGAAAAACTTATTCAGTTTTATTTGTTAGTTTATCTGGGAGAAACCATTTAAAAATTCAATATTTTAAATATCTAAATTTCAGCTGCTGCAACTGGATATTCTCAACCGAAAGGAAGTAGACCGGCGCCAACCCAGACAGATCTAGAACATTCCCCACAATGGCCAAGATCCTGCAGGTGGCAGTGATGTTTGGCAGCTCCAAGCTGGCCAACAGCAATTTTTCATATGATGATATGTCCAACGGAGTGGAGCCGATTCCACAGATGAAGCGGGAGCTGCCCACGCGCAAGTTTTGCCTGGACGCCTTCAAATCGAACATGTACGATGTCCTCATTATTGGCGGCGGCGCAGTGGGAGCCGGTTGCGCCCTGGATGCGGCCACGCGGGGCCTTAAAACGGCCCTAGTCGAGGCCGACGACTTTGGCAGCGGCACTTCTTCCAAGTCCAGCAAGCTGTTGCACGGCGGCTTCAGGGACTTGGAACAGGCGATAAGGCGCTTCGATCGTGCCGCCTTTCGGCGCGTGCAGAGCTCTCTGATGGAACGAAGCAGTATTGGGAATCTGGCGCCGCATCTCAACCAGCCAGTGCCAATCATGCTTCCAATACATCACTGGTGGCAGGCCCCCCTCTACTACCTGGAGCTAAGCTTGTACCACATGCTGGCTCCTAAGGGAACAAAGAGCTTCCAGTATGTCAGCGCCGAGGAGGCTGTGGATATATTTCCAATAATGCGAAGAGGGGATCTCTTTGGAGCCTTTATCTTCTACGAGAAGCAGTATGACGATGCCCGCATGTGCCTCTCAGTGGCATTGACGTCGGCCCGCTACGGAGCAGACATCTGCAACCACATGAAAGTCGAAAATCTGATCAAGAACAAGGATGGAAATATTGGCGGCGCCAAGGCCGTTGACCAGCTGACGGGCAAGTCCTACAAGATAAGGGCGAAGATTGTCATAAATGCCACCGGACACTTGAGCGACAGCGTGCGCTTGATGGAGGATCCCTTGGCAGAGCCGCTATGCACTAGCAGCTGGGGTTCTATTGCCGTCTTTCCGCGTTTCTACTGTCCCGAGAATGTCGGCGTCTTCGATCCCCACACGAAAAATGGTGGTTCGATATTCTTTCTTCCCTGGCAGGGACACACTCTCGTGGGAACCAGCAACGAAGTCTTCGATGAGCCTGGAAATACGTCTGTACAGCCGCAGCCGTCGGAGCGAGAAGTGCAGTGCCTGCTGGACGGAATCAAGCATTTTGTCAGCCCCAACTTCGATGTGCGCCGGTGCGACGTTCTTGCTGTTTGGGGCGCCTTCAAGGCAATGCCGGTCGAATCGGCATCACTGAATAACACCCTACTGAAGAATCACGTCGTCAATGTGGGTCCCAGGAACATGGTCTCCATTGTGGGCGGCACCTGGTCCTCGTTTCGCATGCTGGCCGAAAAGGCCGTCAATGCTGCCATTAAATACGGCAATTTAGACGTTCTCCGCCCACATTCGGTAACGGCGGACGCTTGCAAGCTTGATGGAGCCAATGGGTGGTCGCCAAGGATGTTCATACGGTTGGTGCGGGACTTCGGCATGGAGCGTGATGTCGCCGAACATCTCTCGAACACGTACGGCTCCAATGCCTTCAAGGTGGCCGTCAACGCCACCAGTAGCGGCAAAGGTTGGCCCATAGTCGGAAAGAGGCTACACTCGGAGTTTCCCTACATAGAGGCCGATGTAAAGCAGGGCGTGAGAGACTATGCCTGCACACTGGTCGATATGGTGGCCCGCCGGCTGCGCGTGGCATTCCTCAATGTGCAGGTGGCGGACGAGATCCTGCCACAGGTAGCGAACGTTATGGGCCGCGAGCTGAAGTGGTCCAACGAGCGCAAGGCCAAGGAGATTGACGATGCGCGCAGATTTCTCAATACCCAAATGGGCCAGCTGAGCGAGGATCCCATCCATCTCAGCGTCCCCATTAAGATGTCAGTGCAGCAGGTACAGAAATATGTGACGCACTTCAGGAGCCTAGAGGAGAACAACACCGGCTACGTGACAATCAACAACTGCTGCAAGGCGATGAAGGCGATGGGTGTCAAGGAAGTGCCCGTCGATCTGATGCACAACGTCCTACGCGACATCGACTGCCACGCACAGGGAAAAGTCAATCTGTACGAGTTCCTGCTGCTCATGTCGGCCGTAGTTCAAGGGGATACCGAATACCTGCGCTACGCCAAGATTTGTATAGATCAAAAGCTTATGTCTGTAAGCAACCACCATCCCCATACAGTACCAGTGGAGCGGGCATGCGGTGGACTTTAACACTCTGTAGGCTAGCACGTTGTTAATGCTTGTGGTATCAATCCTTGTAGAGTATTTCACGTAGGAACGGATCCTTTGGGACCGAGACCATAAATATAATTTATTTGAAGTATTCCAATTCACACATAATTCGGTTAGTCACAAGTATTTGTGGTAATGCATACACTCCGTGGATTTTTTCTTACTCCTTTGACTTCGCTTTGGGATCGTAGGGCGTCATTAGGTTCTCAGAGAAGGCCTTGATGCTGTCCGGCCCACGTACTTCCTTCTCAAGCAACGGCAGCTTGGTAACATGGAAGTCCTCGTACAAATCGGCAATCTGGTCCAAGTATTTCTCTTGTATCTTATAGCGAGAGGCGCACATTTTGCAAGAGCTGTGTGAATTGTTCAGGAACAGCAGCTGATTGACGATTATGTTGTGTACATCGATGCCGCACTTGGTCAGCTCTTGGATTAGTCGTTCCGTCTCATATAGGGAGAAGAACTCGGCAATGCACACGCAAACGAATGTGGTTTGATCCTGTCAACAGAAGCAATGCAGTCCCAAGTCCGAATTTTGGTCTGTTTTGGCTACTTACTGGATTTTTAAACTGTTCGTTAACCTGGGTGATCACTCGCAGCATGTCGTCCAGCTTCTGCGACAGGGTGTCCACATTCACATCGGCCATGCCCAGCATGGAGACGAATTGCGTTAGAAGAGGTGCCACCTTCATCTTGAGACGCAGCAGCTTGCCCAGGCCTTTCTCCACCACCTGCGGGAATGCAATAAGGCGAAGCGTATGTCCGGTGGGTGCTGTGTCAAACACGACTACGGAGAAGTTCATGCCCTTCACCAGCTTCATCACCTCGGCGTAACTCATGGCCTCATCGATGCCGGGCAAAGCATTGATCATCTCCTGCATGACGCCCTTGCTAACGCGTAGAGCCTCGTTTTCACCCTCAAAATACTCCTCGGGCAACTCGTTGAGGCCCGCGTTTGGGTCTATTTCCATAGCAAACAAGTTGTCGAAGCCATTCACCTGGTGGATAGCAGCATCAAATCGAATTAGCGCACTCTGCGAAAGTTGCCAACGGTCTCCGAATTACCTTTGTGGGCACCTTGGTGAACTTCTGGTCGAAGGCATCTGATATATTATGTGCTGGGTCTGTTGAAATAATGAGCACCGACTCGCGCACCTTTGCCAATTGCACGGCCAAGCTCGAGCTGAGAAATACACGAACGCAAACATAAATGGAATTAGCCAGACGTTCTCATGTGTGCACCTGTTTCTAGGTGCTCGTATCGTCTCACTCTCACCTGCAAGTTGTCTTGCCCACGCCACCTTTACCGCCAACAAAAATCCACTTCAGGGAATCTTGCTCCACGAGATTTTGCAGGCTTGCGGGTAGCGGCTCCAGGTTGTCGACCATATTGCCAAACCAATCAACACAACGCGAAAGAAAATTAAGTAAAATTAGGAATTTTTTTTTAGGTTTTAAGTTACCATGCTACCCTTGAGTAGCCTAGGATTATTTGGCCGCCCGCCTATGTGAAGGTGGAGATTGCCGAGTCAAGGAATAGATGTTGGAGTACTTCTTGTTTTTACATCAATTGAACATCAATTGAACATCAATTGAACATCAATTGAACATCAATTGTTGTGGGCGGAGAGTGGGTGGCGACGCGACGGTGAGTCGGAAATAATAATAAAATTTTGACACCTAATATCGTACAATATATACCAAAATATACTCTGTCAATTTAAAAATATACCGCAAATATACTGACAAGTTCAAGTTCTATTTTACATATTCCTCGTTTTTGATATTCCGACGAATATTACTATATATATAGCACATTTAGCCATGCCCACATAATTTTATACGATTAATTAATCAATTTTCTACAAGATTGGATAGTTTTCAATACTTGCTTTTATTGTATTTTGACTAAAACAAGGTTTAAACAAAATAGTTCAACAAAAAAAGAGTCGCTATATTGTGTTTAAGCCGTATATAGGCCTTTGTATACCCTATTTTGTTAATTTTATATGAAAGTATAAATATTGATATGAAGATAAAACGTAACTAATAAAGACATTTTCTCAAATGACATTTCTTAGACATATTCATGTATATGATGAGTGTTTTGTATATATATCTCGATCCTGATACCTATTCATGGTCCCTACCAGAAGACAATAAGCTTTAAAATATCGTTGAAATAATGAAAATAATATTGAATTATATTAAAATATATTGAAAATAATTTTTTTTTTGCCTGGGATGACAAACATATTCACAATTCTATAACATCCATTACCCCCAGGGTATGTGTGCATGGAATTAGCAACATTTGTGCATGGAATTAGCAACATTTGTGTATGGAATGGGACTCATTGTTGCAATAGCGAAACTGCGGCGAATCGGGTATTGCCTATATTTCAAGCTATAGAGATTTTCCCACTTAGCTTTATCTCATAGATAAATGCATTTTCTACAAGATTGCTTCTTTTAATTACCTTAATGTATTTTATTTTGACTAAAATACGGTTTTCAAGTAAATGTTGCCGCAACTTTTGTGTATGGAATGCGCAACATTTGTGTATGGAATGAGACTCATTGTTGCTAAAGCGAATTGGGGCGAAATGCGGCGAACTGCGGCGAATTGCGGCAAATTCAAATTTTCTCATATTCTTTGTTCCGTTGAATAATACTATCTATATGGAATATTTAGCCATGCCCACTCAATTTTGCACGATTGATGATTCAATTCTATACTTGATTGGCCTATTCAAAATACTTGCATTTATTGGATTTTTATATAAAATTGAAAATGAAATTAATAGATGACAAAAATACCATTTAGCACTAAAAAACACCACATGGGAGCGCGGCGAAAACCAGTTTCTACAGTATATACGGTCTCACTTGAAAAATATACCGAGTGGTGCGCGCCAAATCGAACTTTTTTGAATGTGAGCGACAAGGATTTAAATGTTGTCAACCGGGCCTTTATCTATGCCCACATAATTTTATACGATTATTGAATCAATTTTCTACACAATTGGTTAGTTTTTAGTCCTTGCTTTTATTGTATTTTGACTAAAACAAGGTTTAAACAAAATAGTTCAACAAAAAAAACAGTCGCAATGTTGCTGGTATTTGAAGACATGATGCGTGTATATGCCTTTGTACACCCTATTTCCTCAATTCTATAACATCCATTTCCCCCAGGGTATGTTAGCAACATGTTTGTGTATGGAATGGGACTCATTGTTGCTAAAGCGAACTGCGGCGAACTCAAATTCGATTCAAAAAAACGACCAATTCCTCATATTCTTTGTTCCGTTGAATAATACTATCTATATGGAACATTTAGCCATGCCCACTCAATTTTGCACGATTGATGAATCAATTCTAAACATGATTGGCCTATTCGAAATACTTGCATTTATTGGATTTCTATATAACATTGAAAATTAAATTAATAAATGACAAAAATACCATTTAGCACTAAAAAACACCACATGGGAGCGCGGCGATAACCAGTATTTCTACAGTATGACCCTCAAAACAGCACCAAAATATACGGTCTCATTTTGAAAATATACCGAGTGGTGCGCGCCAAATCTAACTTTTTTGAATGTGAGCTACAAGGATTTAAATGTTGTCAACCGGGCCTTTATCTATGCCCACATAATTTTATACGATTAATGAATCAATTTTCTACACAATTGGTTAGTTTTTAGTCCTTGCTTTTATTGAATTTTGACTAAAACAAGGTTTAAACAAAATAGTTCAACAAAAAAAACAGTCGCAATGTTGCTGGTATTTGAAGACATGATGCGTGTATATGCCTTTGTACACCCTATTTCCTCAATTCTATAACATCCATTGCCCCCAGGGTATGTAAGCAACATGTTTGTGTATGGAATGGGACTCATTGTTGCTAAAGCGAACTGCGGCGAATTCAAATTCGATTCAAAAAACGACCAATTCCTCATATTCTTTGTTCCATTGAATAATACTATCTATATGGAACATTTAGCTATGCCCACTCAATTTTGTACGATTGATGAATCAATTCTATACATGATTGGCTTATTCCAAAAACTTGCATTTACTGGATTTCTATGTAACATTGAAAATTAAATAAATAGATTGATGAAATTGACAAAAATACCATGGGAGCGCGGCGAAAACCAGTATTTCCACAGTATGACCCTCAGAACAGCACCAAAATATACCGTCTCATTTTAAAAATATACCGTAAATATACTGACGATTTTTAGCTCTACTATACCTATTCCTCGTTTTTGATATTCCGTCGAATAATACTATCTATTTAGATCTCTCAGCGTTGCCCAGATAATTTTATATGATTGCTGAATCAATTTTAATCAGGATTAATTACTTTTTAGTACTCGCATGTTTTTTGTTTTGACGAAAACACGGTTTTAACAAAAATGTTCCGTCAATGTTGCTGTTATTTGCAGGGTTGCCATGCTATCGTTGCAAGGTGAACTAGATCAGACTCGAAACAGCTGCGAGCCAATCGAACTCATAAACTAGATTTAGTTCATAATACTGGCGCAACAGCCAAAATTTGAATAATCAAATCACCATAGAGTCGAAATCAATCAAGAATTGCCTAAAAAACATTGCGTGGTGGCTCTAGTACTCGAATAAAGGTCATAGTCAAGTATCGCGCCACTGTGTATGTTATTGCGACCAATTTCTCAGGGCTCTGCTTCTTTCTTTCGTGCCTATTAAATGCACAAAAGCGGGAACGGAACGCAAGAAAATCACAATAAAGTGTCGCGGATGCTTGGCGTCTCTGTCTCCGCTCCCGCGCTCGCTACGGCCGGGACTGTTTATTGAGCAAATCGCGAGCTTATCACAAACAAGCCCTAGAAAGCGAAAATGGGAAAATATAAAAAAGAATAACATATACATATGTATGTATGTATAATTATTAACCACAAGCTTCGCAAAAGCTGGCTCCAGTAGCTATAAATAGTGGCGAAAATACCTTCAAAATTCGCATGGCTAACGTTGGTTTTTTTTATCGTGAATCGCAAATCTCTTAGGCAGCGAATTCCATTGTCGCACCTCGCCGAGTTCCTTTCCAGTTCTCATCCAGTTCCAGACTATTTGTCTCGCCTAGTGCAGACGTACTCACCCATTAGTAAAACAAAGTTCTTTATCGCGTATCGCGTCATACGGAAGCTGTGCCCCACCGTCCACCCACCATCAGCATGGGTAAGTAATATGGAAATCTTTATGCACACAATCCGACAGCTCATCTAAAAAAATGTTGAGAGAGCTCACGTAAATAACGACTGCAAATAGTACAGTAGATATCGGCTATAAGTGAATTTTATAAACGATAAAGAGAAAGGAAGGCCCAGAATATATGTATGATTCCCATACCGATCAATCGTTGCCATCTTTAAGACATTATATTCCACTTAGCTTAAACTTTATTACGAAAAAGAAAATCTTCCCAAAAGTCGTTTCTTTTGGGCGATTACAGTATACAATAACTGTATCGGAATTCATTCACTTATAGTGCTTAACAGGAATCGGGTGTCTCACCTTTCTGATACCATGCTGGTACGAATGGGAATATTTTTATCATAAATAGAATAAAGGAAATTCCTTCCACTCGTGGCAGCTAGTAAATTAAATACACATCAATTAATGGTAAATAGATAATCTATTGACAATTCGATTTTTAGATATTGGCTCCAGGTTATTTGCAGGGCTAAAAATACATTTTGCACCGCGGTATTAGTTGACATCCCATTTAGGCCGAAACAGTTCAATTTCAATCAGTTTCAAAATGGGGGGTAAAATGATCTATCTATTTATTTCCCACCCCTGTTTCATTAAATATGAGCGCATTAAATTTTATGACCATTTCAGCTTTGGTCCAAAGCACACACAATACACATGCAAACATATACATGTATGAATGTCTGTATATACCAACATACGCGCCCTTTCCCCCTTTTGTACGGGGGCTCGCATGGACGAAAAGTGGAAAGTTAAACAATAACACTTCCATAAACAAAAAACCCAACCGCACAACCCACAACACCCCATCCCACCCAAACACAAGCACACCAACAACTGCAGACGTATTCCAGGGAATGCCAATTTTGTTGAAATAAGCGTTTCAATTACCTGGACCTCCCCTTTACCCATACCACTCATGTATGTATGTATGTACATACTTTCAAAACCAACTCTGACCTGTGCTGCGGTTAGCACAAGGTATATTAAGTTAAAGGTAAGCCAGCACCTACGCCAAGCACCCTGATTTCATCAGATCTGCCAAATAGAGGCTATCGTGAAAAGGGCCCTCTCGGCAAGGCTCACCTCGTATAAATACATCTTGTGTGTATGTATGTAATAAATGTTCTTATCAGGCGCGTTTTGATAGGGAAATTTCCTCACCTCACCCCCAGCTCCAGGGCATGTTTGGGATCAACATATTTTGTTGAGTGTACTTTATCATAGCTTAGCACCTGACAATTTGCTATGAGGTATGCGGCCATTTCTCTTTCTTTCCCTCTTTCTTCATCGTGGGATTTTCCCTTTCTCCCCTTAGCCTTCGCATAGTCTTTTGCAATGTGGTGGCTGCTCTGCTGTTGTTGCCGTTAGCTGCGTATCGTCTGAAACGGGTCCCTCCCCGGTTGCTGCTCCTGCAGCATGATGGCTACCGTTGCCGCCTGCCTCTTCTCGCCTGCCAGGCAACGCTTTTGAGACACGAAGCGCAGCGGCAACTAATTAAATTAAATCCGATTAGTGAGCCGAGCAGTGGAAACTTGTAGAGTCCTCATCACTTGGCTTCTTGTTGCCGCTGGAAACGGCTCCTCTCCCGCCCTTATCATACCTTATACTTATCATACTATCCTCGTTCTCCTTTTAGCTTAATGCTCTGCCACTCTTCAAACTGAATTATGTTGAGCATTTCGAGTTTTAAACACTTCAATCCGTTTGGTAAATAAAAAAACGAAGAGGTCGTGGCGCGCCACGTGCATGCAACAGGCTCCTTCCGCCCCCGCCCACACAGCGCAGGTCTATTGAGTTGACAGCCCCATCAGTCACTCGCAGAAATCCCGTTGAATCACGGGCCACAGTTCTGCATAAAAAAACAAGAGGGCCGGAATTTCCATCGCAAAGAACGACCTTTCCGTTGCTGTGCTATGCCTCTGTTCGACATTCCCAAGCACACTTCAGCCGGCGACACTCCAGCGACAGCGGATTAGATTCCACAAGTCAATGGATTCGACGGAAGTCGGTAAGTAACTGTGAAAGCTTAACTCCAACGATTGCCGACTGAATAGTTGCATCTTCCGCGAATAAAGTGCGCCTTGAGAATAATTTAATGATAGTTCGTTTTGCACACATGTAAATACGGCTGTGCTATATCCCCTCGAAAGGCGAACATTTCAAATACACCTGTTGACGTTTTGTTAAATTTATGACTTCCTTGCCGGATTAAAAGTTATACCCAATACTTAGACAGTAACGGGTATCGACTAGGGTATCTTTCCCTTCGGCCCCAGAGGCTGTCCTTCCCTTCATGTTTGCGTGTAGTTTCAGGTTCGCCAGGAACTGTGATTGTGATAAGGGGCCCAATGGGGAGGGTATGTTCATCTGTGAAAGGGTGATGTGTTTGTAAGGATGTCATAAATCAAATCAACAATGCAAGTCGGCAACAACTACTGACTACAGTCACACAAAAGCTTAGTGTGCATAAGTAGACCACCACCCTGCTTTCTCCTCCTAGATTGTGCGGCACGTGTCATGCTGTTGAGCGAGTGATATGGTTGCAGGATTCTCGCCAGCTAGTAATTAATATGAAACCGAATATCAAAATCGATGAATATAATTTCAGAGAACGCATAACCCAGTAATATCCCCACAAAAGTATCGAAACTGAACAATTTTAGCGCAGGTCAGGTGAAAGATATCGTGGAACAAATTTTTTTTAAAGTAAATTGGAAATATTTACTTAAGTTAGCTACCTGTTCAAATATAGGGGGGTTAAGTGTGTTAAGTTCCGTTCGTATAAAAAATTCACTCAAACCATCTTTGGTTTGAGTTCTTTTCTCCTTTTTTTGTTCTGTTGCCGTACTATCTAAGTCTTTCTAAATTTTTTAGAACCAATGTTAGAAATTTTAAATGTTTCTAAGAACTTTGAAAAATTAAGATAGAGATTATTTGAAAGAGAGAATTTTTCTTAGAAGGGTTAGGTTTTGTTGAATTTAATACGTTGTTTGATTCCGCACTATGATTTCATAAGTTGGTTTAATCACCAAGAGATTCTGTACGAGTATATAACTGTATGGGTAAATATTTAATATGAAATATATATCATATATGTATATATAGTATAGGTATCAAAATTATATCTAATTTATTTATTTATCAAGCATTTGGCTAAATAACTTTTTTACCTATTTTTGCGTTGCAAGTATGAGCCTTAGGTTCGAACGTCGTTCTCTCTCTGTCTCTCTCTCTCTTTGTTGTTGTGGCGTTGGTGGTTTGATGGCGATTGCGCTCAAACCCAACGCAACTCGAATCCAACTTTTCCACTCATGGTGGATGGTATGTTAAAATGGTTATAACGGTATAGTCGTGGGCTTTGGGCCTCTTTCGATACCTCTATGTCGTGGGCAACAGCACGTCTATCCGAGTGCGGCGCGTGCAGCAGCAGCTGTTGTGGCCAGCAACAACAACAAGGACCACATCGGCATCACCATCCTCGAAGTAGGAGCATTGGAAGCAGTAGCAGCAGCAGTGAAAGGAAAGGAAAGTAAAGGAAGGGAGGAGGAGCGGGCTTAAGAGGAAGTGCTGAAACGGCGCGTTTATGTAAAGGAAGGAGAAGAACAAGGTGAAATTTGAGCCACATAAGAGGAAGAGTTTATCAAAAATACAATAGATTAAAGAGCAGCAAATGAACGAACGATTGAATTGAATTGAATTGCATTGAAGAGTGTTTTCCCCTTGAATGTGACAATAAATTAGCCGTAACCTGCACCTTGTTATTAGCACCTGGATCCTAGTGGATTATATATACACACATACTCGTATTTGCTGCTCGAAACCGTTATTTTGTGGATTGTACTGGCACTGGCTTGGAAGCCCAGATAAAAAAAAAACCGTTAAAAGCCAAACAGCTAGTAATCAAAGTTAATTTACCAATACAACGGCATTGGATGCTGCATGCCTGAACCCACCATACACAAGTATCAACGGGCACAACGTGTCGAGAACACGTAAATTCTATTTACGCAAATAATACTAAAGAAAGCAACAAAAAGAGAAAAGAAGAGACGAATAAAAAGAATAAGAGGTTGCGAGCGCCAGAAAGTAGGCAACAGAAGCCACAGCAGAGCAGCAGCAGCGGAGCAGCGCAAACAGGATACTTAAAATATACACACGCACTTTCACCCACACAAAAAACCACATACATATACTGTCGTCCTGGTGCCTGCTCAACGTCAACTAAAATTGTATTGCCTCTGTCTGTGTGAGTTCATATTTTTGGACTGCCTCTCGCACATGCCCTTGCCCTAGCCCTTGCTCCTCACCCCCCGCCTCCCAGCCACACAGCCAACCGAAACAACTTGTGAGCAAAGCACGAAATAAATATAAAATAGACCCGAAACAACAACGTTCACTGCTGCGCGCTGCCGCTGAGGTGTTTTGGCCCGAGGCGAGGCGACGGGCGCAAAGCAAACACCAGAAAAAAGATACAGAAGAAAGATGCCCGAATGCTGGACAGAGATTGATGCTGGCTGCCGCCGACATACAGCAACAACGACAACAACAACAACATTACCAACGATAGAGAGAGAGACAACCGACAGCAATTGAGAAATGTAAGTAAGGCACACACAATTATATTTACATGCATACATACATATATACATACGAATGAGCTATATATACATACATACATATATATGAATGTAGATATGTATTGGGAAAAAATCTTTATGCATATTTTTACAGCATTTAAGTGTGAAATGATGTGTTAGCGCATTATTTGACTTGGGCTCCGAAAATGCTAAGCCACACAGAAACAGAAAAAGACAGAATAATAGAGAGACAGGGAGAGGAAGAGTAAGAGAAAGAGAGAGAGCGGAAGGAAGGAGACACAAAAAAGTGTGGGGCAGAATGAGATAGAATGAATTTGTTGAACCCAGTCCAATGCCCAGTACTGGTCCCAGGATCAGGCGGAGTTGAAGTGGAAAACAAACAGGGCAACAAGGCAGATACACACACACACACACACACACACACACACACACACACACACACACACACACACACACACACACACACACACACACACACACACACAGACACAGGCTACAAGGAATCAAACTTAGACATCAGGTTGTATGATACACAAGTTGTATCAGCTTGGGCCTGTCCCTGTCCTCGCCAACTCGCGCAGCATTCGAACTCAATTTGGATGAAATAAATACACACACACGAACAGGGACACGATGCCTACTTACTGAGGGGCATAATATACTCTCTGGGCAGGAATTGGTATGCCAAAAATTCCAAAAATCGATGCAACGCAACAGAAAAGGCCGAGCAACGAAAGAGGAGGAAGAAAAAGCAATACAGAATATTTATCTGGAACTCTGGCTAGCATAATACCAAATATTTATGCATAAAACGAAATCAGCATCAAATTTCAGGATAAGTCAAAATTACACGACCCGATCAAATACTTAAATCAACAATTCCATTCCCGATAAAGTGCACTGGGAAATCAATTAGCAATGTCTGGCCCGATAGCAGCGACCAGACAAGGTCAGAATCAGAGCAGACCCTGCTCGGGTTCAGGGAACCCAAAGACATGGCCCGGCCAAGACTTTAAATGAGCTTGATTAAAGGGATTGGAAATTGTATTCCTAGTGTTCACAGGGGTCAAGGCGCCATCAATTTTATACTCGCTACTCAAAGTAAACAGAGTTCACGTGTACATTCAACATGCAGAAAATCTCACCATCTGGCTTATTCTTGCTATGCTGTGATATCATCGCACACAATCAAGTTTTTATTCAGGTAGTTTTTGTAATGATTCGATAAAAACGTAAACGCAGAATCATAAAGATTGGTTATTTTATATACCAGAGTTCCGAAAAGTGGTCAAATTATTTACGTTATCTCTCCCAGTGTGGCTTAGTTTTGAAGGGTAGATTAAATATCAATCTATCTCTGCAGCACTAGCTTTCTTTCAGTGAGACCCGTAATTGAAAAACAGCGCCCTCCCTTTCCTGGCTTTAACGTGTTTTGATGGCTGGAACGAAAACATTCAAACTGGTTAGAAAATTTTAAATTTTGTTAAGTAAATATCACAAATGCACACCAAATGTATCTGAAATACATATGTATATAATGTCCATAAGAGATCGATTTAAATTTAATAGCTCCACAATTCAATCATTTATTTTATGATTGTATAAATGTGTGCAAATTTCTTGGTAAGCGCCCACAGATTAAGAATTATTCGTAACACATTTAACTAGTCTAATTCCCATTTCGTTCTGGCAATGCACGTCCCAAGCAACAACAACAATGGAATAGATAAATCGCTTCATTCGACTGCTCTGATCAGATTTTAATGAAACTCCCTGTGACCGGGAAACACTCCAAGCGGATTAAATCTGCAGTGGGAGGAAGAGTGTGGAATGTGGAATGTGGGGTGCGGGTGGTATAGAGAAAGGATATTTAATAAAAGTCTGGGAATTGCGCAGTGAGCCACAGAGACAGACGCGGACAAAGATAGGCCATGACACCGCCGGTTGCAGTCGCACCGCAGCTCCTGAAGTCGCCTGAAGCTGCATCCTTTCTCAGAATTCTCTGCGTCCTTGACATTCGGAATGCACCTACACCTACCCGCCCTCCGCTCTGGCCTCCTACTCGGGAGAACGGACTGGCGCGTGGACTGACCAGACTGTCAAGTATTTTTAACTAAAAGCTTAAATTCTTCGTAACTTTGACTATCTGATTAAAATTTGAGGTGAAAAGGAGGAATGTCCGTTGGGGGGAACCACGGGAGCTGGAGCACAGAAGGTGGAGAGTAAATTATAACGGACAACAGAGAGGGGGGGCGGGGGCGGGGCGAGACAGAAGAAGTGTTCAAGAACGAAAATCAATTTCCGTAACACCCGACGACAATGCAAACCGAACAAAACGGAAACTGAAATCGAAAAGAGGGAGGGAACGGCAGGGCCGTGATGTCTTCCTTTTTACCATCCACTGTACATATACATATGCAGCATACGAGTATGACCACGCTGCCCCGCTGCCCCACTGTTCGTTCGTCTGTCTACCGTTAACGGTTCGATGAGCACGATATATGTACACTCTGCAAACTGTATCTCTCTGGCGGCTCTTCTGGCTGTCGCCTCAGTTTCCCTTGCCACTTGACACACACGCATACAGCTGTACGAGTAGAGGAGGCTGACAGGCACGACACCCATCATTGCCGTGGCAGGCAGTATAAGCCGCAGCCTGCCACGTGCGCCCAGCGAGACGTTAGAAACAAAGCGCCAGCGTCAGCGTCAGCATCAGTCAGCGCTGCCTGGCCGCATTAACTAATGAAAGTAAAGCATGTCAGCCCAGGACTCTGGACTCAGGACTCCGCCCCCCGCCTCGGCTCCCTTCGATCAAAATGTAAACTGACAAAGAGGACAATGGCGTTGACGATGACAGTAAATATTGTACGTACAATGTGTACAATGTGGTCCCCATCCCATCCCAGCGAACGCATCTAGTACTCGTACACTTCGAACAATTTTTTTGAAAATGTACAGAAAATGTGGCATCTATTTTCTTTCCTATTCTATAAAAGCGCAGTGCCCCTTTCAACGAAAGTTTGTTTTTTCCGAGTGCACAAATATCAATTGCTCAATGCTCTCTTTTGTCATCGGATTTTTGTTGCCTGTCCTTGCTTCTCTCCGGAATATATGTACGTGTATGTTTTATATGTGTATTTTGTAAGAACTAATTGGATTTGTTATTAATGAAGCAGCCTCAGTTCTGTGCATTCCCAGTAATTGCTTGTGGCACAATGGCATTACCTATTTGCCAAGAAGGGAACCTGTATGTAATGCTCCGCGTGTATCTTTTACAGACAAAAAGAATCAAACAAGTCTGAGCTTGTCTTGCGACAGTCACGGAAATAAAACTAGCAACCTAAAAAAACACTTTGAATGCGATTATCGAGTAGACTAAAAGAAATGGAAGCAACTTTTTGCAGATTGTACTTGTAACTCGTGTTTCTATCAGACATTTCCATCCCAAAGTGACGCCCCACATGGCGATAGGCTCCTTCCTATTTGCACAGCGACCTCCATCGGCAGCTTCTTTGCAAAACTTTGAGGGCTTGTGTCTATGCAAATACGAGTACGAGTACGAGTACGAGTACGAGTACGAGTAGGAGTAAGTTGTGTCAGTTAGTTGGGGTCCTGCACCAGAAACCCTACTCGATGGCATCGGCATCTCACTCGTACTCGCGCACAAATCTATCATGACAGCTGAGTGGCAGGCAAACAGCATCCAATTGCAGGGAGTGCTCCGGGGACGGGAACGACTGCGAGTATGTGCATCCGCATCTCATGTGGCCGATCAGATGGCAGCGGAAATGAGACGCAGTGAAAAGGAGACCAATCGATTGGAATGGGATGGTTGGGTTCCCAGAGAGGAGTTCTCGCTCTCGTTCCCTGACAAAGATTGTCAATCAGTCGAACGAACGCCCTTTGAATGTAAAATGGAAATGGGAACCAAATGTTAAATGCTGGGAAAAAGCGGAAGCGCAGGCCACATAGAAGCAAGCACATGCAAACGTTTATCTATAAGATACAGATACATAGTACAAAATTTAAATTGTTGAACAATTCGTCCTTCTCCGTTTTGACTTTGAAGTCGTCCCCCAGTCCCTGCCTCTATCCTCCCTTTCCAAAGCCATTTGCAGCACGTGCTCGAACATCTACTTACTCTACCCATACTCGTACGTGCCTGTTCACAATCACATTATAGGACTAGTATCGCACACCATCGCATTGCTGATTGCACAATTACGAACAAAGGCCTACTCTCACTCTCTCCTCATTCGCTGTGATATTTTGCTTGTTAATTGTATGGGCGTGCCCATATACCGGCCTCTATACTGGCCGCCAGGCTGTCTGCACTTGCGAGATAAAATAGACTGTCACATAATGTCACAGTAGAATCAACTTTGAATCAAAACTAGCAACTGACTTTTCAAAACGAGGTATCTGTCTGGTCTGTCCTGCAGCATTGACGGATGCTTTTGATGTTCAGTAATGTGAGATACATATTGTACATACTCGTATGACATCTATGGGTCCCCGAGGGCGTCGACGTCCCGGCTTGGCATGGGACGGACGAGACCTCAAAGCTACCTGGAAGGCTGTTGCCGCCTGCTGCACAAACTAATTAAATGCTCAGCCATAATTTATGTGTGTCCCGTCTCCGACAAATAAAAAGCGGCAACATAAGCAGCGAGTCGGCCATAAATTTAAATTATGGCTGAAGCTGGAGCCAGAGCCGAACACGAGCCAAAAGTGAATACATACGTATTCAACAACAGATAGAAAGAGAGAGATAGGATAGAAAGAAGTGAGTGCAAAAGTGCCAGCACATTTTAGGCATAGCTGAAGAGCCCTGCACAGCCAGCCCTTCGTCCTCTCTCTTTGACGCTCTGAGCCATCCTATCCTCCGACAGTGCTGACCAGGATGTCCTTGTAATGAAATTCCTAGTACTTTGGCTTGGACGGTGGTGTTGGTCCCTGGATGCGCTGGATGTGATGAGCTCTAGGCAAATACGCCAAGGGCGATAAGGAAACCTGAATTTGAATATGTTACATATGCCTAATCTGTCTCACCCATGTCATCTGACCCTGATTGCACAGTCTTGGCAGGATGTAGGATGTGTGCCAGACATTGTGCTCTATCCTCGATAATTGGCCCCGTCCGTCCTCCAACCCTCTGCGCCATGGACAATGGACACAAGTGTTGATATTATTATGATTTTCAAGCTCGAAATGATAGCACTCCTATTACTCAACGGCTTAGTGAATGTTCGACTGCAAGCAAGGGTTCGAGTCTTAGCAAACAAAATAATTTGCCACTGTCCTTAAGGGGAATTTTCCGCATTTTTCCCGACTGCTGATTAACTCAGAATTCCATTTCCATACGCAATACTTCGGGAAAATACTTTCGAACAGCAATGGTAGTAGCAAGAGTAGCAGGAAAAGAAGAGTGGCAAAAGTAGGACTCGGAGTAGGAGTTGGAGTAGGAGTTGGAGTAGGAGTAAGCGCGAGCCAAAGGCATCCGGACAACTAGACGTATACTTAATAATGTGTACCATAGCTATCAGGCCCACAGGAACAATTGCTGGCGTCCTGTCTGGTGTGGGTCTGTGGAATTTCAACCTTTTCAGTCTTATATAAGCGGGTCTGGGGCTGGTGCTGGTCCCATCTGGACATCACTGAGATTTCTGATCTGTGAGTGGAATTTGAGAGGCTGACACTTGGCAAATGCGCCAACAATTTGGATAATAACCTAAAGGTCAGCGATAGATTAGGGAGCTATGCTAGCGAACGGAAGAGGAGATCCACGCCCCTAATATTATTTAATAGCCTCGTGCTCCCACGCCTCCTCCTCTACCTTCCTGGGGCAGGCTGATTGCTTTTGCGTTGCAAATTCGTTGGGTAACTTTTTGGGACAGGAGCGCGGGACTGGGCCACACAAAAGCAAACAATTTATGGTTCATATGAGCTGGGAATTGCTGCTCAGCATACAAATTCCAGGCAAATAGAATTTGTATGTTTATCCTGTCTCCATATATATTCCTCCCTCTCTTTCTTTGGTTGTGTGTGTATGCTAATAGGCAAATTCTATGCATATCCATGTGTGTCTACATACGAGTATTTGCTTATAAAACTGAGGAAAGGAAGCGCCTGATAAATGAACGTTTTAAATGTGTGGTGAACCGAAAGAAGAAACCTCATTCCATCTAATGATTTGTATGCGAATGTATAGATTATGAACAGTGATTTTTTTTTAATAAAATAAATCCCAACAACAACAATTGAGAAAATCCAAAATGCTGCCATTTGTATGGTTTGTAGCAGAGAAAAACTTTCAATACTTCGTACGAAAAAGCACTTATTGCTGTTGTACGATAAGTGTGATTCCTACGCAGAATCTAATTAAATGTTTTTTATTAGATAATTAGCTGGAATGCCAAGGAAATAAATAGTTCAGCAAAGCAGATTCGATTGGAACTCCGACTTAAATACAATATTAGCCGAGGAAAACTTATCCAATTATGGTTTTCTATCTTCTAGAGTAAATATAAAACTTTTTCCTCGGGGAAAATTTTAATTCAGTCAGTAACTCTATGGAAAACACATCCATACATCCATACAAATGCCAGGCATATGCAAATTCGGACGCAGGGATATGGAAATGGACATGAACAAGGGCCTAGGAATGCACGTGGTGGTCGAGGTGGAGATGGAAATGCAGCCTTCTCACCTGCCAGAGTTGATTGCATCCTATTAGTGTCAATAGACGTCCTTGACACATCATGAACTCCGACAGCTCGCCTCTGCTCGACTAAGTGGGTGGCCAGTGGGCGGGTGGGCAAGCGGGTGAGTGGGAGTGTGGGCCTGCAGCTACCAGATGAATGGATGCAAAGTGTGGGATTGTTTTTCCATTGTTCTGTGTGTTTGTTCGCCCATCAAACACCCCTTGCAATATTTCACCTGTTGACTGTCTCGCTCTGCCATAGGACTCTGTGGCATGCCTCCGATTTAAGTAGGTCACACCAGCGTATTGACGAAATCCTTTCTAGGTTTGCTGACTCGTAGCTAGCTCGTAAATAGATTATGGTATAAAAGTTCTGCATACTCGTATAGATTGTGCGCAGGGACCTTCTAGAGCCATCGCATCCTCCGCATCGATTTTAAAATAAGCAAATATGCACTGTATTCCGAGAATTGCTGTATCCGAACATTCCAGAATCGGAGATAGCCACGTGAGTGGTCGTGGCCATTTGGAGTTGCAGTGTACCAGTCTCTGAAGGACTCTACCTATAGAAGAATACTGGTAGAACTCAATTCAGGGCACTTTCATTTGTCCCTATTTGTTGCTTAAATGAATTTCGATACAAACTCAATGAAAGCTGTGCTGCAGGGAGCATCTCTAAGGCCCAAGAGCCAAAATTCACTCCGACACAATGAAGGCAGCAGGACAGTCGGTGCGAATGCGAAGGCGAGGGCAAAGGCAATTTGTGGGGCAAGAGGAAGTGGCTGCTCTTTGTGTTATGAACCAACTAATGGCATCCATTAGACACAAAGGGCCAAATTGCGTGGCACGATGCAGATGGCATCAATACGTTACGTTCCATACAGGAGTGTGTGTGGCTGTGTGTGGCATGGATCTATTGTCACGTGCCCGTGCCCGCCTCTCCATACATATATGTATCCCTCAGGCTTGTCCTATTCCAGCAGTAGTGTGTGATTGGGTCGATTGTGTAGCTGATTCGTACGATTTGAATGACTTGCACATGCCGCACAGGCCGAGTCAGGCGGAATGCCAATGGTATAGTTTCCTTTGGATATGCATGGTGGGCAGACGTCTTGGGCCTGGGGACTCAAGCAATTGTAATTATGGTTTTTTCGACTTGCATGTGGATCACATACGCGGAGATCACTCCGATAATCGATTCCATTTCGTTTCCCATTGCAGCTTAAACGATTAAGCCCTGAACGCACTCGAACATGAATAAACAATTCCTGAGCGTCTCCCAGGAGCAGCATCCGCACTCGGTCGACGACCAGCGCAGTCGCTCGCGGTAAGGTGGCGTCCCATCCTCCAGTCCTGGCTCCTGCCTCACCAGTATAGGTCTTCTTTTCCATTGCAGCTCGGAGCGTGCCGCCAGCCTGGCGCTGCCCCTCAACTCTCTGCTGGACTTTTACGACAAGCAGCAGGAGCAGTGCAAGTCCGTCACACTGCTGCCACTGCCCAGCTCCAATCACAGCAGCCAAAGCAGCAGCACCAGCAGCATCGTGCGACGCCACTCCTCCCACTATTACCCCATGCTCGAGGATAAGCAGAAGCCGTCGCAGCTAGGGGCCAACGGGGGCAACGAAAGGCTGGTAAGTCCAACCCCCAGAAAAGCTAGCAAAAAGTCGGCTTTCTTTTCAAAACTCACACATCTCCATGTCTCCATGTGGGCATTTGGCTTTGAAACAGCCGATGAGTCAGATCTGGCTATAAAGCTATGCAGCCATAGGAGGGGCCTCTCTCCTCCGTTCATTTCATTTCCCCCTGCCCCGCTGTGGCAAACATTGTCATCATCGACATCATCACCTGCAACGCAGAACGGACTCGAGAATGTCCCCTTTTTACAAATCCGGATCAGCCACACCCACACCCACAGCCCCACTCCCACCACTGAAAGGTTTTTCCGCTATTTGCCATTCGTGCAGAATCCGCGCCCAAGCTACATTCGGCTTAGCAGCTTAGTCCGTCCGCCTGGATTCAAGGGATTTGGCTCCGTGGGCTTAGACTGAGCCACAGGCAGCTCGCGGAATATTGCTATTTGGCAAGCTATAGCTTTATGTACATACACCTCCGACCTCTGACCCAGCCTCTACTGTTTCTCCCGCTTCTATGGCTTCTATGGCCCGTCGACGCAGGTTACCATGACGGACCTGAAATATGGCAAGTCAGCGCCAATGGGGGCTATTGGGGCAGCCAAGCAGCAGCAGCTGGTACGTGTGGACACGCCAGTCACGCCACCGCCGCCCATCCCGCGTCGCATGCTGCGAGGCAAGTCTGGCTGGCAGCCGGGCCCAGCCGGACAGGAAGGCGCCCACGGCATTGGGACAGTGTTTGTTTATCCGCAGCCAGCAAACGTGACCACAGAGGCAGCCGGGCTGCAATCAGCACTTCTTGTTGACATAGCCACACGTCCGGCGCACGGATATTCGGATGCCGATGGTATTTCCGATGACGACCGCATGAGCCTGGAGAACTCCGTGTTCGATGAGTCGCTGACCTCCACACCTGTCAAGGTCGCTGGCTACCATGCCAACCGCTACGCCGGGCTGGGCAACATGGCCAAGCGGGCCCAGCGCTCCTCCAGCAGCACCGTCGACTCCGCCTACGGCTCCTCGGGAGGGCACAGCGAGCGCTTTGCATCCAGCTCGACCAGCGTCGACTATCGCAGCCGGTTCTCCTCGGTGGACACACAGTCCTCCCTCGACGAGAAGCCCACGTCCATCTCCATTGACTCCCCCCTGGCCAAGGATACGTTCCGGCTGGAGCGCGACCGGGAGAGAGCCGTCGTCAACGATGCCATGCACAAGCTCAACAACAACAATCCCAGCCTCGGCCTCGGTGTCGAGTTGGCCAGCAACAACAATGTCGTCGCCAACAGCAGCAAGCTACCGACGGTGCCGGCCCGAAAGCAGCCACCAGTCAAGATTGCACCGCCCATCAGCAGCGGCAGCGGCAACAGCAACAGCAACAGCTCCGAGTCCAATAAGGAAACCAGCAGCGTGTCTGCATCGGCCTCCACCTCGTCAGCAGCTTCGGCTGGCTCCAGCACCATCTCCAGCGGCACCATGTCGTCCATGTCGCTGGGCTTGGGCATGGCTCCCGTGCCCGCTCCAGCTCCAGCTCTAGCTGCAGCTGCTGGCAATCAGAAAGCCATCAGCCAAAAACGTCCAGGGCCACCGGAGCCGCCGCAGCGAATGAACAGCTCGTTTGATTCCGTGGATAGTACTCCCAGGGTTCACGCGGCACCGCCCTTGACCGTGCGCAACAAATTGCGAAGCAACAAGCCGCCGCCCATTGTCTACCCGAAGCTGCAGCAGCGCCAGGACTCAACCTTGTCCAGCGACAGCTACTCCATCAGCTCTAGTCCCGGCTACAACTCGAAGCTGATGGAGGTGCCGCTTCTGCCCTTGGCATCATCGAGTCAGAGCGGTCGCAAGGGCATGGCCCAGCGCCAGCAGACGCCACTGATGGACCTGGCACCCACACGCTTCAGCAAGCTGCTTCCGGCAGTGCCGCCGCCGCGGGGTAAGATCAATTTCCGCCAGGACTCGACCATTTCCAGCGATAGCTTCAGCCAGACGTCCAGCCCCGGCTACAATTCGAAACTCATGGAAGCCCCACTTCTGCCCTCCTTGTCGGCAAAGCGATTGTGCAGCGGTAAGTGAAGAGAGGACATACGCGACACTCAAACTGTTACTAACTGATGTCGAATCCTAGCCCCGGCTCCGATTGTCTGCCGCCAGGGAGTGCAACACGAGCCCATCGAGGAGCTGGAGCCCCCGCAGACGCTGTCGCCCCTCAACAAGGCGAGTGCTCCGCCCAGCAGCTTGCAGACCATTGTGCGCTTTCAGAATGGAGCACCCCACACCATGTCCTTGCAACATCAGGTACCGTGGCAGAACCTTGAAGCCCAATCCTAGAAAAACCTACTCAATCGATGACTTTTCAGATCATCAATCGACGCAAGAGCTCCAATCCGTACATCACCAACGGACGCTTGAAGTTCCGCCTGTTCCAGATACTGATCAACGCCTTTGCTCTGCTGGCCATTGCTGGTGGATTGGCAGCGTACTTCAACGCCTATCCGACCATCAAGTTCGTGAATAAGACCATCATCAACACCATCCATGTGGAGGAGAACTCGAGCTTTGGCAAGAACCCCGCCCCCGGCACCTGTCTGCCCATCATCGTGCGCTTCTGTCAGGGCCCGCAGATACCCTACAACTACACGGTCTTCCCCAACTACATCGGTCACTTTGGTCAGCTGGAGACGCAAGTGGTAAATATGATGCGAGCTCTTTGCCATCCTATTAATCCACCTCGCTTGCAGGACCTGGACTCTTACGAGGCTCTTGTGGACGTCCGCTGCTACGAGCTGGTCTCCCTGTTCCTGTGCACCCTCTTCGTGCCCAAGTGCGGTCAGAGTGGGTGAGTTTTGAGAAAATGCATGATTGGATCTAAGATGAGAGGCAATGAACAGACTCTGAAAGATGGGATACAAGTATTTTGGGGGAACCTGATAAAAAAGATTGGGGATTAGGTAGACTGAATACAGGCCTCAAAAGAACATGTGCATGATGTGCGTCTTGAATCCTGACTAAACAAGTTATATCCATTCGATTCCATAGTGCCACAGTGCCACCGTGCAAGACGCTCTGCACTGAGACAATGCGCCGATGCGGGTTCTTCTTCGATGTGTTCGGGCTGAGTCTTCCCGAGTATCTGAACTGCAAGCTCTTTAAGGACTTCCCCAGCTCCGAGGACTGCGTGGGTCTGGAGGAGGTGCGTGACGTTATGATAGCGGCCTCTAATCCCAGGTGCGATGGCTTTCAGTGCGACCAGAACCGCTGCCTGCCGATGGAATACGTCTGCGATGGACACTTGGATTGCATGGACCAGACCGACGAGGGAAGCTGCGACCGGTGTGGCGTGGACGAGATCTACTGTGGAGACAACCAGTGTATTGCAACCAAGCACATCTGCGATGGTATCATCGACTGTCCGTACGGCCAGGATGAGCGTAATTGCCGTGAGTATTGGGATCCTCTTCAGTCTGATTGATCCCTCACCATGATCCATCGCCTTTGCAGTGAGGCTGAGTGAGCGGAATGGGGATGTGGGCGCCGGGGTTCTGGAGGTCTACCGCATCGGACAGCGCCAGTGGATGCCCGCCTGCGTGAAGAACTGGGACCGGGCCGTCTCACCCAGCGCCGTGTGCTCCATTCTTGGCTACTCGGCCGTGAACGCCACCAGTGTCCTGACTCAGCGAACACACCGTCCGCTACTGGCCTCGGTGAACGTCTCCACCGACATCTGGAAGATGTACGCCAAGCGACGGTCCACCCTGATGCAGGAGTTCGCCAACTGCAAGAAGACCGAGGACTATCCCATGGCCGAGCTCACGTGCTCCAACTATGGTAAGTCGAGAAAAAATCCTTCACTGTTGGAATGATGGCTGACGGCTATTTTCCACCCGCATAGAGTGCGGCAGGGTGAAACGTGGACGCCACAAGCCCTCCAGGCGGATCATTGGGGGCAGTCAGGCCAATCCCGGCAACTGGCCCTTCCTCGCCGCTATTCTGGGCGGGCCCGAGAAGATCTTCTACTGCGCCGGCGTCCTCATATCTGATCAGTGGGTGCTCACCGCTTCCCACTGCGTGGGCAAGTAAGTATCGCATCGCCCTTACTGCCACTGCCATTCCATTTCCGACTCTGCCGCTTAATGTTGTCCTGTGTTGTGTCCTTTCTGTGGTTGCAGTTACACCGTCATCGATCTGGAGGACTGGACCATTCAGCTGGGAGTGACGCGCCGCAACTCCTTCACATATACGGGCCAGAAGGTCAAGGTGAAGGCTGTCATTCCCCATCCGCAGTACAACATGGCTATTGCCCACGACAACGACATTGCCCTCTTCCAGGTAGGTTTTCTGGTCTCACGAACATCACTCCATCCATGTAATGCATCAATTCTCCCACAGTTGGCCACGCGTGTTTCCTTCCACGAGCATTTGTTGCCAGTTTGCCTGCCGCCGCCAAGCGTGAGGAATCTCCACTCCGGCACCCTCTGCACCGTCATCGGATGGGGCAAGCGCGAGGAAAAGGACCGTGAGTGAAGCCACTGCCAGTCGGGACGGGACGGGACGGGAATATTAGACTGATCTCTCGTTTACTCCGCAGCCAAGTCAACCTACGAGTTCATAGTCAATGAGGTGCAGGTGCCCATTATCACGCGCAACCAGTGCGACGAGTGGCTCGACAATCTGACCGTCTCGGAGGGCATGGTATGCGCAGGCTTCGATGATGGCGGCAAGGATGCCTGTCAGGTGAGTAGCAGCTTCGAACCGCTTCGAGCTGTGTGTGGATAAGGTGATCTTTTTTGCAGGGTGACTCGGGTGGTCCGCTGCTCTGTCCGTATCCGGGGGAAAAGGACCGCTGGTTTGTCGGCGGCATTGTGTCGTGGGGCATAATGTGTGCCCACCCAAAGCTGCCCGGTGTTTACGCGAACGTGGTGCAGTATGTGCCCTGGATCCAGGAGCAGATGCAAAAGCATGCACGACCTATCGGCGAGGAGCGCATCAACAAATATGATTTGCATCCGGGCGGACCTGACATGCTCTCCAAAATAGCCACGGATCCCTCGCGAAACGGAAAGCCCTATTACTACACCCACGGCAAGGTCCTGACCCATGACTAAACACAGACATAGATTTAACAGAAGTAATGTATATGTATGATGGGATAAGGAGAGAGATGAGATGCAGGAGAGACATCAGAGGACAGACGCAGCAAATACTTGAATACAGCATTTGTGCTAACAGCATTGCAGAAAGTACACAAAATAGAGTTCCAGAAACCGGAAACACCCAGATCAGAGGTGCTCAATGTGGCGAGCGATGGATAGGATATATTTTGCTACTGAACTTACGGTATTTTGGCGGATCTCGACGCGTATCGAGCTAGCTAGCATAACACCGATGTAGGCAACATAATCATGTGTCAATTTGCCGAATTTATTTGTCAATTTTTTTACAAAGAGATTTCTATAAACCCAAAAGAGAGCAACTGAAGGAAAACCAAAGATAATCCAAACCAAAAAGGCGAAACTATATGTCAATAAATAATGAATAACCGATTTATATATTTACACAAAAAAAGAAGATAAACGATATACAATACATATATAATCACGGAAGAAGATGTGGATTATACCCTAAACCTAACCTAACCGATATGTAACCGATTGGTAAATGTGTCTAAATATCCCGAGTCGTCCCGGACAATAAATCAATTTCATAGCTGAATTTCGTGTTGAAAGGTATTGTTAATGGAAGCCTTTCTATAAATAAGAAAACGGCAAGCAAACATTTTATTAATCCCAAGACAAAAATGTATGATTGCCGCCAAATAAATATACAAATATATTTACATATATCGAGAAATTAATAAAAAAAAAAATAACATACCTACCATATAGTAGATCCAAAACTATCAAGTGTTAAAAACTAGAACGGAAAATAATTTCTGTAGACACGATCTATGTAACTAAAACTAAACAAAAGGAAACTGCTGATCTACAGCATTTAATGAGTGTTCCTGTTGCAGAATCTTCTTCAGAGAGCTGATCGTATACCAAAGAATCTACATGGTAAAGAGAGTGCAGTGGACAATAAAGATAACTACAAATGCACAATAAGCAAAATGTTTGCATCTAGTCTATAAGTAATGAAAATAATAACTATAATGCGTGGGTTTCAGCTTTAAAAACACGAAAGAACAAAGAGAAATGTCACAAGGAACAGTACAGCAAAGTACAGTACAGAATATAAATGTATATGTTATATAATAATATAGTATGATGAGCGATAATGAAGTAGTAATCCATATATGTGCTTGTATTGTATACTATTCACACTGTGAATATCAGAATGTGTCTGTCTACATTCTTCTCAATAGATAATAGACATACCAAATGTATAACTAAATATTTAGAGATATTTACACATCGACTCAACTTGTTTCGCACGTGCCCCAACCAACCCAACCAAGAATATCACCATGATTGGAACTATTTTCCCAACATTTCCCTCACTCATTCTATATAGCCTGAACCTATGCCACCTATGCTTACCTTAGGCGTAGAGTAGCACCTAGTAGACATTACCTACTAAGGTACAACTATTTTGCTAACTGAAAAAGGAGAAACGAAAAGTAAGAAAATGTATGTAAAATATGCGTAACAAAAGACTCAAAATTGGTTGTTTCAGCTGACAGAATACACTAGCACACACACTACACACTACATACTACACACTACACACCACACACAAAGTTGAGCTTTGAAAAATGTACAGCTTTGGCCAGGATTTCAAGTGCTTGATTATTAAAAAACCTATGATTTCTAACGTATAACCGTTTACCGTTTACTAATAGCTCTAGTTGGCCTGTATACATATACAAAATATAGCTATATAGCTATACATACATTCATATACATATATGTATGTATATATATATATATATATTATATACATGCATGTTTTGTACAATCAGTTTACAAGTGAAAAAAATGTATTACTAGTTTTAATGGGGGTTTAGTTTTATGAAGCGCATATTACACAAGGCACAACAGCATGTTTAAAAGGAACATGCACACAGAAAGCGAAAAAAAACACAAAAAACAAAACCAATATGTAACTGAAATATATACAAGAAATATACATATAACGGTATAGATATATTCTATATATATATACATATTGTAGCTGTAGCTTGTAAGCAGATGTGATGGTGTCTAAATATATACATACATACATACAAACATGCATATTAACAAGTGGAAAAGCTTAGTTTATACACAAAAGAATCTGTGGCTTTTGTAGAATGAGCCGAGGACAACCAACAGATAAGATATATCAAAGACAATACATATAAAGATATACATATACGAGTATTATGCTTGTTTCGATTTCGTGCATTATATATATACATATATAGAAAAATATGTGCACTTTTTGTTTGACCTCTTTCCCTTCAGTTTCTCGATCTGACTCATATTCATTTTGCAGTTCTGATCCATCCGATGTGATGTGGATGGATCGTCCACTTCCAGAGCTATTTTTATACACCCATGCTAGAGGCATGCTCCAGGCTACTATCAAAACGCTTAGCTTTATGTACACTTAGTCTAAACGAAACAAAAAATGAATAGAAAAATGAATACGTCAATATGTTTAAATGTAAAAATGCTTAGCATTGTCGTAAAGTGAAGTGTGAGTGAAATATGTTACATGCGGGGGTCACCCGATAGACAGGGGGCCCGGCATGAATTAGCACATTAGATAAATACTAAGTACAATATGCATACAATCACAAAACAAAGTCCCACGAATTGGGAGCCCGCGCAAGCCCCAGCATCCTAGTTGAAAAGCCGTGCTTGAAAGATTCGGTTCTTTTCCGCATGCTCCATGACACTTAAAAATTACATAAACTAAATATAAATTATGAAGAAAACCGATTAACCGAAAAAAACCAGAAAACTGTAGCGAAACTTGAATGTAAATGTAGCAAAATTCCAAAAATTAAGAAAAACCTGGAAGCTGATTAACAAACTAGATGAATTTACATGCGTCACGTCACGAAAAAGCATACACAAGTATCAGAATATCAGAATGGACGATTACGAGAATATACAATACATATATGTATGTTTAAAGAGCATAATTCGATTCGAGATTGAGGAGAGAAGCAGGAAGCACTTGTTATTTATGCACAGATGGAACTTTGTAAAGAATTTACAAGATCAAACATTGACAATAAAATACAAAACTGAATTTTTTCCTTTGAGCTGGACAAGCGCAGCGCATCGGAAGCATTGAGAATTTATGAAAAGTTTTACATTCAAATTTTGAAGGGAATCCGTGAAATTGTTGAACATTTATTTTGGAAAAAATAGAGATTAATAACTTTGACTTTGACAATGCGGCGGTCAATTGGGACTGGCCATACAATAACTGGAAGAGTGCAGAAGGCCTAAATAAAACTACATATAATACACACAAACACGTATAACCAACTAAATGCTAAAAGCAAAATGTCATACATATATACATGATATATACCTACACACATACATACATATATATATATATAAATGTTAGAAAATAAATGTATAAAAACACATGTGTATTGTTGCCAATGTCTTTTTCTTTACACTTTATGCCTAATCTATGTAATTACTTATTTCTACGTACTATAGGTAAATGCAGCTTCATTTGAGGTAGCTCTGTACAACATCCCGCATATCCTTGATGACCTGTCGCTGATCGGTGGCGCCCACCACCGCTGTGCCCGAGACAATCATGTTGGCTCCCGATTTGGCACAGCATTCAATGGTTTTTGGGCCTACACCGCCATCCACTTCAATATCCAGATTGGGGTAGTTTTGGCGCAGCCATTCCACTTTGGGCATCATGTCGGCCATAAACGATTGACCCCCGAAGCCGGGCTCGACAGTCATTACCAGTACAACATCAGCTATGCTAATATACTTCTCCAAATCCGCCACCTGTAAACATACATACGTAGTGGGGAAAACATGGGTTATAGCGCTCAATTGGAATTATAAACATAACCTCAACTGACTTTGGTGCCCGGCTTAATGGCCAATCCCACCTGCATGCCGGCCTCCTGTATCAGACGGCTGACCTTGTACACATCATCCACCGGCTCAATGTGGAACGTGTAGAGGTTAACGCCCGCATCAGCCATGGGGGATATCCACTGCTCTGGATTCTGGACCATCATGTGCGTCTCAAAGAACGCGGTCTGTGGATTTACACGGATAAGTTCAAAATCTCGTCGAGTGGACCAAAAAATAGCCAATTTACCTTGATTTTGTTGCGCAAGCTCTTGACCATTGGATGACCAAAGGTGAGGTTCGGAACAAAGTTTCCATCCATCACGTCCAGGTGCAGGTAGTCGGCCCCATTGTCCAGTAACTTTTTGGACTCCGCTGCCAGATTGGCAAGATCGGCGTTCAGAATGCTAGGACCGATTTTAGCTTTCACCGACATTTTCTTGGCACAGCTACAGAGTGATCGAAGTAGTTGGGGGCTTGAGAACGCCGTTTTGTCGTGTTAAGGTCAAACAAAGGGGAGCCGGAGGAGCACGCACGGAGTTTGCATTTGAGAAAAAAATTTGAGAGACTGAGAATTTGAGAACGCAGCAGGCAGCTGTTGTTTGTGTAAAATGTCATATTTCTCGGATTTGCTGTTCGGTTTGGTATTAGGAGCTAGCTCAGACCATAAACACTAAACAGATAGTTTTATACGATAAATTCATATATTTTCCGCATGATTGGATATGTTTCTGTACTCTACATTTTCGGATTGCTTATAAAATAGCGTTTAAGTAAAACAGGTCAAACAAAATTTCCACAATATCTTTGCTTTTACATTGTAACTACAGATTTGATACATGTCTATCTACACCAAAAACAAGAGATATATTTTTCACATTACCGATACAAAAGGCCCATCTCGAAGAAGTTGCAAGGTGTGAGACCTAGAGAGGGTTTTTACATGCGAAGAATAAAAGAACAGGGGTATACTCTTCAATTAATTTACTTTATTTAAATTTGTTCATCTTTGTGCTTAAAGGACTATGTTGAATGAGAATGTAAGTTCCAGCTTGCGCGGTGTCTAGAGCTCGTCCTTTACGTGTATGCCTGGGTATTCCTTGTTCTCGATGGAAACGCCCTTGCAGCGGTCCTGTTCGACCAAGAAGTCCTTTGCCTCCCAGGCGTGGCCACCGTCTTTGAAGAGAAAGATGGCACGGTTGTCATCGACCATATACCTCTCTGCCTGAATGTGGTTATTCCATAGGCTGGTCTGCCAGAGCTTGGTAATAGTTTCGCCTTCCTCACGCGTTGGGTTGCCGGTAACGGAGACGAATGTCATGAGCGTGCGTCCCTTCTTCGATACTTTTAACAAGTCTTCGGGGTTCTTGCTGTCCAGATTTGAGAGATCAATCTTCGGCTGAGGGCGCAAGTGCTCGGGCAGCTCGTCCGGCTCTAGTGGCTCCTCATCTTCCTGTAAAGACTCCTTTCATTATTCGGGCTCTTTGTTGCTATTTGTATGATACTTGCATCCCACTGGTCTAGCAGACGTTCCAAATCAGCTTCACTATAGTCGCGTATGTCCTTCTTGGCCCACGCCGGTTTTTCTTCTTCTGCGAACTTCTTTGCCAGCACAACAGGCGCAAGTGCCAGGCACAGCAAAATAAAACTTGCTTGCATTTTAATTTAAGTTAAAGTTAATTTCGCACGCAGACAACCAAACACGTCACCTATTCATGTCCAAACAATCACAGAAAACATCGAAACAGAGAAAATCGAAGTTCTTCCACCTCTAGCACACACGTACACGTAAAACACAACGAAACCGAACAGCTGGGAGCGCAACGGACAAGAATTTTGTATTGCGTATTGAAATGCCGCACTCTATGCTGGTAAATAGTGCTTAGTAAATAGAGATAACTAAGTTTACCTAAAGCTAAAAGCGAAGAAAAAACACGTGCAATAAACGGGAGCAGTGCGCCGCTGATGGAGGGTTTCGGAAGGTGTGGAACATTGGAATATAGCCAATGTTGGTTGACTACTACTTTGCGTCAATTAACGTGGGATATTGAAAACAATGCGGTCTTGTAATATGTGCCAAAACATTTGACTTGCGTTCTCTGTCGGGTCGGTCGGTAATGCCGATGACATCATCATCATTGTGTTTATGTGTTTCCCTCGTTCCATCTGTTTTGTTATGCTTTCGTATATTTTAGATAAATCTGTACCCACACAACGAAAGCGAGTGCAAAAGTGTTTAACGCAAGATACCCGCTAGACGAGCGCGGCGGCCTCTCCCACAAATTGTTTAAACAAAAGAAAGGAAGGAAGAAAAATCAATAAGTAAAATCAACACGCCCAGCTGCTAGTACAAGATGGTCTTCGAGGCAGTTGTTGCCGATGTCCTCAACAAGGTGCTGGGAGACTACATCGAGAACTTGGATCGTAACCAGCTCAAAATAGGCATTTGGGGAGGTGAGTTCTTAATTTTATTCAGAACCCCCCAAAGTATGACACAATTGTGCTCCACACGAACACAATTCCAACTACCTTTGCCTTTGTTTAATCCATTTTATATATCACCCGCTATTTTATTGCTCTATCTGCACGCACTGTTTGCTTTTGCGACCCCCAACAACCGCGCCGATGACCTTATCCTTCGTAATTCATGATATCGCGAAGTGACCCAAATTCAGCCTTCGCTGAACGAACATAATAGAGAGGCATTGGTATGGGCCCGAGAGGCACATCTGAGAATAATTTCCACGCTCTCAACGGCACTCCCATGATTCCGATTCGGATTCGGATGGGTGGCGAAGTGGGGAGCGGCCAACTGTTGCGTCTGTAGAGAGCCAGCAGATGCGCCATGTGTATCATTCGTAGGGCCAGCCAGGCCACCCAGTTGCAAGCATCGGCAACAGGCGAATGTTTTTGCGGCTTCTATTTACACTTCTTCTTTAGCCTACATGTACAATCTTGATATTTATATAGGTATGCATGTACATACACATATTGGGTGGCTGGAAACTGCAAACACTTGGTCTTATCAAATGCTGCGCCCATTGAAACAGTTTCTTTGGCCTCAGACAATGCTGCGATAGACAAAGTCAAGTGCACGTGTACTGTGATATATAGGGTGCCCCTGAGGGCCGTCCGTGGGGTCCACATCACCAAAAAATGCCAAGTTCAAGGGACTAGTCTATAAATAAAAATCTACCAAACAAACTGGTTTATTTCAGGGCGGAGCCACCGCCAAGCCTGGTTTATTTTATTTTTTGTGTGCGTTCAACTTGAACTTGATGACATAATGCTAGCCCGTGCAGCGTCATGAATTAATTTCGAACTCAAGTTATTTTGAACAGAGTGTATCCGAAGAGAAGAACAGTGGGCTTTTGTTGTATGTGACCAAAAGGCAGTCTAGTAAGGGGTTATTTGTAATACGCCACTAGAATAAGACGTCTTTTCCGGCTTAGTTTTTGTAGGGATTCCCTTTCGACTTTAGATTATTGTATCATCAATTTTCTTGCGAAAATACAAAGCTCTCAAAGCATCAAAATTATATATTTCATCACAAAAATGCAATGGAAATACGAGCACACCATTTATTTGTCATCATTTACTGAGAGGGCAGAAAAATTGCACCGATTTTGTTTTTATTTGTAAAATAAACAATTCTTATCTCGTCTGGCCTCAATCATGACTGCCATGCGAGGAGTAAACAGATCATTGTTTTCCTAATTTCTTGAGTTACTTTTTCTTATTGAATCGTTTGATTGATAAACTTAGTGAGTTTTATTGTATTTAACTCGCATTTCAAACTTGTCTTTGAACCTTTCCTTGGGTTAATTCTCTTGCTTGATAAGATAGCACGACCCGCTTGTGGGGCCTCCTATCAGTGGCTCTGTGATGTCCGTTGCATACTCGCTCGCCAAACTATTGACCCACATGCGTAAAATTCAATTAATATTCAACGTTCTCCCTCTGCTCATTAGGAATTCCAAGCATTCAAGAAAACACTCGAAACTCAAAATATAAAATGCGGCATGCCCAAGAGCCAGACGCTTTTAATTGGAATTGATATATTGCCTGGGGTGTGCTGGTTCCTTATAGATACAGCATACAGTGCGTATAACTATCATAAGACATCAAAAGAGTTAGTTCAATAACCGGAAATCTCTATTCAATGCCACTTTCTTGTCGTTCTGGGCATATGCTACTGTCACGCACTGTAAACCTTATTTGTTTATCGCCGCTTCGCTTTTGCTCACATGCATCACCCCCGCCCCCGCAGATAGCAGCAATACATCAAAAAGTTGACCAAATACTAGACATTTTGAAGCAAATGGAATCGAATTTATTTCCCATTATATGTGCATATATGTGAAATTACATGGCTCTATACCCACTCTTTGTTTTTGCTTTTTATCAGGCGATGTGGTTTTGCAAAACCTAAAGATACGCGAGAGTGCCCTGGAAGATTTGGACCTGCCGGTGCAGATTGTCTACGGATATTTGGGTGAGTGTGAGAGACATGTAAGCGAAGAAAATGGGCACTGAAATGAGTCTCTTGTTAGGTAAACTGGTGCTGAAGATACCATGGAAGAATCTGTACAGCCAGCCCGTTATCGTGAACATTGAAGATCTCTATGTCCTGGTCTCGCCCAATAACAATGTCCAGTACAATGCGGAGAAGGAGGCCAAGTATGAACTGGATGCCAAGATGGCGGCGCTAGATGCCCTCGAGGCGGCCCGCAAAAAGGAGATTGAGAAAAGTGAGGATGAATAAAAATTAGACAGAACGTAAATGCGAACGCTTCATCTGGCCTCCTCTCTTTTCAGATACAGCCAAGCCCGACGCTGGATTTGCCGAGAAACTAACGGCGCAGATTGTGAACAATCTGCAGGTGACGATAAGCAATGTGCATTTGCGATACGAGGACAGCACAACGACCGGCAGTCCGTTCTCCTTTGGCGTATCGCTACACAGACTCGAACTTTTCACCACGGACAGCAACTGGGACAATACCTACATGACGGAGCAGGCCTCCCAGGTGTTCAAGATAGCGAATCTCTCCTGCCTGTCTGCCTACATGAACTGCTCCGCTCGTCTCTTTGCCAAGGAGGCGACATCGCTCACGGAACTCTTCCAGACGAGCATTGCCCGCAAGGACTTCAAGCCCTTGCACTACAACTATGTGCTGGGGCCCATCTCGTGCAATGCTAAGCTGAAGCTCAACATGAATCCCGAGCTCGATAGCCCGGCCTTCCAGATACCCAAAATAGATCTCTGCTTGGAAATGGAAACTCTGAATGTGGGTCTAACCAACAACCAGTTCGACAATATTATCAAGCTGGGCGATGCCATGAACCGCATGCAGTTGGGCATTCCCTACCGCAAGTATCGACCGTACAATCTGTGTAAGAATTCCCCAGTCCCCCATTCTGAATGATACAGCACCTTATGCGTTTTCCTTCCCTCCATCGTAGCTATCAAGGGCCATGCCAAGGAGTGGTGGCAGTTTGCAGCCACCTCCATACTCGAAGTGCAAGTGCGGAGACCGCGCCGCTGCTGGACCTGGGCACACATCAAGCAGCATCGGGACCGCTGCAATACTTATGCACAGGTGGGTCTTCAATGCAATATTATCTGTTGACTCTTTGCTGACTTATCCCTGTGTCCACTGCAGAAATACAAGGAACGAGAGCTGAGCAAAAAGCCCCCAGCCACCCTTATAGAGACTTGTAGTCTGCTGGAACAGGAACTGGATGCTTTCAATCTGCTACTGATCCGACAGCGTGTCAACATCGAGATAGAGAAGCTGAGGGACGCAGCGCCTGTGCCGAAGACAGGCTGGCTGAGTGGCTGGTGGGGCGGCGGAGCCAAGAAGGAGAACGAGGGCCAAGATCAGAATTTTGGCAAGAAACAATGCTTAATACTTTCTTTCATGTGTGTGTGCATGGGCACATGTCTACAATCTAGAATTTTCATTTGCAGTACAAAAATTCGAGGCTGCCATGACGCCGGAGGAGAAGGCCAAGATGTACAAGGCGATTGGTTACGAGGAAAACGCGAAGCCTCAGGATGTGCCCGTATATTATGAAGCGATCAGAATGAACTTTAAGCTGATTGCCTTGGAGGTGGGTCTGTACCAGGACAAGGGCTCGGCCACCGATAATAGAATTTCGTACGACTACCAAGATCTGCCGTCGCTGGTACTGCTCAAGTTCTCCATGGCCACGGCCTCGGTGAGCCAGCGACCAGCTGCTGACGCCATCACCATCACCGCTGGCATGAAGGAACTCAAGGTGTCGGGCCTCGTTCGTGACGGCCGTACACCCATGATCGTGGAGTCGAAGATAACCGACGAATTTAATCTGCTGGACATATTCTTCGAGACGAATCCATTGGACGGACTCTGCGATCAGAGAGTGAAGATCGTGGCGCGTCCTCTACAAATCATATACGATGCAGAAACAATCCTGAACCTCATAAGTGTGTTCCAGCCGCCTAAGGATATGACACTCTCAAGGTTCGAGAACGCTGCCAGCCTGCAGCTGAACAGCATCAAGGAGCGCTCGGCCACGGGCATGCAGTATATGATTGAAATGAAGTCAGTTCTTGATGCGGACATCCTGCTGATGCCCAACGTTCTGGTGGTGCCCCACAAAGGGGTATATGCTGCGGACCAGTCCTCCCTTGTGGTCATCAGCATGGGACAGGTGCACTTGACGACCAACACCCGGCGCCGTGCGTCGACTAGTGTGTTTGGCTCCAGCGAGGAGCGAGGCGAGATTCTCAAGAGCGTCATGGAGAACGCTTACGACAGATACATCATTAAGGTGGACGACATTCAGCTACTGGTGGCGCGCCCTGGCGAGCCGTGGGATCATGTCCTCAAGGCTGCCGTCTCCACGGATATGCATGTGCTCCAACCCGCCTCCCTGATGATCACTGCCGCCCTCTGCGTGGTGGACAATGACCCCCGAATGCCCAAGATGAAGGTGGACATTGAGATTCCGACCGTCCAAGTGAACATCTCCGAGGATCGGGTGATTGATGCCATCTCAGTGGCCACGAGCATACCCCTGCCAGAAGCGTCCGAGCCAGCGGCGCAGCTGATAATGACGCGCTCCCGCAGCTCGCTCTCCAGTTTCCTCAACAAGGACGTGATCAAGTTCGGCGGCAGTAATGGGGGGAACACCGCAACCTCGGCCGTGGAGGAGATAATACAGTACACCAATTTGGAGGTGAACTTCTCACTGAAGGAGATCTCTTTCGGCCTGTACCAGTCAAACAGGCTGTGCGAGAACGATTCGGATGTCACCATTGAGTTTCTGACTCCGGAAGGAACTGCAATGCCGTCCCCTATGGATGCACCGCAACCGAAAACAACGGTGGAAGAGCCGAGCCTGGAGGCGGCCTTTGCAAGGCGTTCACCCCAGATTCTGTCCGTCCAGGTGCACCAGCTTGAAGCAACATTGTCTCAGCGAACCTACGAGACAGTTGCCACAGTCAAGTGAGTAGATTCTCGTAGATTCGTGCAAGAAATGCCTCATCCCCATTATCCACTCTAAAATTCAGGCTGGGGGGCGTGAAGATCAAACAGTTCGACTGTCAGGAGAACAACCAGGAGGTTCTGGACATAATTGACACGCCCGGATACAACCAGGGGGATAATCTGGGCCAGAGCGTGAACTACCTGTTCACCGTCTCGTATACGATGGCTGACAAGACATCGCCAGAGTTTAGCACCAAATACAACTCCACGGAGCAGCTGATCGTCGCCAACTTCGAGATGCTTCAGATTGTGCTGCATCAGGAGTGTCTGCTGCGAGTTCTGGAGCTGGTGACGGACTTCCAGAAAAATCTGGACGATTTGCTGCAGACCGACAAGCCGCGCGATCGCTATGCCCTCGCTGGTGCCGGCGATGGTCTCAAACAAAAGCTCAATGTCATCCTTGAGGACACTGAACAAATCATGGTCCCTAAGCAAACCAAAATGAGACGGATTAAGGCATCCCAGCGGCGTGTGGAGAGCGTGAAGCTGCGCTTGATCGCCAACCTCAATCAAGTGGGGTTGATGCTAACCTCGAGAAGCCGCCCGCTGGCGGAGATGAATGTGAAGAAATTCGTTGCAAGTCTGACCATGAAGAGCTCGTACACGGAGCTGAACCTCGGTCTCAAGGATATTCAGGTCATTGACCTAAACCCCCAAACGATTCACGAGAATGTAAGTGGCCTTGACAGCTGCCGGAAACCTGAGAACTTATTTTCTACATTTTCCACACACAGATATTGAGCATTGTGGGCCAGGATGCGTTCAACTGCCAGGTGGTGCTCTACAACAAGCCCGAAACAGTCGATTACAATTCTGATGACATGAAGATCACCGTAGACATTGGCTGCATAAAGATTATCTTTTTGAATTGGTTTGTCGCTGGCATCCTGGTATGTTCTTATCGATTATTTGTGGACTGGAGGCTTAATTGCTTTGATGGCTTTAATGCATTTGCAGAACTTCCTCAACAATTTTCAAGCCGCCCAGCGGGCGTTGTCCGAAGCCAGCGCTGCGGCAGCGGAGTCCGCCCGTCAGAAGGCGATGGATGCCTACGAAACGGCGACGCGCATGAAGCTAAATGTGCGGATTAAGGCACCCATCATTATCATACCCATCGACTCCAGGAGCAGGGATGCACTGTCCCTCGATCTCGGCATGCTGGAGCTAACGAACAACACTGTGACTGTCCCAGTGGCCGACACAACCGAACGGGCCGTCATTGATGAGATCAAGTTGCGGCTTAGAAATGTCAAGCTATCCAAGGTTATCATATTGACTGGCAACGAGACCGTGGTGGATGGTGAGTTTTGAATAGACGTTCAACCAATTCCAACTATGGCTTCTTCTGGCAATTAACTGTTTCGTTTCGCCTTAGACGTGGATGCTGCCGTTGGCTTCAAGTCGAAATTTAATATGATGAATCCCATGAGCTTCACCATGCTGGTCACTCGCAATCTGTCGAGCGCCTGGCACAAGGAGCTACCCGAGCTTAATCTGTCCGGTCGCCTGAAGTCCATCGAGGTAGAGTATTCAGATAAGATATTTTTGTATTGATATATTCGTATATCATCAATTAATGTAGCTCACACTTTTCTCTGACGACTACGCTCTGGTCATGTCGATCTTGAACCGCAACCTCAACGAGGGCGTGCAAGAGTTCCCGCCACGGGACGACCCACCGCCCACTCAACCATCGCCAACGCGGGCAAGTGTACTTGCTGAAGGTCGCGGCACTCGCAAGCATTCCTTCCTAGTCACGCCAATGCTAAAGAACGAGAAGATCTACGAGGTGCTCAAGTTTAATTTCCAGTTTGATGGCGTGATAATAAATCTGATGGAGGGTAAGTGGGAGAGGTAGAGTGGGGGTACGATCGGTATGATCAGTAAGACCTAACTGAGAAAATTCCCACTTTTAGACGAAGATGAAGGACTGGCGCGGTTTGGCATATATTTCCTATCTGTCAAGGGCACAAAGCTGGTCAACAACACGCTGAGCACTTCCCTGGTTCTCTGCAACATTCAACTGGATGACACGCGCACGAAAACTAACAGCCAGATAAGGCAATACTTGAGCCGCAAGGACTGGGTAGAGGCCAAGCTGCAGACGGACGAGATCATCGACGCCTGCTACAACGAGCGCAATTTTATGGTTGATGTCACGGCCATAGTCAAGGAGAACGATACTTTTGGTAATTGTCATCCCCGAACAAAAGTCGAGCAGAAAGATAACAGATTGATTTGCTTTTGAAGCCGAAGTTCGTGTTCGAGGCTTCGACTTGATCGTCTGCATAGACTTCCTACTCAAGCTGACGACGTTCCTGACCCTGCCGCCAGACAGCACGCCGCGACAGTCGTTGGAAGTGGAGCCCATTTCGGAGACGGCTCACCATGCGCAAAGTTCTTTCCGGGATACAGCCGTTTTTGCAGCTAGCGAATTTATTGACCCGGAGTCAGTGGGTATGTATTCGAATGTATTCAACGTCCGATATCCGACAATAATCGGTACCTCTTCGCTTTAGTTGTTGGGCACAACAAGAAGATTAATCTTATACTGCATGTGGATGAGCCGGATATAATCCTCGTGGAAAGCCTGGACGATCTGAACACAAATGCCATCATCTTCAATGTAAGTAAAAAAAAAAAAGAACTTCCCGTGTCGTAACTTACTAGAATTCTAGAGGATAGCGCTGAAAGCGCTATTGAATCTTCATGCTGCCCCCCATCTGGAAGGAATCGTTTATTATTCCTTTCCATAAGAAATGTAGCAAGTCTTTTTTTGTCCCTTTCAGGCTCAAGCTCATCTAAATTATCGCGCCATAGATGACAAACAGATCATTAATGGACAAATCGATGCACTCAAGATTTACATGAGCGCCTTTCTGCCGGAGCGGCGGGAGCAGACGCGCCACTACATTTTGCACCCGTGCGTGATCAGCCTGCAGGGCTCCACGCCCGAAGAGCAGGGTCTGCATATAAGTCTCAAGCTAAGCGATATCATAATCAACGTGTCCCCTGCCACGATCGAGCTGCTGAATAAGGCGATAATGAGCATAGCCAGCGGTACTGCTGTAAAGGCAGTCATGGAAAAGGAAACGAAGGACTACACAGAGCTCTGGTATCCGCACAATTTCCGCAACCGATTCTATTGGTTCACCAGGGTGGATGAGGGCCTCGATGCCCTGCAGTTTATTAACAACGAATTGAAAGAATCCGCGAAGCAGAAGACGGAGAAATGCGTCATTGAGCTGCCCAGCATCACGGTTGTAATTGAGTCGGGCGTGGGATACTACACAAAGCCCCTCATATCGCTGGATACACGCATCACAGCCGTCTTTAACAATTGGAGCCGTAACCTGAGCGCACATGGATCGCTGACCCTCAACATGGTAAGCAGGTGCATCATATCGCTTGGAGGCTTCAATTTTATTACTGTAATTTTATTGCAGAACTACTACAACCAGTGCCTCGCCGAGTGGGAGCCAATTATTGAGCTAAACGAGGTGGTGGGCCGCAACGGAGTCAGCGAGTACACGCCCTGGGAGCTGAAGTTTGACTTGGCCACGGAGAAGGTGCAGAGCGAGACGAACGATGCGTTGGAGCAGCAAACTATCAACATGGTCATCCATTCGGAGGAGAATCTGGAGATAACATTCAGCAAAACGAGCTTGTCCCTGCTCGGCGAACTGAGCGAGGCCTTCTCGCAGGCCATCGACCAAAAGGGTCTCGCCAAACCGGATATAGTCGCGCCCTATGTCGTGGAAAACGACACGGGCTTTGACCTCACCCTCAATCTGCGCAGCGGCATCTTCACCCTGCACGAGGTGCATCGCGGAGGCGGTCATTCTGTCAACAGTTCATTGCTAATGTCGTCCATCGAACTATCCGCCGAGGTGGATCCCAATGACATACAAATTTGCACCATTTCAGCCGGTGGACGAGCCTATCTGCAGACCAAGGACCTGAGCACATTAACCGATGAGCAGGCTGAGGACTACAATCTCTATTTGACGGTAGGATGGTACTCTTATAGCCTGATAGCAAAAGCCCCTAATGATCTTTATATGTCTGTTGTTTTAGATTGGTTCCATCGAGAAAGGAGTCGTGGTGCCCGTGTCAAAGTCCGATACAAGATACTTCCCCCTGATGCGGGGCATATCCCATGATCCCTGGGGCATCATTTCCGAAGTGAAGCAGGACTATGGCACCACCACAGTGAACATTCATGGTGTCGTCAGCGTACGCTAAGCAAAGCCAATATTTTGTGCGAGTTTCAGCTGCTAATTGGTCAATCTTTGCAGGTCTTTAACCACTTTACTACCACCATCAGCGTGTATCGGCGCAAGGCGACGGACAAAAGTGATATTTTTGTGGGCAGTGCTGGTCCCGGGAAAGTGTTCAATGTGCCCCTTCACGCCATTTACGCGGACTCCAAGGATTTGTTCTTCTCCTTTCCGGGCTACAAGACCTCGGTGCAGGGTATTTCCTGGAGCGCCAGTCCCTCGGACCTCAACTACTCGCATCAGCTGCAGTGCGACCCCATTTCCACATTTGAACCGCTGTACATAAACGCCACGAGGACAAAGAGTGAGGTCTATCACGAGAATACCAACAAATTCAAGCTATTGAGCGCCTTCTACACCATCCACCTGCGCCCGCCTCTGTACCTACGCAATGCCCTCCCCATCAACATAATGGTTTCGGTGGCTGGGTGCTCTGTGCGAAGAGACTCGCTCGAGGTCACCCGCAGCTCACCCGATTTGGCTATAAAAAACATCAGAGAAGACTTCCTGGACTACGGCGAGAAGCAAGTGAGGCCGGGCGACGTGCTGCATTTGCCTACTGTCCGCCTGTCGGAAAAGGGAAAGGACGGCAAAAGCTTTCTGGTTGTTCGAGTAAGTATATCTGCATTCAGACTATCTCCAAGAGTTATTTGCTGAGCCTCTGTCTTCCCAGCTGCTGCAATACCTAGAGAAGGACTGGTCCTGTGCCACCGAAATTTCCGAGTGCAGCGGCGAACTCTGCACGTGGACGTTTTCATCGTACGACTCTGAGATGAAAGTGAATATGGAGCTCAATGTGCGGTAAGCGAATTGAAATCAGTTGCCATTTCTGTCCGATTTTCTGATTTCCGCCCCCGCAGACCAGAGGATCGACACGGCAGCATGATGCTCACGTTGTTCAGCCCCTTCTGGATGATCAACAAAACGGGGGAGATGCTCACCTATAAAACAGAGGCCACATCGGTGGAGGTGTTATACCATCCACCGGAGTACAGTGGACCTATACTCCTTACCTTTCGTGATACGATGTTTTTCGACAAGAAGAAAGCTTCGATTCGCTGCGACAATGGGGATTGGAGCGAGAAGATTCCCCTTGACGTGGCCGGTTCGGTGGGCGAAGTCACCTGCCATGCCAACGATCGAAAATATCACATCGGCGTTCACAATCACTTGACCCAGGACTCGTTGACCAAGCAGATCACCTTCATACCATTCTATATAGTCTGCAACAGATGCCCCTACAAAATCGAGCTCCAGGAGCAGAGTCGTCCGGGCGATCCGTGGATGGCCCTTCAACCTAATCAGTTTGAGCCTTTGTGGCCGAAAAACGACCACAAGCACAATCTCGTGGTTCGGGTGGAAGAGAAGGTGACGCCTGCCTTCGACTACACCGAGGTGATCTGTACCCTGCTGAAGCTGGAGAACAGCAGACATGGAGGCATCAACGTGGACGTGCAGACAACGGAGGGCGGCGTATACATAACATTCACAGAGTATCAGAAATCCGATGCACCGGGGCTGCTCATCAATCACACCAGAAAGGAAATCTGCTACCAGGAGAAGAACACCAAAGATGGTAAAATTCTATATGCCAAAAATAATATTATGTTCGCGTGGAGTGATCCGACGGGTCCCAAGATTCTTGTATTTGGCAAAAACAAACAGGAAACCGACTTGCGACGTGACGACATTGGAGAGGTTGTGTAAGTATCACATCGTATCCATGTTTCTTTAGTTTCCGCTAATGGAAATTCCACTCGACAGCATGCAAGACGGCACCAAGGCCTTCTGGGTCTCCTTCTTGGACGGCTTGCAGCGTGTGTTGCTGTTCACCGAAGTCGAATCGATAGCCAAACGTACAGAAACCACCGCCTCCCTGCAGACGATTACGCAGAGCATCGATCTGCGCATCCATGGCATCGGTCTGTCTGTGATAAACAATCAGACAGGCCTAGATATACTGTACCTGGGTGTCACCAGCTCTGGCATCATTTGGGAGTCCAAGAAGGAGGGTAAGAAGCGTTTTAAGGAAATGACCATTCACGACACCGACCTTCTGGAGGCCGAGTACCAGCGTTATCTGGTGCACAAAAGCGTTAACGATGTCCAGAACTACAAGCTAGACAATAAATTTCCGGTAATATTCACTACGCACTGACTACATTCTACGGACCGCTCTATACACCTTTATTTGTATTTATTTTTCAGATCGATTTCGACGGAATGGTGCTAAAGAAGGCCGTTGATCGACAGCTGAGACGCAGCTTCTACCCGGCCATTTGGGTGTCGAACAAGTCATCACCATTCCAGAATCAGCTGCATATCAAAATCAATCGTGTCCAGGTGGACAACCAGTTCATCGATCCCATATTCCCAGTCGTGCTAGCCCCGATACCGCCGCCCAAGAGCGTGGCCAGCACCACGACTCTGAAGCCGTTTATTGAGTGCAGCATGGTGCAGCGCGTCATGCCCAACTCGACGGTCAAGCAGTTTAAGTACGCCAAGATACTGATTCAGGAGTTCCACTTCAAGGTGGACATACTGTTTCTCACGGCCATTGCTGAGATGTTTGCTAAGGAGGTTTCCGATAAGGTGGCGGCCAAGCAGTTCCGCCAAGACGTCGACTCCATTGAGCAGCCCCTGTCCGCCTTCTTCGAACTTCACTCGCAGCAGGAGCAGAAAAACTTCTACGACAGTCTCCACTTGGGGCCACTCAAGATACACGTCAGTTTCTCGATGGCCGGATCGGACACCACTGCACTGCCAGGCTTCCTGGGCACCATAGTGCAAGGCGTAGGCGTGACCCTAACCGATGTGAACGATGTCGTTTTCCGGCTGGCCTTCTTCGAGCGCGAATATCAGTTCTTCACGCAGCAGCAACTAATCAACGAGATTACCTCGCACTACACGGGCCAGGCACTGAAGCAGCTTTACGTCCTCGTCCTCGGCCTGGATGTCCTTGGCAATCCATATGGCTTGGTGGTAGGACTTAAAAAGGGCGTAGAGGACTTGTTCTATGAGCCATTCCAGGTACACCTACCATACTTTTTTTTCTACATATAAAATTAAAATATTTTCCATTTTTAGGGGGCTATACAAGGGCCTGGTGAATTCGCTGAGGGTCTCGTCCTCGGCGTTAAGTCCCTCTTCGGCCACACTGTAGGCGGGGCAGCTGGTGCCATGTCCAAGTGAGTTGAGCATTTTGTAAAGGATTGTAAAGGATTTTCCTATCGAGCGTAATATTACCATCTATTAGGATTACTGGCGCCATGGGCAAGGGGCTGGCAGCACTTACCTTTGACGAGGACTACCAAAAGAAACGGCGTCAGGGCATGAACAACAAGCCGAAGAATTTCCACGAAGGATTAGCGCGAAGCAGCAAGGGCTTGGTGATGGTACGGTTCTAGACATTGAACATTCTGAGGCATTGAATATTTTGGAATGTTATTTCAACTTTTTCACCTTCACCTAGGGCTTTGTTGACGGGGTGACCGGTGTTGTAACTAAACCTGTGAGTGGAGCTCGCGACCACGGAGTTGAGGGTTTCTTCAAAGGATTGGGCAAGGGAGCTATTGGTCTGGTCGCCCGCCCCACCGCTGGTGTGGTCGACTTTGCCAGTGGCAGCTTTGAGGCGGTTAAACGCGCTACAGAGGCTAACGAGGACGTCAAGCGGCTGCGTCCCACTCGCTTTCAGCACAATGATCATGTGCTGAGACCCTATTGCTACAGCGAGGCCATGGGCAACAAAATGCTGAAGTAAGTGGCGCGCGTAGGCAGATTAGATGGCCTGATTTGACTAATTGATTGCTCTCATCCGCAGGGAACTCGACAAGGGAAAGTATGCTAGCACCGACAGCTTCGTGCATTGCGAAGAGATTATCCAGAAGGCCGAGTATCTTCTGGTCACCAACTACCGCCTGGTGTATATCCAGCGAAACGAGATGTTCGGCATCTGGACGGTACGTTGGACTTTTGCCCCCATTCAGAACCTATTGAAAATGCATTAATGAGTCTGGTCTTAATTTCAGTCGCTCTGGTCGTACCTATGGAATGACATTAACTCCGTAGATGCTACGACGCTCGGTGTACAAATCACTGTCAAAGTGGAGAGCAAGAAAGTACTGGGATTTTTCAGCTCCAAGGAATCGCCCCGCAAGCTGGTGCTGCTGGCAGATGACCGCAAGCGCCGCGCCCTCAAGGAAATTATCGAATCTCATTTAGGCGACAGCATTTCGAACGTCACAGCCACATCCTATTATCCTGATCAAAAAAATAACTAAATCTGAATTTATCTGCTAACTGTATTATAATCCGGCACATCCTCAAGGCGGCTCCAGTGGCAGCTACTGAGCTACTGCCTTGATCCACCTTCTCCCTCTGCCTGCGTCTCTGCAACTGGTTTGAATAAATGCAAGTAAATCCACACTTAAATCCACATACAATAATGAATGCTTTTACTTATGTTAACTATTATGCTTTTATATTAAAATTGTATGTCGGTAAAAAAATGTGACATCCAGAGAGCGGTTTCCACTAGCTTAAGAACTAAATCTACAATTCATCTGTGGAGGGAAGGACTAAAGCGCGCGCAGAGACGAGACGAGCAAGATCGCGATGAGTGCACCTGGATTTGGTCTACACCTTCTTGAGGAAGCTGCTGGGAGGTGTGGATAGTGGCATGATGGGCTCGTAGTTGCTGCAGCTGTCGTTGTCGCAGAAGGAGGTGAGCGAGGCCAGGGCATTCGCCGCCAGCGCCTCCACGCTGAACATGGTGGACAGATGGCCGCTGCTCTCGAACTGATTGATGATCATGTTCACTTTGCTCTTGGCCTCGGCTTTCAGGCTGGGGGAGGAGGGACTGCTGTTCGACAAACTCAGGTCGCGTTCGCCTGGAAGTGCCCCATCATAGCCGTAGCCCTCCCCGAGATCCGGATCTGTCAGCAGATTCTCCTTCTCGCTCTGCTTGCACTTGGTATTGGCGGGCGCAGCGCTGGCCGTGCTCGCTGTCTTCTGTCCTGTGCTCTTATTGAGACGACTGAGAAACCAATTCCTCGCCAGCTTATCACAGTCCTTCCCGGGCGTGGACGTCATCTTCTGCGGACTCGTCTGTGCTGATGTCTGAGATTTGCGTTGCTTCTTCTGCTCCTTGTTGTTGGGGCTTTGAGCAGGACTCGTCAGCGACAGCGACAGCTGCTCCGAATCGCTGCTGTTGCTTGCGCAGGAGTAGCTCTTCTTCACCGCCTTCTTCAGGCGCTCCGGACTGGGACCGCCTGGCGACAGCTGCGTAGACAGCTCACTGTGGACGGTCTTTACCTTGGCGTGGAAGTCCATGACCAGACTGTCGTGCAGACTGGACGGTTGTGGTTGTGGCTGTGTCTGCGCCTTGGTTCCGCCATCACTAAGTAGCACCATCGTTTCCACCTCCCCGACGGATGATGTCGCCTCCTTCAGCGGCTGCGGCGGACACTTTGGCACGTCATACTCAAAGCGCCTGGCCAGGGCGCTTGGACTATGAGTCTTCTCAGGCAGTTTGGGTGGCGTCCCCGACAAATCCACGGTAAGGTTGTAAATGGGCGAAGGCTCTTCGTAAATGCAGTCCGTTGTTGTGGGCGTAGCTGAATAGTTTATTCTCTTCGTGACTGGCGGTGTGGGCAGTTTGCGTGGAAGCGGGCTCTTCAGGGACTGGTGTACAGTGGTGGTGGCATCGCCACGTATGGCTGCCTCAATGGCGTGGATCCACTCTTTGGCATCGACCTCGTTGTTGGCCTGGTAAACGAACTTCTTGTTGGGATCGTCGGTGGTTATCTGGAAGCAAATGTCACGCCGTTTCCCCTCGCCAAAGTGCTCGATCTCAATGGCGGAGCTTTTCAGGTAGAGACTGCTGCTGGGCCGGCAGGCAGTCGGACCATCCGCATAGCAGAGCATCCACTCGTTGAGGATGCCGCAGTAGCACTTTCTGGTCTGATCGAAGAACAAGCGCTTTGGTACAATCCGCTGAAGCTGTCCGTATTTGGTGGATCTCTGCAGAGACAGGTGTCCGGCGGGAAGGTCTGCGTATGGACAGTCAATGATCAGCTCGTGGGTGAAGGTTATGACCTTTTGCGCCTCATCCTCGCCCTGGTCTTGGCCCTGACCCTGGCTCTGACAGGTCTCATACAGCTGCTGTTCCTTATCATCCTTAGCAACTGAACCTGCTCCTGGTGGGTTGGCGGAGAAGCGAAAAGTCTTGTCACTGTCCAAGGAGCCACTGCTGCTCAGATCGATATACTCCCGCGATGCGGCCACTGCAATTAGGGGTAATTACTAATTACTGGATGTTCCAGGCAAATAACTGGGCTCGTTCTTCACTCACGCGAGTTCTTGGACGACGATGGCGAGGACAACATCTCCAGATAGCAACTGGGACCGGTCTCCGCGCCCACTTTGCTATCGACACAGTCGCCCATTCCATTCCCATTCGACTTGATGCTTGGAGCTGGCACCTGGACGTCTGCGTCTGCATAGCCCGCCAGCAGCAGCTCGCAGCGCTCCAGCAGCTCCGCCGTCTGTTCGGCGGCCGTCATGTGGAAGAGATTCGAGGTGTTTTCGTACTCGGATGTCTCCAGCGAGGCACGAAAGTGGGCGCGCACATCTGCAACGAGACGAAAAGATCACCGCCATGAGTTCTAATGTTCGGTTGGGTTTGGTTCTTGCTCTGTTCTTGCTAAATATGGTGGCGGCCTATTAGCCATTAATTTCGAAACGCATCATTGGCCTTAATAGCCTGCCCCCCCCCTGCCAGCCGCAGTTGAGCAGTTGAGCAAGAGCCATCCCATTTCCATTCCCTCTGCGGAGGGCAATTAGCTGGCAGCAGTGTCTTTTGCAGTGACTCAGAGCAGAGCAGGAAGCGGACAGGCAATGCTTCAGTTAATTGCTCTGGGCTGGCTCTGGCCCAGTATCAGTGCCAGTAACAGCCGAGTACCAGCCCCAGCCCCAGCCCCAGCTCCAAGACTTCACATGAATGACCTCATAAGCTCTCTCGCTCAAGAGTCAACTGCGAATTGACCGCGGCAATTAAAAATAATTTCACTGACCAAGAAAGTAAACTCTTCGTCGGCGTTTTTTTATTTTTTATTTCTTTTTTTGTTCTTCTCTCCGTCTCCTCCCTTGCTAAGCTAAGTTTTTCGTGGTTCATACACACATACAAACATATATAAATTATTTAACTGTAAACCGAAAAGTAAAGAAATTTGCAAGAAATCTTGTTAAAATTTGAACACGCAAACTATGAATAAGTCTGTAATCGTAATACTTCTGTTTATGTGAATAAGCCACCAGCAACAGAGAGTGCTATGCTTGAAAACCGAACAAGAGATGCTCTTTCAACAAAACTAAATGGAATTTACAGATGTTAGTAGTAGTGAAGAGGCTATTCTTTCATCCTTTCTCCTCTCTCCTGAACTCTTAGTCTATGCCCTTCATCTTGCCCAGTGCTAGTGGCAGAGTACAAAAACTTGTTAAAATATAGCCCAGAGACGGAGGCTTAAACAAGCGCTTTGAGCTTCGTTTATCCTCTTTTTATGGTATACCTTGCGGGTATACGGACTTGTATACATACATATATGTATATACATATGCTTCGATGGAACAGCGTCCAAAACGACAGAGCCAAACGCCTTCGACAAAGTGTACACAAAAAACAAGAGCATGAGCCAGAACAAAAGCGTATTTAAAGTTGGCCCCATCCAACGCTGCTGTGGACTCGACTTCGTGGAATGAGTCAATAATACATTGGGTTATTATTAATGTTTATGTGTTGAAGTTTCAGTTGGATCGGATCTCGTCTGCTCTGCTCTGCTCTGTCTGTGGTGTGCGCCCCAGGCGGGCAGGCTCAAGGCACGAAGTTTTCTATAAAAGATTTTGTGTATGTAATTTTTGACTATGCAAAACGAACATAGTTTTAATGATGAATCTGCCAGTAACTGCTTTTAATTTTGTTTTTCGGTTTGCTTTTGTAATGTGCTGAATATTCGGGTTTTTAGTTGAAGATAATTACACTTACCCAACAAAAACTGTTCCATTTCTGGCCGTTTAGTAGTTGCCATTGTATCCATTTTATATTTTTTTCTGTTTGTTTTTCAGTGTTAATTTGAAGCGCTTTGCGTTAATATGCGTTGAATGCTTGTTCTGTAGATCGTTTGATTTCTCGCTCGGGTTTTATTGTGGCTTCTCTGGCGGTTGTTTTTGGACTCGGAGCTGTCATGTTCATCGAATGCACACAGTTTTGCCTTTTTGCCTTAGAAATTAACAGGTTGCTGTCAAAAGTAGATAACACATTTTATAAGATCACATGCACTGTTTATTGCGGGGTAAATGGTTGGAAATGGGGATCACAAAGGGGAACGGAACCCAGTAGTGAAGTGCATGGTAGCTACAGCACTAGGGATAGAGAGACACACGACACACACGCACTAGCAGAGACCGACTGAAGGTGTAGCTGGATGTTCTCCACCGCCTTCTCCGTTGAGGTTGAAACTCCCCCAGGGCGCCGACGAGCAACCCGCTGTGGTCCTTGACTGCATTGTCTGCTCTGGCTGGGATATTAATAGATGAACTATATATACTACGTGAGCCTCGGGAGCACCACTTGATTCGATCGTCTAACAGCTACGCGTCGAAACACAATACAATTTGTATTGCGCTTGGATCGTGTTTTTCTTTTTGTCATTTTTTATTTTTTGGTTGCACGCTTCGTTTGGCTGGAAACTCATGGAAAATCAGCGGCTGATGACGTTATGCTTTTCATTTTTTTTCCCCCACTATACTACACAGTACTGGGTACAGGGGATTGCGAGTATACAAAATTTCTACACTCGCTTGTGTACTGTATTTGTCATTAAACGTTATTACGAAATCTGTTTCGGGCGCCCAATGGCACTGTGAACTTCTCGGGGTGTAGCCAAGTGAATCTCTATATCTTCCTCTATCTCTACCTCCGCTGTCACTTGCGGTTTCCACTGTTTTGTGGCTAAGAATTGAATATACATAGTTATATGTACATATGTACATGTGTGCCACAAAGACACACACTTACAGAAGGGGCAGTGCCTGTGCCTTGGCCTGGGCCTCCACCTTCTCCGGCCAAGCCTTTTGATTGTGACTCATCTGAATGGCGACGCGTGTCGTCGCCGGAAAGCAACAAAGAGCTTCGCCAGCGCCATGCAAATGAGTGCCAAGTGCTGTTGACCATCTCTCCCAGCACTTGCTGGGGGTACACGCTTTTACTTTTTTGTTTTAATACCACCATAAACGCAAATTGTAATATTATTTGCACTTGGCTGCCGTTAGTTGTTATTGTTGTACGGTGGCATCGCAATTTATCGCCGCCATAACATTTCTATTTTTTTATTGATTGAACACACATGTGAAACGAAACCCTAAACTTCTGTTTCTTCTGGCCAGAGCTTCTTTGAAATTGGTCAGGCTAGGCTATTGCTTTCCGACAAATATGTTTTCGTAGAGGCTTTTCCGGCATGAAACGGGGAATGGCCTGTGCGCAGGCGTGTCAGTTGGTCTCGTCGCCGTCGTCGTCGTCTCTCTCTCTCTCTCTCTCTCTGCCTCCATAGATGTGTGCGCATTTCCGGTCATTTTCCAACGACGGCCTCTGACGGGTCGCCTTCCTGCAGCCCGGACCCACAAATTACGAAATGTATCCACGCACAGAATTTAGTTTTGCATCCGGTTTTCAGTTCTTTTGGACTTTTAAGCACACGATTACACTTTGCGCTTGTTTGCACTGACAACGTTGACACCTTTTCTTTTCCGTCCTCTGTTTCTGTTTCTGTTTCTGCACTCGCCTAAGAACGATCGGCAGCCATTTCCCCGCTCTGAGTAGAGAATCAAGCGCGGCTTGTTCGGTGCGCGAGAATCAACTGACGGCCGCCGCTCCACTGGGCTGTTGTCTGTTTGCAGTGGGAGCAGAAGCAGAGGAGCCGAGTGCCCGAGCGTCGTGGAGCCCAATCGGGTCTGTCTGTGAGAGAGAGTGTGTGTGTTTTCGCAAATCATTTTATTACGTTTCGTTTCGTTTTTGGGGAAACGCTGGAGACACATTTGGAAAGCCGGCCGGCACGTTAGTAGAGGCAAAAGCTTAGTTTAGGCCAGTCCTAGTGCCACGCCAACCACTACCTACCCTACCCAAAATATCTGTTTTGCAGAGCTCGCCTTTGATATAATATTTTAGTGCCCATCATGACCAAAACGGTGCGAGCAAAAAACAGGCTCCTCCATGCCAAAACCAACATAAATAACCAGAAATCTTCTAATGTGCGCAGCCAACAAGAAAGCGGTAGCAGGCAGATGTTGTTGCCGCAGCTGCTGCTGCTTCTTCTGCGACCAAGAAATCCGAGAGCCTTTAGAGAAGCAGGGAAGCCAATCTGCGGCTGTCTGTGCGTGTGCTTTTTGTGCATTCGGCGGCAGATAAAGATTTGTGGCGGAGCCGCGTCTGTCGCCTTTTTTGGAAGCACCATGAAGGACGTGGACGAGGAGACATGGCTATAGCAAACAACTCAATTTTAATTAAATGTTGCCCTCCGAGAAATAAATTAAATATGCTGGCCCTGTTCGCTGCGCAATACCTTGGCAACCTTGAGTGTGGACGTCTGGACGGGAGTGGCAGCAGCAACAGCAGCAATGTTGCTCCAACTGCAGCAATGATAACTCCATTGCAGTTGCGTGACTCGACCCAGGCCGGCCTGGATAACAGGTTCCAACATCGGCTTATTTTTATCAAGTGGCCAGCCAGCAAGTCGCTCGCTCTCTCGCTCTGGTTCAATAATGGGGCCGGCTGTGGCAACCATCGATTCGATCTCTGCCCGTTCAGCACCACAAAGACTCGACTCTGATTCATGCCCCAATGGGTTTAGTATTGTGCTAATGCTTAATTATGTGCAATAACAAGTATTTTCATTCAACTAAACAACAATCTTGTGTACTTAAGTCCATTGGCAAGCGCTTTTCGCTTTTGCTTGGCACGCTACTTGAGGAACGCTTGCAGGCGGTTCTGCTGCGACTTGCTCGCGTCTTTAAACGCGTGCGACTTCAGCTGAGCAGCCAGCTGCAGCAGCGCGTTTTGTTTCTGCGTCTTTGATTGCGTCTTCGTCCCATTGCCAGAGAATGGTGCCGACTGCGCTGCTTTCGTTTTGTTCTTCTGCTTCGGAGTTTTGTGTTTGGCAGCGGCAGGATGGGTAGATTTCGTGAGGCGTGCTGGAGTTGTGGGTGCCTTTGCCTTTTCCTGCTGTGGAATCTTCGGGCCTGCTTTAATATCTTTATTCAAGACCCTCTTATTGTTTCCTTTTTGTTGGTTTGTCGCTGCAGTCTCCTCAAGTGACGTCGGCGTTGTGCTTGCTATTGTTTCATCGTTGGCTTTATCCCGTTTTCTCCCCTTCCGCTTTTCCAGTGACAGCATTGTCTTGTGCTGACAAACGGCGCAGTCCACAACCTGAAAATGCATTTAGTTTTAGAGAGAGTTCTATAAAATCGAAGTTTCTGCCACTCACAATGTTGCTGGCCATGTGCTTCCTCAGCCACTTGGCCCTGTTCCTTGCCCCAGTGCTCAGCAAGCCTTTCTGTTGACTCGCCTTGGCCATTTCCAGCTTTGCGACGAGTCTTTTTCTTTTGGCAGTGTCCGCCAGGCGCTGGGGCTGCAGGTGGAGCTGGTAGTTGCCATCGGTCCACTGGTTTCCACAGCGGGCGCATATCCGTGCCGCTCCGAAGCTGTCTTCGGGGAGTTGCACGTTGTGTCTGGCGAATTTTCGACAGGTTGTACTGCAAAAGATGAAGATTGGATTTTGGGTCCCAAAGGATATCTGCATATGCCACTTACATGTAATGGGACTTTAGCAGCCGTTCGACGTGCGATTGTGCTTCCAGTTTGTGTGCGCAGTTCCACACAAAGTCTACTGTCTTTTGCTCGGCCATGTTCCAATAGTTTCCTACAAGAATAACATGTTTTTAAATAAATACAAAATTGCACGCTAAAAACAAACCTGCAGTGCGACCGTTTACTGTATTTTTAATACTTCTCGGTATTTTTACGGTATATCGGTATATAATGGTATATTTTGTCAATTTCATCAATCTATTAAATTTCATTTTCAACGTTATATAGAAATCTAATAAAAGCAATTATTTAAATTAAGCCAATCAAGTAGAAAATTGATTCATCAATCGTATTAAGCTGTCTGGGCATGGCTAAGTATTCTATATAGCTAGTAATATTCCACGGAATATCAAAAACGAGGAATATGTAAACTAGAACTTGAATTCGTCAGTATATATGCGGTATATTTTTCAAATGAGACCGCATATTATGGTATATTTCTGAGGGTCGGACCGTATATTTCCTACCGCCGAAAAAAAAGCGACGCGCATAATTTCGAACAACAACGGGCGGTACAGAGTCAGAAAAAAAGAAAAAAAAAAAAACAAAGCGACGCAGACAGCAAAAAAATTGTGTAGTGCCAGTTGAAAAAACAATATTTGAAGTGCGCGCAATAAATATTCGCATTCATAGCATCATTTGCAGCGGCATCAGCATCGGCAGCAACAAAAATGGACCCCTTCACTCAGGTACAACGTTTTGGCCCCGCACACAGTGAAGCCCTTTGTCTAACTGCATTTGCATTTGTGTTGCAATTTTCTAGCACATGCTTGAAAAGGCGGAACAGCGCAGTCGCGCGCTCGGCATCAGCAACGCCAGCAAATTTCCTTTAACCGAGTGCAGCGTAGCATCATCTTCGGTGGCTCAAAATTTGGAACCCACGAAGCCCATGCCCAACAGGAGTCACTCGCCAGCAGGTCACAGTATCAGCAGCAGCAGTAGCAGCAGCGGCGGCGGCGGCGGCAAAGTTGTGACCCTGGACAAGGCAATGTTGGAGGCATCGCCGACCAAGCCGCTGCGTCACTATGCGGCCATCAACAAAGAAAACATGGAAATGGGCATCGAGATAAACATAACATCAGCCAAGGCAATTGGGGTAAGTTTTTCCTCTACTCAGTCCTCATTTCCCCGTGTTCACTCCCGTGCCCTAGTCTTTGTCTCGGTGCTATTTGTTTTGGTGGTGTCCTTTGTCATTGAGTTTCCTCATTGTGCTTCGCTGTTTCACACATATGTATGTACTTTCCACTAGGTGCAAGTTGAAATTCAAGAGCAAGAGGTGACAGATGACGAGGAGACGCCTGGCGATGCTGTGGATAATCCCGTCCAGGCGATCAATCAGCCGCTGGCAAGATTGCGGGACACCTCGAGGAGTCAATTGAAGCGAATGGGTGACTTGTACTCCAATACTGCCGACCTGTCCTCTCCCATCCATCGTACGGAGGCGCAGTTCCATGCAGGTGACGATGACGACGACTCAAGTCGACGGTGTCCTCGTCAGGGCAAACAGCGATTAGGCAAGCTGGCTGCACTGGCCGACACCATTAACCAGTGGGAAGACGACACAGCGCATCACGATGTGCACAGACCAATTGAAGCAGTGGCAATACCTCCACCCAAACCTGAGTTGCCCAGCCGGCGGGGAGAGAAAGGACCTGCCCCGCAACCGCCTAAGCGAGACGAGGGCGACGAAGGCGGGAAAACAAAGCAATTGAAATGGGATCCCAAGGTACTGAGCTCATTGGAGGCCCAAGGTTTTCAACGCCGTGATTCGTCCACCATTAAACATACATATGATTATGCCAAACAGGGAGAGGCGGCACCCACTGCAACTGACACTGCCAAGCCGCCAGTTCCGGGAAAGTCGACGGCGGTCAGCAAGGTGGCCAGGACTTTTGGGCCCACCGCGGCGGTATCCACGAAAATAGCTTCTGTATCTGGTACAAGCATCAAGTCTGGCTTAGTATCCGGGCGAGCAGCCATCTTTGAAAACAAAGCGGGCGCTGGAGGGCAGATGCAAGGAGGACACCGCTTCCAAAAGGATCCGTGCGAGCTGTCACTTAAGGAGCGTATGAAGCTTTTCGAGACCGGCAACAATAATACTGCCATACTGCCGAAGGCTCCAATAGCATCTGCAGCCAGCATTAGTCAGATCAGACAAGAGGAGTCGAAAGGTGAGTGCGTCTTCGGTGGTATATTAAGCCTAACTCCCATTGCTGCTTTTCCTGATCCCATAGCCCATGTTGCTGCTGTGCATCCTGTCACAGCGGCTGCTGTCTCCTCTACTGTGAGCGCTGGGGCGGCTCACAAGCCCAAGCCAGAGAATAAGTTGCGCGATAAGGTGGCTGCCCTTGTGGCCAATGCCCAGTCCAGTGCGGAGAGCCGCATTAAGGATATTGATCGCCAGCGTCAGGAAGACATGCAAATCATCGCAAATCGCTTCAACAAACAGAAGGAACTCTTTGTTCCACAGCCAGCGGCAAGAGCGACTCCAGCGCCAGCGCCCGCATCAGTACCGGTGACAGTATACAAGGCGGTACGGCCCATGCCGCCGCCGCCACCGCCGCCCATGTCTGGGCTCTCACCTGCCATTGCCAGCAGCAAGAGGCGCTCACGTAAGCACCGATTAATGGTACATGAACATTGTAGCTGACACTATTGTAATTTCAGCTGGGGATGCGCCAATTATCGACGAGGAGTCAAAACGCGCTCGCAAATCAAATTCAGAGCGCCTCTATCCCGCCCTATCTGACCTCGACTCGAGTGGAGAAAACTGCTGTGCGACGGTAACAGCCACAGCCACCGACGACAGCGACCAACAGGAGCAAGACGAAACTGAAAGGTGCGCTGACAAATGCTACTCCTGCTTGCTTTTCTTTCTCTGCATTGAATAACCATCTTACCTTCAGACTGATCGACTGATATAGCACTAGCCCTCACATAGCTTTAATTCCCCCTAGACAAGGCCAACAATAAAAATCTTGCTTAACTAACCGTTTATCTTTGATTCGTGCAGTTGCATGGATGAGTCGGAGGACCAGTCGCAGACTGAGGACAGCAGCACCGGCATGTGCAATGGCAGCCTTGGTCGCGAGATTATGAACGCAGTGCAGCGCAATGAGGCGGAGATACAGCAGCAAGGCAAGAAGGTGAGTTCAGGTAGAAAACTCTGGGATGAGAGGGAGGTCGCAACTAATCTAATTGTTCTTTGCAGACTGTGCGCTATGCAGATCAGGATTTCTACTACAACCACGAGGGTCAGGACAGTTCGGTTAATTCGTCGCAGGTATCGGCGGGCATTGACGACTATCTGGATGAGGCTTTGGTCGAAGACTGTGGCAGCACTCAGGATGATGACAGCGATGGCGCGGACGAGCACAACTCCAGCCACCTATCGCTGGGCGTAAGTTTTCTCTGTTTCCTCTTTTGTTCCATCTACTTATAATCCGTTTTTACAGAGCAAGGGTACGACTGCCTCAAATAGCTTCTCCTTCCGAAAAAACCCGACTTCAACGAGTTGCCTGCCTGTTGACGAGCATCAGGAGATCATGGACGTGCAGACGCCGCTTCTGAGCGGGGCCCAACCGGTCAGGTCGGAGCTGAGCGTAAACCAGGACAACGACAATCTGGTCACCCTCGTCCACACAGTGAGCTTCTATCGCCGCCAGCAGAGTGCAAATGTGCGTTACCTACCCCTACCCTCCGCTTCAGCGTGTCGCTAATATTTCACTCTTTTACAGAGCTCAAGCTCTACACCGGTGCGCAAGATATGTCGCGAACAGCAGGTGATGCGATCGGCTTTGGCTGGCGACTGCCACGCCAAGCACAAGCTGGAATACGACTCACCACAGCATGGCGAGATGGCGGAGGCCGGTGCCGGAGCTAGCAAGGATGACCACACCGATGATGATGACGAGGAGCTGCAGAATGCGCGCGACTCCAATGATGCCACCCAGGCGCAGGACAAGATCAAGAAGTTACTGAGCGAGGTGTGCAAGCAGCAGCAAGTTATTGGCCAGGCCAGTCAGGCCTTGAATCTGTGCGCAGCTACCGTGGAGTTCTCCGGCTCTACAGAGTCCGTAGAGGGAGAGCGGTATCTGTTGCTGGCAAGTGAGTTCCGCGTAAACGTTTTTCACATTTATATCCGTAACTAAATTCCGACATTCTTACAGCTCATCGTCGACAGTCCTGTTTGGATGAGGTACAGCGTCTGCGTGTGGAAAACAGCGTCCGACCGGTGGGTGGACCAAAAGAAAAGGGCCTGTTGACTGTTAAGGACATTACCATTCCGTTGCGGCATGAATATTTGCGCAAAATGGCCTCGGGCAGCATCAATGGCCATCATCTCGTTTGTCTTCTCAAGTACAACGAACACGTGCTGGCCACCAAGACTGTGCCGACCATGCCCGGACTGGTGTCCGTTAAGTTTCCCGATGTTCTCCAGCTGAACAATGTCTATGCAGACTTTCGGGTTAGTTTAAAGCATCTTTTTTTGGGGATCGAGCGCCTTTAATTGATGGTTTTCCTTTGCAGATCACGCTTGAAATCTATGGAATGCTGGCCCAACGGGATCAGTTGCCACACGACCTTAAGTACCACATAAACCTGAACAAGAAGGGCGGCGTAAAGACGCCAAAGAAAAAGGGAGGCGAGAATCGCTTAGTCATGCCACCAGTGCAGAGTCCGGCCGGCCCGCATGTAGTGCGAACGCCTCAATTGGTGCAATACGGGTTCGCCATTTTCTCGCTGCGAGAGATACAGCGCACCAGCTGGACGCTAACCCAAGTGCTAGGCGTCAGCCCTCTGGAGGGCGTCGTCCACATGAAGGTCAACTGTGAGCTGTCCGTGAGCGTGGAGTACAAGGGATTCCTCACCATGTTCGAGGACATATCCGGTTTTGGTGCCTGGCATCGTCGCTGGTGCTATCTCAATGGCTCTGTACTCAACTTCTGGAAGTACCCGGACGATGAGAAGAAGAAGACTCCCATGGGCAGCATCGATTTGAATGCGTGCAGCTCACAGAAAGTCACCACCGCGCCGCGCGACATCTGCGCCCGCCTCAACACCATGCTGCTCGAGTGCGAGCGCCCGGCCAAGGACACGGATCAAGAGTCGCTGATAATAGTGCCCAACGGACGCACCACCACAGTCCGCCACCTCCTCTCCGCCGATACCAAGGAGGAGCGTGAAGAGTGGTCCGCTTACTTCAACAAGGCCCTGACTCTGCTGCGGGCCTGGGGACCCACCCACTGATGGGACTAACTAACCGCTAACATTTTTGCAATTGCTGTCACCCGTGACCCATGACCCCTGACCCCAGATCCTGACAGGGGGCTCTTTAAAGTTTTCTCTTTTTAAGTTTTTTAATGTTCTAATTTGCATTGCGTTTGGCTTTTTTTGTTTTTGTCGTTTCTTTGTTCAGTATTTAAAAATTCTTCGTATTCTACTGGCACATGTTTGTGTTCGAGTTAGATATGTATAACGTATTGTTTAAATACCTTTTATATGTACGACTAGATCATGTTGAACTTATGTATATTGCCTTTAGGATGTGTCTCAAAATATATATGTAAATCCCAGTAAAATCGCTGTTACACACTGATAACTTTATTGGATACTTTTAATATACACATACACATAATAACTCTTGGCTATGAAGTTGTGGGTACTTGTGTCGCATTAGCCCTGTGTTAACTATCTCTTAGAATTCCGCTATCAAAAATCCAGTGAGAGTGGCTGTTCTACCATTTTCTTATGTAGTTTCCTGTGACTGCTTTGGCTGCACAGTTTTCGGGCGTCTTTTCTGTATGTACTGTGTAGGTGGTTGTCGGTTGTTCTGTTGGTAACAGATCATGTCAGGTAGTTTATGTAGTGGGTGCTCCCTAATCTGCCATTTGGAATTGACTCTAGTTTTAATGGCGATAAGGTTACGTATGTCAGTTGGCCATTGGCCTAAAGGCTATCTACAAAATTGTAATACACTTTTCCCTCGTAAGTTTTCCTCTAGTTCCCAACGATATCATATGTATATTATATATATATATATATTTTGGATATATATGTAGGTATATTGTGTATATTGTGTTTGACTCTAATTGTTCTGCTCGTCACAGGCGCTTGGTGGTTGTAAATTCTCCAAAATGATTACAAGAGACGAACAGCTGTTGATCTTGCATGTAGAGTGTGTAGACACCCCTGAAGGGAAGTACCAAATCTTGTATTATTCTTCAATGCCAGATATGCTGATATGCAGGATTTACTCGTGCTTTGTACAACAGTAGCGTGATCTCTTCCGGATCGGGTCTGAAATATACTTATATATATGCATAGAAGTACATACATTTGGGGGAAGTGATGAAGACTCGTTTCCGCTACTGTTTGGTTATAGGTCTGCCTGGGTTACACATACATACAAAGGAGCTCGTTTAGGTCTGCTCAAGCGTCCGTCAAACTAAACCATTTCAAGCTGTTTTTGGGTTCTGTACCGGTCGGTACATATTGTACAAGTATTTTTCTAGAATATTTTGTGGTGGCTAGATATTTCTATATAACATTGTATCTTTGCGAGTGTTGAGTGTGGTGGGGCATGGACAGTTGCAACAAAATGGATAAAGCTGAATTTCGATGCAAGTCATTGTATTGCAAAAGTTAATTAATTAATTACTAAACCTTATGCCTTGGCCAATATAAAATATAAAAAATAATTGTCTAAGCTTACTCATACATACAGGTGTGGGTGTGTATATGCAGGACTTTTGTGCACATACGTGTTGTGCGTGCACTTTTAATGAACATTTTAAAATTCAACACTTAGGGCTACAATAGAAGTGAACAATAAAATAAATTAAAATGTTAAACAATTGATATGCGTAGACAACTCGTAATATACATAAAAACAGTCGACAGCTCCTGTCTCTGAGTTGGGGTGGATGTTGTGGAGGATAGTGGGAGTGGTTAGCGTTTCCCGGGGAGAGTGGTGTAATGTGTTTAGGGATTGCCAGCCGCACTTCCAGCTTGGGCGTTCTGACGCCGCAGATCGGATCGGGTGGCGGCCGTGATAATCGTGCCGACAATCAGCATCACAGCCATGGTAGTATTGGCGGCAATGTCCCCGAAAGCTGTGAAGAGCTCCGAGTAGAAGAGTGTGAAGCAGATTCCAAAGGTCTGGGCCGAGGCATTCAGCAGACCGGATGAGGTGCCCTCCGGCTCGGGGAACGTTAGTTCGGCGCCAAACTCAAAGCCCACCGGCAAGTATCCGGTCATGAAAAAGCTGGAGAGGAGGTTCGCAGAATTCAGTTAACGTACTAGTCTCCCTTTGGGTGGATCTGTGAATGTGTATCTGTGACTTACCCCAGCAGCGATGCTGTTAGGTACACCACCGCAATGTGTCCTGTGTCCAGGGTGAAGGTGAATATCCACATGCCCACCATGGAGAGTGCATATACCGCCAACGTCGTCTCCCTGAAAAGAGAGGGAAGAATAGCTTTGAGTAGCGCTCATTAGACATGGAGCGGCCTCCATTTAATTAATTGGAATTTGTGCCTCCGCCTGTTCAAACTTTGCCAGACCACACGGCGTATGCGTAATGAGTTTTCATAGTTTTGAACAGTTTTACGCCTGCTGTTCGTTGCTGCTGTACTCACTTGAACTTGTGCGTCTTGTCCAGCACAATGCCAGATATCACGGAGCCCAGCATGCCAGCCAGAACAATGCTTAGGCCAATGCGGCCAGCATCCACCTCGTGGTTGGGATAGTACTTGAGCACCACCTGAAACGCAGAGGGAGAGGCTAACAAGTTAGCAAATGTTTGAAGGCTCTTGGAGGGTAACGGCAACTCCTACCGGATTGAGCAGCGTTGATATGGCGTAGAAGACGCCCACATTGATGCCGTAGGAGAGCAGCAGTAAGATGAAGTTCCGATTGGTAATCAGATTCTTCAGCGACTGCATAAAGCTGACCTGCTCGGCTTCGATACCTTCCAGCCGCTGGGAGGCCTCCTGGGCCGCCGACGGCGGGGTAGGTGGTCTGTCCTGGAAGACTGCAAGAGCAGAAAAGGACTCTCGTCCATTACCAAACCTCTATCCGTTCAAGGGTTTCGCTTACATAGCACCATTAGGACGAGCAGGATGCTGGTGAGCCCGGCCACCATGTAAAACATCATCTGCAGATCCTTGCCCACCGTTTCCAGATCTTCGGAGTTCGGCACCAGCATCGGCGGCAGTACAAAACCAATTGCCACGCCCAGCTGGAAATAAGAGGAGTTACACATGTCTACAATATGTAAATATGTATGCTTTCGTACAAGTTGCTCAAAACGGAATACTTTTCCGCTTCCGATTTGGTGCTGGCTCTAATTCAGCTTTGGATTCCGCCTTCGGGGCTTTCCCTACCAGCCCCAGGCTCAGGGTTTCGACCCCATGCCCGTCCCCGTCCTTAACCCTACCCTGTTTTATTTACAGTGAAACTGTGAGATTGATTTATATGGAGCTGCATATTCGAACTCCTGCCATAACAGCTCTCTGCTTCTGCTTCCGCATCCGCTTCTGTTGCTGTTCTGTTTTTTGTTTTCGTCAAAGTTTGTGGCGCAATGCCGCGGATACACACGCCGGGTTCTAGGTCGACCCCGGGTCTGCTGTGACAGCTCCGTTTTTTTCCACACGCCATGCACAAAGTTGAGCTATGCAATTTTGAAATTTATTTCTTCACTTTTTACGCTGCGTGTCAGGGATGTAAGGTTTACCGGTGGATTTCGGCAGATTTTGTAGGAAAATGTTATGTGCCATATGCTCTGAGAATTTGAGCAGACAGATTCAGATTTGGCGTTTGGCTCTATAGCTGGAGGAAAACCCAATCTTTGAAGCTTTGAAGACTAGACTAAGAATCGCGTACAAGTGAAAGTCACCAGAGTAGGGGGTATCTGATAGTCCTCACACTAGATTTCAGCATTGTTTGGCCTGCTATAAATCGGTTTTAGTGGCAGTTTGGCGTATTTAAGCCAAAGGGACACTTGACAGTCACGAAAATAAATTGTCGCATAAAAACCAGTTTTTCAAGCGAAATTTTTTAGTTTATGCCGGCCCAATTTAAAGTCAATTAATCGTCCATCCTTTAACTACTCGTGTATGCAGTAATTTGGCCATTGGAAAACTCCCGCCTCTTAGGGCTTATCTGGGTTTCCGTAGTTGCATATTGAAATAAAGTACTATTCCAATTGTTTTTACTCAAACAAATAAAGCGAATATCAGTTATTTGACCAGACCTCGAATACATTCAAAATACATATATGTACGAGTATTGTACAAAGCTCATTGTTCCGTCATAGCCAGGAATGGGGCAGGACACAAGCTAAAAGGCAGATGGTAGAGGTGCAGTGAGAATTATCCTTTCGGGACCGTGAAAAGAAATCCATTGTCATGACTACACTGACCATTATCAAGAGATCCCCAAGCTGCAGGCTGTCGATAGTGTGTGGAGCGACAACACATAAAGACATGTGAATGAAATCTATTTTTCACTTTCACATCTATATTAAATCTTTAAATAACTAATAAATAAAGGGGTCAAAGAGAAATAGCCGGACAAATACAGATATATAAATAGAAAGAAATTCTAGAACTGAACTAATAGTTTTCGTACACCCTTGAAAGAATATAGAATAATCAACCCAAAAAACTACTCCAGTGATATGGCCTTGTCTTTGTAAGGACTTTGTAAGGACCAAGGAATTGCTATTCAACTAAAAAAATCCAGGAAATGCACGGTGATAAAAGCATTTACATATCTACGAGTATTATAAAAAATGTATTCAAAATAAACCATATCTACGGACTGCCTTCGAGTTCCATTTTCCATGTAGGTATTTACAGCAAACATATAAACTATATGAAATTCAATCGATTCCCATCAATGCCGTTAACTACAATATGAATAAAATATGAATAGTTTTGTTTAATTTAGCATAAAATTCGCCCAGCTTCGGTTATTCCAGAAATGCCTATATTGGCATGAAGAAATTCATAGAATTGCAATAATTTGAATAAATGGAATCGGGATATGGGCCGTAAACAAGGCTGGCCCAGAGATGATCCCTACCTTATCCCCCCTTCCGTTCTGTTCTGCTATTTGGCTTTTTTACAAAGAGTGAATCTTGGAGCCACTCGGCCTCACCTCTCCTCTTCTTTACGCTTACTCTCACTATCTCTATGGTATTAAGAATAAATATTTGAGCTGACTGGAGACTATGGCTCAGGGTCCCTGTCTGGGGCGCAGTCTCGGTCTTGGTCTGGGTCCCAATAGTTTTGTGCAAATTGAAAGAGCATCCATCGCATCGCAATAGCTTCACGGCTGAAATGGCCGCTGTAGAACATTTCTCTTGGTGGCAGAATTCGCTCTTGCCGTGTTTACATGCGCCTCAACACGGCGCGGCAAGCTGTTGTCGTAGCAACTACGTATTACGTATGAAACGAACGAAAAAACACCGAAAAAATAGAGGAAAAGAAACTATGTTTGCGCAGCACTCTGAAACAATGGAAGGCTGCCATGCCCGGTCCCGGCCCCGCCCCCGACCCCCAAATCCGCC